TTTGATTGAACAAAGTTTTTAATCATTTGTACTAGATTTTCATATTAAAGTGTAATATAGTATAGAAGTTTGGTTATTGAATACGAACATGATAAATTTAAATAATTAAATTAAAATATCGAGTGATGTTATAAGTAAATTATGGATTTTTAAAGTTTTTGTACCCTGTTTAAACAGAATGCGAATAATATAAAGTACAGTGCTTTTCATAATATTTTCTACCAAGACCCATTTCTCTAATTATATTCTCAAAAATATAATTCTCCATGCAAATTTGCACTAATTACAACTTAAAGAACTCTTTAAACTCAATAGAAATATAATTTGAATAAAAATTTTAATTTCAAATTTCGGGAAATACTGCATAAAATATAATATTTCATTTCATGCATCATGTATAATACTTAAATGATTGTTTCAGATATAGTAAGCTGATGAAGCTCACATATGCGTGTACATGTACAGAATGTCTCGAGTAAAATATTACAAGTTGTTCTCTCCGAAAACTATTGCAACTATATCAACTTGAAGTTTTAATACTTTAAGGTCAAATAATGCGAGGCGACTCATTAATATTTTAAAAAATAAGTAATTACAATGGTGAGTTTTTCAAAAAGGAGTTGCCTCCCCCAATTTTTTAAATGTATAGGGTATGTCAATTTTTGATATTTCGATTATTTTTATTTAAACGTCTTTCCATATTCTTGTCACAACTTATAATTACGACACATATTCATTCGAGGTCATTCCAAATCACTCAAGCTAGAATTTATCTTTTTACTAAAACTTTAATTATATAAATATTATAAATATTATGTCATATTATATGTATTATATTATTATATTACATTTAAGTCCCTCGAGTTAGAATGATTCTAATTTTATTTTATTTTTTTGTAGAAACTTTAATTTTATAAATATTATAAATATCATACCGTAGTTATACTATAGCGAGTGTTTAGAACACTCGACAACAAGGAACTTTTGTCTGGTTTAACTCGACGATTCCGCATGAAGTGTTTTCTACGCGAAAGAATCTCCTTTGAGCCTTTTAGAGTCTCCAACTTGAAACTCATGAGATTCTTTTATACGTTGTTCGCTAGTGAATTTGCCAAGTCCACAAGTATGTATCAAATCCTCTGAGCGCAACAATTTTCCAACTTCTCGGTCATAAAACTTTAGTTTCTACTTGGCGAACGATTTTTCTTACTCTTTCTAACGATGTTCTATAAACTCTTATTCTGTCTGTTACAGTTAACGTAAAATTAGGAAAATATTAAATTTTTCTATAGTTTTGTTAAATTGTCAAATTTGACAAATTATTTCATTAAAAAATGGAATAATAACATTCATAACATCGAATTTATTTATTTACTGAGAATATTGAGAAATTGTAAATATTCAATAGTTTGTAAATTTGTAAAATCAAAAAAAAAAAAAGAAAGTTAATTAAAATATTTCAGGAATCTTTTCATTCTAACATTATTTTTATGATGTAAAATCATAATATAATAATAAGATACTATTCATATATAATAATAAAATATTATTCATATATAATAATAAAAGACTTCAATCTTCAAAATCCTGGTGAATTTAGTCATCAAAATAATTTTTTAGTGTCCATAAAAGCATTTGAATTTGCAAAATTCTCGAGAAGAAAAGATATCTTTGCTTAATTTCTTTTTAAATGATATAAAAACATCTTTGAAAGAAAGAACGAAGAATGCAATACTGTGAAAGTAAAAGCTTCACACTTTAATCTTTTTACTGTCGACGGTTCGAAATGCAAAAACTACCAGATCTGATTTTATATATGTCTATGCTTTCATAAATTTTATAAAGAACGTAAGCAATATCGACGATGATATATCGGCCAGTAATATAAAGCTCGAGTCTTCGAAGCTTCAAGATTGAACCTTAAAGGTTAAAATCAATATTAGATGAAGCTCAAGCTTTTGAAACTCTAAAACTATACTAGAGATAACTGTTAAAGCTCTTAAGGTTCGTAAGTAATACGCCACTACACACACACATTTGACAACCTACGGTTAGTGATGTATGAAACTCGTTAAAGGCTGAGTCTTTGAGACTAATGTTATACGAAACTCAAGTTTTTGAATTTTTAAGATTGAAACTCTAAGATTTAATTCCCAAAACTCTTAAGGTTAATTACGTGAATAATATGCCACTGTCATCACATACATGACATTTAGATATAATCATTATGTTTAAGTTTGAGTCTCCAAGTTTAAGAGTTTAAGTGTTGAGAACTTCAACGTTCACGCCTTGACCCTCTTACGTTCAACGTAATGAACATAATCAACAGCACTGTAATTTATTACCTCCAATTTCAAGACATTACATTTATCCTACAATTATCCTGTATGTGTGTACTTTGTGTGTACTGTATGTTAATTAACATGTATGTAGCTCGTTTGTCTTAATTACGGAAATGCGCTCCTCATGCGCTAGCATATTCCAGATTTCAATGCTTTCACACAGACCTTTCATATTGGATGCTTTATCTCAGTGTTACAATAGGACTCTATAAGAATTATTCAGAATTATACTGAAATTTGTAATGGAATACAATTATTGAAGATCTTTACGTTTTATTTATAGACAAACATATGCAGAGAATAGAATAAAAGAAAGAGAAAGATTAAAAGTTCCATAATCAGAAAAAATTAAATGCCCACACGAGACGAGATAGCATTAATGCTTGTTATATAATAGTATGCTTGTTATAATGGTAGTTTTTAGAGAGGATGTGCGAATGGGTAACTTTTGTGTGTCCGATTTTGAGTCTGGATATAGCTACTTGTTCTACCCTAGATAATTTACTCGAATCTATTCGAAAGGAGCTCTCTGAGAAGTTTCTTATGTGTAGAGACATCGTATTATTTCACACTGATTTTCATTTTTTTTCCTTTCATGTAATTAATGTTCCATATGTAGATTTTTGAATGTATCTATGTAAGCTTGAATCGATAGTTCTTTTATTCTTTTATTACTTGATCAGTCCTCTTATTTTTCGTAATTTTAATATATGAATGAATCCAACTGACAATGAGTATTATTTTCTTTCCATTTTGTATTAATATTGCGTGAATTTCCAAGATTTGATTGTATCATTGATGGTAGAATTATTATTGAGCGACAAGACTCAGATAGTATTGCTATTTTTTGGAAGTATTCCTCTTAAACCATAGTGATTGCTTGTTTGATGGTCATAAATTTCACTGAATATATAAAAGCTAGAGAAAGTTTGATTTATATTGTAGATTTTGATATAATTACCATCTGTATTATGTTATTCTAATTAAAGCGAAATCAATTATTATTAATTAATAATTTTATATTAATACTAAAATTTATTATAATATTTAATATTATATTTATTATAATTTATGTTTATAAGATTTATTATAATTTTAATATTACATTTAATATTAAAATTTTGTATTACAAATTTTTCTATATGATTCTGATCAATTGTAAAATGTTCCAAAATTCATCTCCACTGTCTATGTCTTTCTTATTTCATTTTGGCATATGTTCCGAAATATAACATTTGTTCTGACATATGTTCTGACATATGTTTTGACATATGTTCTGACATTGTTTTGACATTCCGAAATATGTTCAATTCCTAATTTTAGGACCACGCGATATCGTGATTTAATTAAACTGTTTACTTTATAAAATACTTACTGTACTTTATTACAGTTCGATTATTCGATTCATTGTTATTGTTTTACTAAATTTTGCAATTGTTAAGCATTTGGTCACTATCTATATTTATTTTAAAAATAACTTTCAACCATTTAATCGTTCACTTTTAAAACGAGCATACAGCGAAATCATTACGGAACAGAGAACAATGCATACGTAGCGATAAAATAACGCTCATTGTCAGATGTGTGACAATTGTAATGTCCATATAAATGTAATATATGTATACAAATATACCTAACCGTAAATGCACGTCACGTTTATAATCCATTCTACAACACTGGGAATTTTGTTTAAATTGAAATACCTTGTAATCCATATAAAAATGGGGGAAGGATTTAAGTTATCATTTTCATAGTATCGAAATTATTTGAAACCTATAAGCTATAAATGCAATATGAATTTTGCTTCTTTTTATTTTAATCATAAAAGACCTTGATTAATTTTTTTATTCGTAAAATGATTTTTTCAGACGAAAATATTAAATATATTTTCATTTGGCAAATTCGATTTCCAATTAAAGCCTTAAGAAGATAAACAAACGTTTTTATATTATACTGTTAAGTCACAGCCACTTTGAAACCATCGTTTGATGTACCATCATTGTATATTTGTGTTATTATATAATTTGATACGCTGATTTTTAATCTTCTGGATTATTTCAAGTCTGATTCTGTTCTTTTAATATTAGGAAAATTACTTATGTAATTACCTTACCATTCAAATACTAAACTAACAAAAACGAAATTTGCATTTAATAATTAGGAAGGTAACAATTTTTTCATGAAAATAGTTTTCGTGAAAGACGCAGCTAATTTTTCAAATTTGTAAAACTTTTTTAATTTTAATAATAGAGATACATAGAACTAGAGGTAAACTTTTAAAACTTGAAAAAGTACTGAAAATATGAAAATGTGAAAAAGTACTTACATAGTTTTGTTGTTCTGCTGAATTATTCCACATTTAAGTATTTATATACACTTGTAAGTAAAGATAGAAACTTTCAATATGAATGTGTATATAATAATATACAAAGCACAACACAATTTTTTTTCAATATGAATGTGTATATAATAATATACAAAGCACAACACAATTTTTTTTTAAATATTTTATATAAATGACCTAAACAAAAAATTTGTTATGAATCTTTACTAATTCTTCATTGACTGACAATAAACTAATAATTCACTGATGTTCAGTGAATTAATAAATCATATCCCTAACAATCTCATCTGGCGGCAAAAAAATGTACTATTGTATCAAATAAACCGTTCTACGTGTAACATGTGTTTTTGAGTCTCGTTATACTAATTCACAATGAAGATTAAAAAGAGATCTAATACAGTGAGAATTCCACCAGTTGAAAAAGTTATAAAAATTAAACGTAATTCATCAGATAAAGAAGAGGAGTCAACTGTAGCCAAAGCAATAAAAAATATCAAGAAAGTACTAGAGGTTAGATCGCATTTAAACTTAACCTATACATATACCGTGATATGAATATTGAAAGTTGAATAAAATACTTTATTATTGCAGAAGAAAGATGTTAAAGCGACAGACACTTCAGAAACAGTTTCAATTCCTAAAACAAGAAAATTGCATAAAATTAGTAAAAATCAAAGAAGACATATAAAACTTAGAAAAAAGTATCCAAGAGGCATAATATATTTAGGTCATATACCTCATGGTTTTTATGAGGATGAAATGACAGATTATTTCAAACAATTTGGAAAAATAACCAGAGCGCGAGTTGTCCGATCAAAAAATGTAAGTATTTTAATTGTATTTATGTATATATATGTATGAGCATGTGTGTGTGTAATTTCAATTCTTATAAGTTCTAGTTAAACAGAATAAGATAAAATTAATTTTGGGTATTAAATTTTGCTTATAATAGAATATATTAGATGTATTTATGAATTATTATAATTTATTAGATATTTTAATATTTTAATTACATTGGAAGTTATATCATTTATAGAAACTAATTAGATATTTAAATATTTAGCAATGTTTGATTTATTTCTGATTCTTTAATTTTTGCATATTTTAAAATACTTATGTAATTTGGTACATATACTATAAATAATATCTTACCGATTTGAGATATAATTTTATTCATTATTTTGTTGTACTGTGACATAATTATCAATCAATAGAAAATAATGTAACAAAATATATGCAAATTATTCATATATGCTAGTTATCTAAATTTTTTAGAGCAAAGAAATAAAAAAAGTAGAGTAAAGATTTTAAATACAAAAAAGTGAATTTATTATTATTTACAGATTATGAAGTAAAATATAGTTAAAATTTAAATACATATAACATTTTCAGACTGGTAGAAGTCGTGGTTATGGATATGTGGAGTTCATGCATCCTGAAGTTGCCAAAGTAGCTGCAGAAACAATGAATAACTATCTTATGTGTGGAAGATTATTAAAAGGTATTATGCAATATTATAATAATATTATTAAGCAATTTAAATATCGAATTTTAGTTACACCATGTTGATATTTCATATATTTATTTAGCTACATATATTCCACCTGAGAAACAACATAATGGTTTTTTTAATGGTAAGTCGTGGACAAAAGAAACTTATCCTAAAATAATAAATAGGAATAAAGTTACTAAAATAAGAAATGGAAATGTTAAAAAAGAAAAGCATGTAAGTTTTGTACAAAGTACAAAAGATAAGTTATCTGCATTAGAAAAGAAATTGAAAGAGAAGGGTTTTGATATGAATTTTATACCAGTAGATGATTCTAGATAATATTAATAATCTTTTATTAAACACAATAATATACAGATGTATAATTAAGTATTATGGAGATATTGAACACATTTCTTTGATTATATAATTTCACATAATTTACTATTTACAATTAACTATTGTATAAAATGCTTGAAAAAACTGAAGAAATAATTATCAAAAAATATTAAGTTTTTCTGGTCCATTTCCTAACCCTGCTTTTGTCCTTTTCCATTTCATTCGTCTATTTTGAAACCATACCTTTACCTTAAAAATTAAATATGTTTTATTAAATTCAGATAGATAATACATATTTTTTTTAATACCCTAAAATAAAAAATATAGCTTATATCCTCTGTGTTTAAGATGAAACATAAATGATCAATTATTATTTAAATTCTAAATAATAAAGAGGTATATCATAGAAATATTTAATTTTAATTTGTGAATGTTGGAGAGTTTTAATGAGTGCGAACTTTCAAATATGGCCTTTGTGCTTGTTTTAAAACTCATATGCACAATTTTGATCAACTATTTTGACATTCTTTATATAAAGAAAAATTATCAATTAATTGGAAAATCTAAAAATTAGTCAATAATTGAAATATGAATTGAATCTTAATAATAATAATAATTGAAATATATTTAATTTTATATAAATTTGTACATAAATTTATATTACACCGGTTTGTAAATTTGTATTAAACCGGTTTATATTTTTTAATTTATTAGTATAAATTGCCAGTAGTAAATAATATTTTGGTTTTTTAAACAAGTTAAATATTATACTTGAATGGATAAAATGTCGAAATGAATCAAATAAATGTTTATTGTTATAATATTTTACCTGACGTTCTGTTAGATCCAGCGCAACTGATATTTCATAGCGACGTAAACGTGTAAGATAATTACTATGCGCAAATTCATATTCAAGATGTCGAATTTGATGTTTTGTAAATGCAGTTCTTTCCTTACGAGGTTTATCGCTAGTTAATCTTTTATTTGACTCTGAAATATAAGAGTAAAATTAGTAAAAAGTAAAAAAATAAGATATCGCTTTATATTACATGAAACATAAAAATTATTATTTATATCAAAATTTATATAAGTTTTAGGATAAGTTGACACTAAAAATTTTTCTGTTATAGTTTAGAAAAAAAGTAATTTTAGATTTATAAATGTTAAAGTAATGAATTCAATTTAAAAATATTGATTTATCGTAAAGTGCTAAATTGATAAATAATTTCATGAAATTATATTTTTCTGGAATTTAAAATTTATATAAGATTAAATATTTCATAATATTATCTTGTTCTATAAACAGTCTCAACCTTTCAACAGTTCTTTTTTAAATTCTTGTTCCTTTTATGTTTTTATGATATATAGTTTTCAAAATTAAAATATTAAATTGTATAATATTGGAATATTTATTTATTATAGAAAATTAAAAAAAATATAAACACATGAAAATTTAAACATTAATATGAATTTTATTTTTCACGAGTAAGATACTGTACATACTATATAAATGATTATAAGATTCATAGACCACATTCTTATCCATTATAATATCTATATCTTTAGTGAATTGAATAAATTTTTGAAAATTAGTTTGTTCTGATTATTTTGCACTAATAAATAATCGTCTGATTGCAATAAAAAATATATATTTTTGTATCAGTGTGATTTCCTTTTTTGTGTTAGTATTAACATCACCTTTTATATGGTTTAGTATGGTTTTGAATCATTTTTGTTAAAAATGAAATTCAATGACGATTTCTTATATACTCCAGTACTACATATATATGGTGATATAATCATGCTAAGGTTTTAACCGGTATCAGTTTTTTATTCGCAAAGCGGCAGTCAGATGAAAATAGCTGCATTTCGATGCGTCATTACCAAGTTGCTCCCGCGTGCCAGTTAATAAACGTGCCGCTATAATGTAGGTTGTCGGAATCGCAGGATCATCTGCGAGCGATGATGTATAAAACGTGGTCGGATCGGTGGTAGAGCCCTTAGCCTTGCTTCCGTACCGCTATCTCATCTATATTTGTTAACTGACGTCAATCAAACCACTCCGCGAAATTTTACGAATAATATCATTCTGTTTAAATTAAATAAATCCATGAACCTCCTCGATACGTTTTAATTAAATTTCTAATGGTATATATTTAATTAAATTATGTAATATCATTTAATATTATATATTATTAATTTCGTTCAATATTATATGTTTTAATATTATTTAAAATTAATAATATTTATTTAATATATAATTATTTATTTAATATATTAATATTTATTTAATAATATATTTAATATATGTAAATATAAGAAATTTATTTGTACTCGCAATACAATAACTATTAATAGTTGATTGAAAATATTCTGCTAATTACGTACCGAACGTTCTTGTGTTATTAGACGAATTTAAAATTAAAAAAATTTTTTTGTATTTTCTATTTTTATTTTGCGTTAGTCTTTGATTATTAAATATATAGAGGAACTATAAATTTTTGTAATCCAAAGCAATATGTATAAGAAATTTAGAAAATGTTATTGTTATTTATTTTTTATAATTATTTATATCAACGATAGATGTATCAAATTTTTTTTTAAGAATAGTATATACAAAAGATTAACTATTGAGCTTCTAATTTTTTTTTTAGTTTTACGGTATGGAATATATTTTTAAATATATTTAAAATTCCGAGTCTGGTATTATCGACAAGAATATTTTCATATAACAAAATATAGAGGAAAATGTTTCCAAATGACGTGTATATACTTAATACTTTTTGATTATACATTCATATATAATCATATATATAAATCATATATAAATGTTTGAAAGTTTAATTTTTATACAATTTCATTTTCATACAATACTTTATTTTATATATTTTCATTCATAAATATATTCAAATAAATAAACAGAGATGAAGGAGAAGTTAGCAATGTTCTACATTTATTGCAAAAAGCACTACGTATACCATCTCAATAAAATATTTTGCAATGATTTTACGAGAGCCTTGTCACTTATTGCACGCGATGAAAAGTACAGTTATATGTTTGATAAATATTTAGACTATACTGGCTCCGTTATAGCCACGTTGGCGACAGTAAAGTCGTAAATGAAGTTAATGTAGTGTTCATTACTAATGTACCAATTCGTGTGAACGAAAGTATTTAGTAATCATTAGCTTTAATATTCAATATTTTAGATGGTACTCTTAGAAATTTGATATCGAATTTTTACTTCAGTCATTTTACTAATGATATCTTTTTTAAATTATCTTACCATTCTGATCTACAGAACACGCTTCTTTGTCGAAGGAATTGTCGCTTAAATCGATTGTGTACCGTGAATCTTGCCTCGAACAACATTTGATTTCACTTTCTACATTTTGATTAACGTTTTGATATGACGGAATTTCCCAGGCACGAAATACTGTAGTTGTAGAAATTTGGCGATCTTGAGTTTTCTCACAAATAAAATCTATAGGTGGTTCTGTAGAATTTATATTTATTTTTTCCATTGACTCGTCAATTACATCCTCCTCATTAATAGTGGTATTTTGATGTGAATATTGTTCCCACCTTTTTAAGAAAAAGAAAAAGTTATTTAATAAAAAAATTAGTAGTTTAAAACGTTAAATACTTATTATCTTGTAACTAACAAATTATAAAAAAAAACTAAAGAAAATAAATTGATGCTTCAATATTTTATACTTAAAATTTCTTTCTTTCTTTTTAGTATCGGAAATAATAAAGAATATATATAATTTTTTAAAAAATCATTCAGTAGATTGTACAAGTATTTGAAGGTTTTTTGTATTTAAACATTTAAAAATGTTTAAATTTTCTTGTTAGTAATAATAATAATATGTAAACATTAAGATACTATTGATAATTTAATAAAATTCACAGTGAGATGCAAGTCAATATATGTCACGAATGTTCAAATAATTCAACAGCAGTAAATATATTAACTAAATATATAGAGAATCTACAACCGATGGTACAAATTACGTGGAGAAATAAATTAAATACGTAGAATCGAATTTTTGGTACGAAACTTTATTTCTCATAAAATTGATTTTAAATAAATATTGAAGACTTTGGTTATATACTAATATTTACACCATATTGTTCTCTCAGAAAATTCATTTCAAATATTTATTTAATAAATACTAAAGAATCTGGTTCCTGTCAAATATTCATTATTTTAATTGCTTTTATATACCTGTATATTCGACAATTTCGATTCATATTGGTATGCTGAAAATTTGTAGTGTGAAACGGTGACATACTAAGTTCACTCAGTGTGCTAACTGACGTTGAAATATTGCAAGGATTTGGAAAATTATTCCACAGACTTCCGTGACACAACGAAGGATCCCGATTTCCAAAAAAACAAGGATTCTGAACATTCATTTGAGAAGATGATGGTGTCGGCGGTATTGACGGGATTTCAAAAATATTTTCAAAATATTGTTGGTCTGTTGAAGTTATATTTTCTGACCAAGACATTTCATCTAAAATGGAAAAATTTTGTATTCTTTATTTTTGATACCAGAAATAGATCGTTATTTTTATTTTATGTGTCAGAAATACAGTCGCGTCGATATTTATGTTGACGGCCGCACATTTCAAGAATTTGAAGTTGTATTTTTCTGCTACTGATGTTCTTACGTGACTTAAGAAACTCTTGTTTTCTGTTTACAAGTATGAATAATGCCTTAGAAGAGCAGAAACGAAAGCATTATAAAGAACGAAGTTACTGTACATTTAAAAACTTTTTGTCAAATATTGGCCTGGCAAAAAGATATCGTTTTTTACTTTGTTTTATTTATTATTCATGTTTATTTACTATGCATCGTCTCTGTTGTTGTTGTGACGATGAAATAAATGTTTTTGTTCCTAATTCAAATAGCATTTACACTTGGTACAAATTTTTTACCTTAAATTTCCCGAAAAGTGTAAACGTCAACTTAAATACTAACGTGACTGTACATAAGTATTATTTGATATAAAATCAGCTTTTTTTTAGTTACGAATATCCAAAATTATATACGGTTCTTTTCGCAATACATTAAATATAAACAAAAGAATTGGTTTAGAATAAAATAATAATGATAATAATATCGAGACTTACTAATATTAATATTATACATTAATATTAATATTAAGTATTTTCTAGATACAGAGATTTACATTTGTTATAATAGATGTTTAATTTCCTACTTTAATGTACTCTGGTTTAACGTAAATATCCTAGATTAAATACATAAATTAATTAAATATATAATTATCCTATTTTAAAATAAAATACATGATTGTATATATATATTTCTAATGCGTTGTAAAAAGATTCACTTACAATAATGATTGGTCGTAAGTGAAAAAAGCTGATGTTATATTAAATTGTTTTTTGGACCTGTGTTAATTACAAAATAAATGTTATTTGTAATTAACTCTCTCGAATATACTGTAATTTCTTCAAATCATAGATTCTATTTTTAATACTCTATATAATTAATAAAATAGTTAAAAAGTAAGAAGCAGATGTAATAAAAACGTCATTCTTACACCATAAGATTTACATAAATTACATAATGATAAATTTTAATAATTCTAAAATCTTTAAAATTCTATATGTTCGAGAATATTATTAGCGAAATTTCTGCTCGAAAAAATCCAATAAGAAAATGTCAGAGAATAGTTAAAATCGGAATTTTTTAATCAATCGAAGTTAACGAAGAATCAAGTGAAAATATTATAATGCTTACCCAGTAATTCACAAATATGATTTGAAACAACTATCACAAATAAGATAATTAATAAATTAAATAAATTAGAAACATGTACTGTAAAGGCTTATAAAATCTTCACGAACAAATCACACAAAGATACTGATTGAAACAATTAATTATTTAAAAAGCTAATTGAGGAGGAATTCCAATGTTGTTGCAAGATCACCCACTACTTGTGAATTGTATTAGCACTAACTTGTAAATGTCAAACAAGCACATACGACCATGCTGCGACAGGCTAGCGGAAATCAGAATAGATAGCGATGTTGGAGAATACGAGAGCTGTGGGGCTGGAGTAGGGCTGAAAGGACAGACAAATCTTCTTGCAGAGCTCTGTCAAGTCCAACCAATCCGAACAGATCTTGATCAACAGAAGAGGAACAAGTGGTCAGTATTTTTAAGATATAAACCACTTTGGGCGTTAACTACGTTTTTATTTTCTTCTAAATTGGTGATCAAATCACACGCATGCGTGTATCTTAAAATTAAAGTGTGTCATATAGGCTTACAACATTTCTATGAATAATAATACTATCAATTAATAGTACTATAATAATAGTACTATTATCAATTAACAGTACTATAATAACAGTACTATTATCAATTGACAGTACTATAATAACAGTACTATTATCAATTGACAGTACTATAATAATAGTACTATTATCAATTAACAGTACTATAATAATATTATCAATTAATAGTACTATAATAATATTATCAATTAATAGTACTATAATAATACTATCAATTAATGGTACTATAATAGTACTTTATCAATTTCCTTCACTTTACAAAGAACATTATGCTGAGTACCATATAACAATATAACAATGGTAGGGTTGTAATTGCAGTTTCCAATTTTTTTTAAATTCCGATATTAATAACGACGTGCCATAAAATTTTCGTATAAATTTTAATTATTACTTTTGTTTATTACTTAAGAGAAACCTAATATAAATTTTTCTAAAATATTTGTGCATATCTCTGGAACTAAGCTTAAGCAGTGAAATTATTTACAATTGGGATTTCAATTAATAAGTATTATAAGTGTTATCATTATTATTACAAATGTTATTAGTATTACAGTATTATAAATAAGTAAAATTACGTATTATAAGTATGATGAAATCATTTTACATTTTTAGTATATACAACATGCTAATATAAAAATACAATCCATCTAATTTTTCGTTGTGAAAATTTCATCGTAGGTATCTCGAGCATTATTGCGTCAATAAGGATATAAGTCAGCTTGGGATCCACCTAAGAAAACATAACAGAAAGAATAGCGACGATGAAATTAGGTAGCAATCCTCGTGCGTATTTTGGAGAAACGGTGCCGCTTCTCAGGGGTCAACTATGGAGCTCCCATCATTAGTCATTGGTAATGTTTACTTTTCTTTTTCAGGTTATTTGTATCGAATTTGTGCCTGTATTTGTACATTTCTAACATCCGTTTGACAGAAAACGGAATTCCGTGGAACTCGGGAAACTGATAAATGTTAATGCTAGACAGTCTAGGGAAACAGATATAAAAATAATAGTAGTTGTAATTTGAAACTACAAATATACATATGTATATTTATACGTACGTAAATGTAAACTTTTTTGCAGAATTATTACTTTTACTGGTAAATATTACTTTTATATGATTATTATAATACGATGTATTATTATTGTATAATTAATTAATTAATTATTTAATTAATATGCACACTATATTAATTATTATACGAAAATAATAACATTGTAAGAAATAGTCTTTTTTTAATTAATTATCGAATTTTTATCTTGAAGAATAATGAGTTTTCTTAACGATTTCGTTTCATTAATTTAGACTTATATTTTTATCATAGTAGTGTACAAAAATCTTCTTTTATAAGTATTAACAATTTCATTTCCTTTTATAAACGACTTAGAATTTTATGTCCAAAAATATTGTACCAACGATATAATAAATTTGTTAATTTGTTATATTGATCATGTGAATTTATATTGTGTGATACAATTATATTCTCTTTTATTAATATTATACAATTATACTCTCTTATTATATTAATTATAGTCTCTTTTATTAATATTATACAGTTATTAAAATTATACTGCTTTGTAATTTACATTCATTTTAAAACACTTAAAAATATTTCTATAATAGATAACACATGCGACTTTATTTTCGATGACAAGTTACCCATTATATCTTTGTATGAGGTGGGTTTAAATTTTATTGGATGTAAATCCGTAGTTGTAGCCTGGATTTCTCATTAACCGCGAAGAATATTCACACGATATCACCAAGTTAGAAATTAGGCACCACTGGGCCTAAGTTCCAGGGAAACCGAAATTTCGTTATAGAGATTTAAGCATGTACCATAAATACCTACGTATTCGTTTTGTATAACTAAATCGTTATTTTCTCACATTTGCATTTTCATAGAACCACCTTTAGCTATCGAAGTATCTAAGTATAGTTATCTTTTACTATCTAATGTAGAGAGTAGCTTTTTTTATACTCACATTATACAAATATTCATGTGTTTGTTATGTTCTCTGTTCAACATTGTATTCAGCTTAGAAAACTGTCATATCAATGTAATCATGTTTTAAAAATATATATATAAACGTAAATAGTATCAGATATTACGATGCTAGATATTACGATTTTATACGAGTAGTTGTATTTATATGAACAGTATGATTTTATGAAATAGAAGGCAAGAATGTTATTATACAATAGTAATTTGAATGTGGATAATATTTACATGCAGTCACATCTCCGTTTACAAATTTTCGCAATTTAAAGCTATTACAATTATCTTTATTACTAATTTATTCGATTAGTTGAGAAACTCCGTCGTTCAAGTACTTTAGATTTAAGTGCTCCACTGCATGTGTTGTATGACACATTATTATTATCTATAATTAAGGAACAAGTGTTATAGCATTCCAAAGTACGTGATTATCCTGTGAGACAGAAGTATAACTAGTTATATTTGTCATTACGTTTCGATGTTCAATTACCTTTCAAGACTTGATCAAGATCAAGTATAAAACTGGAAATGTTTAATTTTCATCTTTCTCGTATAACAGCTTTCCTTTCGCGGAAAATTTTACTGAAATAATCGGCAAATAGACAATTCGTAGAGCTCTGGCATATAAATACCATGGTGTCGTACTTATTATTTCCTTGTTATTCTCTTTGAACTCTTAGTAAACGTTTTATACACATTTAAGAATGGATCGTAATCTTTAATAAAGATTTTCGTTTTGATAACGAGTTTTAAATATTGGTTACGACTCTGGGTAATAAATTATTGACAGAGATGAATGAGACTTTTCACGCTATTGTGTCAATTTCTATTTGTTTCAGTCATAAATAGAAAATTATATTTGACCCATCACGTACATTTATTCGTAAATTATTTGTTGTATAGAGAAATGTTTTGAACAAAAGTTTCTGACATTAAGCGGAACGTATTTCGATATTTCGATTTTTTTTTTCAAAATATGTGAGTTTTTTTATATTATTATATGTAGTATCTAACCTTACGATTCAAAAAAATACTGAATACCAAGTGAAAAGTTACTAAATTATATGTGGAATCAAGAACCTAATAATTACAATTAATCACAAGAGATATTCTTCAATTAAATTTTAATTTGAGAAGTACAATAAACTTCCAAAAATAGATACAGGTTTATCTATAAACATCTAGGGAAAAACTTGGAAAAAAGGAGTCGATAAAGTTCTCTTTAAACGATGTTACAATCTGATAACAATTTTTCATCAAATCGTTAACAGAATAATTTAAGCAAGTTCTAAATATATTTCCCACTTATGTAATTAATCAATCAAAATTGTGTATATAATTTTCTATATATAACGTACATGTGTATACACATTGTATATTTTATACATACGTATGTATATGCATGTGCGCGTGCATACTTCTCTGAATGTAAAAAAACAATTCACACGTTTCACATCGTACGCAGTTCCTACAATTAATGGGACTTGCGCGAATGTCCAGTATAATTAGAATATTGCGAAACGCATTGACCAAAAATAGAGAGGCTGAAACAGCTGGAACAGGAGCTTTTGTTCGGCTCGCACCATTCCGCTCGCTGAATTCGCAAAGGATACAAAAAGAATGAAGTTTTACGCTTATCCGCATAAGAAACGTGGAACAAGGACCGGTATAATGAGCTATACTGGAGTTTTGTGTGGTCTACGAATGTTGCTAAGTAAGGGATTGATTCACGAGCAGCTATAATACCACCAAACCAAAGTCCTAATAGATTCAGGTCAATGCCACTACCGTTCTTCGAAGTCGTTCATTATGTGAGAAGAGAAGGCCCCGTTCTCATGCCACACAGGTTGTAATACCTGCGCGGCAGGCTGGACCGAGAGATTCGCAACAAACGCGTAGACACATCCACTCTGTTCAATATCTAATCGAAACGTGTTTCGAACAAACGGCCATTCCGTACTCAGCTAAACGGATCCGTGGTGAATAAAACTACACCAATACGCCAACGGCCATGCTAATGAACATTGAATAAAGGAATTCTATTGACCTCCAATTAAATACCTAATTTATGAAAATGTGACAATTATCATCGAAAAGTCTGTTCAGAATTTTCTACATTCTCGTGTATCCGTAGACTTTAATAAATCTCTAACACTCTCTGTGTTTTAGTTTTTTAATCTAGAGCTTTTGTTATATATGTTTCTTTTTTTTAATTTAGAGCTTTTGTCATATGTCTTCTTAACCATTCCAGAATTAATTAATCACCGAAATTCTGACAAAAAAAGAATATCGTACGCGCCGATCTCGAATGAAAAAATGTGTAACCATCGAGTTCAATGATATTCGATAGGAAAGCAACGTTAAACGATAACGCTTGTTTCATCCTTTTTAAACTGATTCACGCGCGCGTGTGCACTCTTATCGTTTGGCTGTTCGCTCGCTTTATACGCTCTCGCGCGTTCTCGTTCGTATATTTTGCTTCGCTAAAAATGACACGATATTTCAATAATCTAATGTGCCCCGGTGGTGGTTCTTATCGAAACAAAAGGACGAAGGTGAGTAATCCAAAGGGAAACGCGAGTACTATTGAACGAGACTTGAGGAAGAACGAAGGAGGGAGAAAGAAAATGAGAGATAGAGAGAGAGAGAGAGAGTGAACGAGAGAGACGGAGAGGGAGGGAGGGGGGATAGGGAATGAGGGAGAAAAGAAGAGAGAGACAGAAAGAGAGGCTTGTATTCGCCACTGGCAGGACCCTTTCCAAAGTTAATGATTCGATCATTGCGACGGGTGGTAGCAGGGTGGTGGAAACGAATGGCGTGGGTCGAAGTAGTAGGAGAAGTGCCAGTGAAGTGCAGGAGAGGATCGGACCGCGCAAGAAAGTAAGCCCGATCTCAGTTCGAACGGTTCACTGCGATCGGTTCGCTCTCCGTCTTTGGTTTTACCGGTTTGCTGCGCGCTACTCGATCGCACACGAAGATCCTTCCGGTACTTTATTGGCCGACGAACGACGTCTTGGAGGATATGCCGCACCACTTCCGGCGCTTCTGTCCGCTGCCTCTTCTAACGCACGGGAATCATCCGACACCCCTGATGTCCGTGGCTGGTCGCTCGAGCTATATCGCCGTGAAATTACGCACTGACTTTCCATTGCCAGCTATTTTGAAACGTACGTATCGTCAAATAGTAATTGTTGCAGATTCGTCGTTAGTTTCGCTACGACGAAAGAGGTTCTCTTCTTGATCGCTGTACTCTTCGTAGATCCCGTTGTTTTACGGACTTGATTCTCGAATAGTTGAACGTGCTTGAAAATTTCAACGAAAGTATCAATGAAAGTAGTAAATTTTTATGTGTTCCATTGATTTTTAAATTCGATCAAAATGAAGTTATTGAAACTACGTGCTAGAGTTGTATACTTTATATAGTTGTAAGAAATTGTTTAAAAGTCATTCTTATTTTCATTTAATTATTATTCAGTTATTATTCATGTATGTATGGATAAAATTGAAGGACATATCAACATAAACAATATCACATATTGTTTATATTAGAAAATAAGTCAAAATCATATAATTATGTGTGCAAAAGATTATACAATGCTTTGAAACGATGAAATTTCACCATTGTTACTATATTGCTATACTACTATATATTTATAATGTAATTAAATTTCTACATGTAATATAGTAAAAGAAAAGTACATGAATACATTAATAAAAAAAAAAAATAACTTATTAAAAAACCAAAAGTTTTTCTGTATAAACGAATTATTTTTTCAGTCAAATGGTAATCAACAATAATTTTGCAGAATAACAGTTATTGTTTAATTTTTTTAACTTTGCATAATTTCAATACATTGTAACAACCAACTATGCAAAATTTATGTAATTTCTTTATACGTAAAACCTTACAGATGAGTTACAAGATGAATTTTCAAACTGAATACCGTATATATACATATACATATACATATACTTTAATAAAGTAACAAGAAGCAATTATAAGTAGTTATGTAAAATAGAAGTATTTCAGAAATACGGAGAATCCATTTAATTCTTCTTTTTATTTGGCTATCACGAACCACAGTGAAGCTGTACCACGATAATTGAACCGGTTTTTTAAAATACCTCTTACCTACTTCTTTAGTGAATTTAAACGATTGAAGATCCTTATATTATACAAATGGAATCGTTAAAATACAAAGAATATTTCTTAAAGTTTTCTTCCCAAGTGAAATCAAAATATTTTACAATATAATTATATAACATTGATAAATAGAATGTAAGTATTTCTCAAAATTTAGACGTACTAACAATGAAAGAGATATTAAATACATAATAAGAATTATGATACACATTTAGTCTACAAATAATATACAACGATATATTTAGTAAAATTATATCTACTTCGTTAAAGTGATCGAATTGTACAAAATTACTTTTTGAAATATATATAATTAAAACATACATTAATAACAATGTATTTATGATTACAGATATGCAATATAAGTATTATATAAACATATACATATATACAGATTTAGTATACTAAACATATATTACGTAATAAAAATGATTCTTTTCTTAAATAATTGAGACTACAATTAATTTGTACATGTAAATCTATTCTGATGTGAAATAGTAATTTCAAGAAATATGTAGTATACTAGGCACATAGGTAGAGTTCTAAATTATAACTTTAAAATAACTTTAAAATACTGCGAAAGCATTTTATCTAATAGATGTTGCATTAACACTCTTTCTTAACTGAAATGAAACATAGACTTTTAAAGAAATTTTATTTAACATTCTTTACATATACAAAATTTTATTCCAACTTTATTGAACAATTTATTAAAAATATAGTAGACAATGATGTAATTCTTATAATTATAGAAATTCGCGAGAATATTTCATACAAAGAATGCGCTATCATCGATCATTTCTAATGAAATGAATTATGTATTTCTTTAAAAAGTTTTAATAAAAATTTTACTTAGGAGAGTCGACATAATCTGTACATTTTACAATTAAAAGTAATTAAATAGCGCATGTACTACGTACGTGTTAATTCTGAAAAAGTATGCAAAGTCTGTTGATAAAACTTTTAATGTATTCTCGAGTGTAAAAGTTACGTAGCAGCGCAACTCAATATTTTGTATAAACAAATGGTCGTTTCTACTTGAACGTCTCGAGTTTCGCTACTAAATACGTAAATCGCTTGGTTTTACGGTGGAAATACTACCTACAGCATAAGAGATGCTTAAGGCCGTGTAACGAAATGTTAGCATTAATCACGCATATCGTTAAACCTCTGTTACCAAGTACGTGATCAGAGTTTTATCAATGTGGCTTGTAATCGTCAAATTATACAAATCATTTATTCAAATCACTGCATCCATTAATCCTAAGTATTTTAATACGTTACATAAATTTTGTTGTACATAAATAATATGAATGAATCATTTTATTCTCGCTTTTCTTGTTCCTTGTTGTGAAATTTTTCATCAATCATATAGGTTTATAGATACATACATTTAGTAGATAGGTTTTAGATACATACATTTGGTATCAATTGGAAATTATTTCTTAGAAACCTATAATTAATATAATCGTAATAAGTTAATTTGTGAATAACGCATTTATCTTTTCTATCACCATCTTTTGTATTATGTGCGTAGCACGTTAAATATACAAATGTTTCAAGTAGCATATTATAATTAAATAAAGTTTGCACAGTACAATCAAGAAAATGAAATGAAACTACTTGTGAAAAATTTTCAAACTTTTTTTCATTGAAGACATCGTTTTCGAGAAAATCAAATTTAAAACTTTATCAAGTATCTATTATAATATATTCGAATTTGACTAATTTCATATTGGATAGGAGTAAGTAATCAACGTGAGGATATTCTAAGTAGATGTACAGATATGTGAAAAGTGAACTGCAGTTTTTTCGTTCAAGATTTCGTTTTCAAGAAAATAAATTTAAATTTAATTTTCTCGAAAGCGTTTTGTGAAAAATCTTCATTCTACATTTTTCATTCATTTTTGCACATGGAATAACCTTCTGACCTTTTCACCTCTGTCCAATGTAGAATTACCTTGATAAGGATATTTAATCTTAAGCAACAATTTATTATGTTATTTATTATATATTTATAATATTATGAAGTTCAATTTTTTTATATTTCATAAAATTGTAGAATTTAAATCGAAGACATAACGATGGAAAAATATTAAAGATAAGCAAATTCTTAGAACAAGCACAAAATTATTATAATATAAATTGAATCAAAAGAATTGCAAATGAAACGTTGCATTAGCACAATATTTATTCTTAATGAGTTAAATAATGTTCAAAGTTGATATTCTTAAAAACGAAGTGTCATAAAAAATTTTACTCGACTTGGCACGTAAAATTATTCTCTTTTCAGTTGCGCCATGAAAACGAAATATCTTGTATATTTCAATAAATTCATATTATATTTTCATAGCTATTTTGACAAAGTTTTATATCCAATTATATTGTCTTTTCTCCATGAAAATGAAATAAAATTCCGAAAACATCTCTGATCTACAATAATTTATATATATATATATATATATATATTGTATTTTAGTTATATTTATATATTAAATCTTTTATATATTATATTTATTATTTATATATGTTATTATTTAATTATTATTATTATTCACTTTTCTTTCATCTATTATACAATACATAATTATTCGCTTTTAAATTATTGCTGTACAAAATGCAATTCAAATGAATTTCTCTAATTTAATCTCAACATGTACAATTACTAAATATTAAAAAAAAACAGCTAATATTAATAATAATCAGATGGCTGAAGACTCCGTAGAATAACTTTCCATTGTTTCCAAATTTTAAAACGAAATATATGTTTTTAACCATATTGTAAATTTTTGTACAAATTTTATGAAGCATTAGCTATTTCTCATAAAAGTTTATAATATTAATTAAAAATTAACGTTCGTCAATCACACAGTTGTTGAAACGTAATAACAAAATTGCTAAACTTCTAACGAAATTGCGCTAAGTTACTTATACACGATAGTATACGTTGTTAATGTAAATATATGTGCTGCTTAGAAAGTGTATCGATTTATTAGACATTCGTATCGGTGTCAACCTTTCGAACGAAAGTAAGTGTAATTCGATCCGTCTGGGGCTCATCGCGTTTTGTTTCATTGAAACAGAAATTGATTTCAGTGGCCACAGTGTAATATTACTGAATTTTTTACAGAATGGTGGCTTTGGTGGTTACTTTTACCAGGATGTCTCGCATCTTGGACGAAATACATAGAAGAATACGATTCTATCAGAGTTGCTAGATGCGACGTCCGTTGCGGTGGCAATTATCCTGACGAAGTAAGTATCATTAATTTTCAATGCTTGGAAATTCTCAAACGCAACTGATATCATACGTGTCTGTAAATAATTGTAAATAACAGAGGACAACTTGACAGAGAAGCGACGCGAAATATTTTTATACTGCGATCTCTCAGTATTAAAACTTTATAAAATTTTATGAAATTGTATGAAATTGTATTAAAAAAAAACCCGCGTCGCGTTATGAATAATATTGTATTTTTATTATGTTTTATTATGTTTCAATTTACAAGCTTTTGTATTTATATCGATTCTTTCAAAATTATGTTACAATATTAAAAAATAGTTTGAGAAATATTTTAAAGTAAATATGCATTAATGTAACAACGTGAATTATGAAATTTCGATGATTCCTTTCGTCAATAATTGTCTATTAATTTCCTATCGAACAATTGTACATATTGTGTATTGACATCGTTTAATTCTTTCATCCTAAGACAGACAGTATGATTGAATTATTTACTAACACAACCGCGTGACTACAAAGTATCCACAGTGTGGTGTCACACAATTTATTAGCACTACGTTCATATGAACTTTATGCCGTTTCTATGAAGCCTAATTCTTGCCACATCTTCTCTATTAAGCGTTTTGGGTTAAACTAGAACATAATAGAAATATTATGTATGGTATCTATAAACATAGCGTTGACTAATATACAGCATTAGGATTTCTAAAATCACAAATCGACGATAAAAATCTATTAAAACTTTTAAACATTTTTCCTGCTTTAAATATTAAAATCTCAATATTGCACAATACCATGAACGCGTGATGTGACAGTTCGTTCGCGTTTAGATTGCTTTTAATCTGTCTGGACGCTTAATACTTAAAAATCCTAGAAAAACAGATGTATTGTTGTCCATTGTATTAATACGTCACATCAAGCCAGCATCAGAAAATCCAGAATCATTATAGAGAATCTCCTCGAATGTCCCCAAATGCCAAAAACCAGAACAAATTCTAGACACACGATGTAATCGGTTCGAGTACAATCGCAGCATAACTATTGCAGATTCCTCAAATCGAAGATGTGGAGTAACGATTTTCTACTTCTTCACTCACGAGAAATTTAGAAATTTTCTGTCTTTGGGTAAAACTGAAAATTGAACTGGCGTATAACTTTATTGGCACGCTTTGATCCTGTTAGATTCTGTGTTTGAGAAAAATTGAAGGAAGAAGCTTATTAACAGCGACCTACTACTCCAGAATATATGATGGATCGTGTCATGACTTATTATTGTTTGTACTGGTACATATAGTACAATAATGGAAAAACCATTTCAGACAAGAGACATCACTTTAAAGATTTAATAATAATATAATATTATATTACAATATATTATAATAATATTATGTTATATTAAATATATTAAATTATTAATATAATATATATTATATTATATTATATTATATTATAATATTATATTACAATATATTCTAACATTGACCTACAGTTCCATTACATTTTTAGCGTTTATTTATTTAACCCTTTAGATTCGTGCGACATATACAAAATTGCTCTTTTTTTTATTTCTGTCGAAATTTAAAAAGATCAAAGATCGTGATTGTTATGCATTTATATAGAAAATTTAAAATTACAAAAACGCACAAAATACATGTAATATCTAAAAATATACTTATTATTACAATACTTATGATTATAGTTAATATAGTTAATATAGATAATATAGATATATAGTTATCGTAATTATAGAGTTTCTTTTATAGTAATAATAGTTAATATAGTTATCTTTTATAATAATAGTTAATATAGTTATCTTTTATAATAATAATAGTTAATATAGTTATCGTAATTATAGAGTTTCTTTTATAACAGTTTCTGAAAATAACAAAGTAAGAAAACAGTTTCACAAAGTTTTCAAGAATTCCTAAGATATTAGAAACCTAAAATTTAACGAAGCATTTTTCACATTTCAATACTTAATGATAATAAATGCTAATAAAACTCTAACGTTCCACAATTTCGAGAAAAAAATCTTAGTCCTTAATTTCACACACTCGCTCTTCTTTCTTCTAATTTTCGATCAGACATTCAAGCATTACTGTCACTGTTACAATTTTAAAGACTAATTACGATACATGAACGAAACTTTTGGAACGATTGGCGCTGCTATCGATTCTTGTAATGAACTTTACTACAGCTGGTCAATGGCCTCGACACACAGATTATCGTCAGCGTAAGGATACGTCCGTTTCTACATTACTCGCAAAAAGTAGGCCAATAAGTACGCGGACCAGTTCCTTCGATCGTTCGAATAATATATATCTCTGTCGCAGTAACAGAATGCACAACCGAGATATCCAAAGGATACCCTTTGGGGTCAGAGTGACTCAGTATGTGAATTTATTGATCTTGTTGGTTTTATGAACCAATTTTAATTCGATCAGATTATGTTTCGTTCCAATTAGATTATGTCTCTCCTTGGTGTCTCTCTCCCTCGTTCTCGCTCTTTTTCTCTCTTTCTCTCTTTTCTTTCTTCTCTTTATACACACATATGTATATACGATGTCATTCTTGTCTTTTTTATCATTCACTTTCTCTTTATTTTACAAAATCAATATCACTTTTACTTACGTGTAGAAATAAGTCAAAAAGATGGTATGAAATTTTTCCTATTAAAGCCTACGCTTTCGAAAAAAATTGGCTTCGAGTATTGTTTTATATGTAGATACATATTTAAACTAGATTAATTTTTACGTCTTTTCAGGACGTTTTCATTCAACATTCTTAATAACTAAATGCTGCAAATAAACTAGCATTTATCTTCTTATCTGTATCTTTATTTTTATCTATGTTTTTATTTTTATATTTATTTTTTGTCTTAGGATTTTTTTTTTTTTCAATCATCGAAGCAAGAATTACTTATCGCAGCTGTAATGTGAAATTATTTTAAATATAAAATATCCAAATGTTATATACAATTTGCACTTTTTAATCTAGAGAAATTAAATTTATAAGTCGTGTTGAAATCTGATATACAATCTGCTTTTTTTTTTTTTTTTTGCTTTTGAGCTTCGAAGAATACGAGTGCGACTCGATATTATAAGGCAAGGGGTTAATATTCGGAGGAATATTTATATCTGCTTTCTCTTTTTGATGGGTCTGACGCTCTTCCGCCGCCTTACATCGCTACTGTGATCAAATCGTTTCATCGCGGGACCTATAATTATGCAAACAGTGTAATAATACAAAATTTCATAATGCTGTCAAAACATAGTAATTACATATTACATATTATATATATAGACTATATAATATATATATATATAATTAAAATATAATATAATATATTATATATAGACTATATAAAATAATATGTAATATATTGTATGTAGACTATATAAAATATATATATTATATTATATAAATATAATAAAATATATAATATAATATAATAAAATATAATAAAATATATATATTATATTATATAAATATAATAAAATATATTATATTATATTATATTTTATATAATAAATAATATATTATAATAATAATATATAATCTATTTTATATTTTAAATATATATTTTATATATACATATAGAAATATTATACATGTTATACATGTTACGTCCGAATGTAAGATAATGACATTGATGTTTATAAACATTGTCGAATCCTCTGACGATGCTACACAGTTTTCATTCTCGAGACAAATTATCGCAAAATGACTCCTTGATCATTAGATTTAGGAACCAATGTGAGTTAATACTTTTTTACTTGGAATTTAATATTCTTTCGATTTATAATGAAAAAAATATATGGTCCAACTTGAAGAAAATAAAGGTGACCTAGAAAATTTCGAAATCTGCAAACAATTGACACGCCATACTTTGCCTCCCTTAAAATCATACAACTTTTGTACTAAATAATTTTTCAATGGACACGAAATTTAAAAGTTATTTAAATAGATGTACAAATTACGTGAATCAAGCTGTATAATGATAAATATACATAACAGCATTAATATAAAGATATGTTACATAAATTTCAAATAAATGAAAAGAAAAATTACAGTAAGGTAAAAGTCGTTCAATTTTCATTTGGCGACAAACAATTGTTGATTAAACTATATAATTTTGAGTATAGAGCTATATTATCAAAATTTATATATTCGATGTGATTAGATCATGTATATTATATATTTTATTATATGTATTAGATTTGATTTATATATTTGATGTGATTATATTATAATTTTCTTGTAGAAAGAAATTATATTATATATATTATATATATTTATTTATTTATATATATATATATATAATATATATATATATATATATATATATATATATATATATATATATATATATATTAGATTAGATTTAGAAAGAAAAGAAGTAAAAAATGAGAACAAGTGAAAAAACAAACTCCTCGAGTATCTGAGCACGTGGATATTATACTATATATGAATCATCACTTTCGTGTACAAACATTTTAAAGTTACATGCGAAGAAATCACGCAAAGTATAATACTCTCAAAGAATAATATTTAGCGCGTAAAATAATTCTCTATCGAAATTCTATTCCTTTAATCATATTTTCAGAAATATGAATTTGCACAAGTGCCTGCAATCAATTTTAATTAAAATAAATTTAAAATGGTAACAATAATTGATTGAGTATCTCAACTTATTAAACTGGATAATTGACATTTAAGCACTGGACAAAAAGATTAACTGATAGTATTTCAGCTATTCTTGCGGATTCTACAAAAAATTCAGTTATAAATGCAATTAAAAACTCATGTAGATGAATAGAAGTCTATGGGGAATTTCCGTAGAAGAATATCTTTAACAGTCGTGACCATTTCATAATCCCATTTCTGGTTGCCACTTTTGTTAGGTCAATAAGATCAAGCTTCCTTACATTACTTGAAAGACAAACTGAACGGATTCTAGAACATTTCCCTTTCTCCTGTTACAATATCAAAAGATATTTTAAGAACGGCAATACGCATTCTCCATACGTAACACCATACATAAGTTCTGGTATTCACCAGACACATGTCACATTCAGTGTTTAAATTATTTTGACGAGATGACAAGAAAGTGGTGTGATAAATATGCACGTGTAAATAATTAGAATATTAAATATAAAAATATACAAAAATATAAATATAAATATAAATATATAATATAATATAAAATAATACTAAATAATACTGTATTATATATATTATATACAATACTATATTATAGTATTATAAATAATACTAATAATAATACTAAATAATATTAAATATATAAAATATATAAAAATATATAAATATTAAAATTATATAAATATAAAATTTTAATCTAAAATTTAGGATACAAAAATAATATAAAACTTTAATATAAAATATAAATTTATAAATATCAATTATTATAATATTATAAATTTATAAATATCAATTATTATAATATAAAAGTGTAAAATATAAAAATTTATCTATTTATGTGGAAAAAACAAATATAAAAAAGGCCCATCACTCCCGACGATATGAATGTTCGCCTGTCGACAAATTACAATACTGAAGATAGGAAACAATTTTTAAATCTCGCTTGAAGCAAGATCAAGTGGCAATGAATGATGTTGAATAATCTTCAAAGACAAGCATCAATGAAAACGTGCAATTTCACTTCAAAAAACGATCACCTTGAAATCCTTGGAATAAGTAGTTTGAAAGACAGTTTGGTAGACATGCAGATGAATTAAAATAAGACATTCTGTGTTAACTCAGTTACTTGTTCATCATTTATAAAAAGCATATCATTATTCAATGAATTCGTATGAATAGAAACGTACTTTTATCCCTAAGACCATTATTCATAGCGATTCTATCCATGCTATTCATCTTGAACCATCCTTATCATTTTCTGAACCATCCTCATTTTTTTTCGTAGTTTCCATCGATCTTACGAATAAAAGCAAAAAGATATTTAATCAGTCAAACAATTTCATGCAGACAAGTCGCATCAAAAGGATTAAAAGATATATAATAATAGATTGTTCTGCTAGGAGCAATCGTTTTAATGAAATATTATACTTTATAACGAAGATGAATGAATATTATAAAAATGTGGAATGTGCAATCATAAAATATTTTGTTTTGAGGTACGTAAGTTTCGATAAATTGTAATTTAAATGAAAAATATGAAAAGTTAATCATCATAGCATGCATGCAAGGAAAGTACGTTGTTTGCTATAAGGTGTGGTAAATTGCTTCCTCTTCGAAATAGGACTTTTACCTTTTATAAACAAGCAAGCAAAATACCTCGTCCATTATCGCGAAGTATTAATCTACAGGAAATAGAAAATAAAATTAATCTGCAAGAAATAAAAAATAAAATTAATCTGCAAGAAATAAAAAATAAAATTAATCTGCAAGAAATAAAAAATAATATTCCTTATGACTCACAAAAAATTTCTTTTTGGGGTAATAAGAAACGTGACTTTCGTTACCTTTATCTTTACAAACGAGAAATAAAAAGAAATTTAATTAAAAACTCTTCTAATGCTCTACAACTCAAGGTAAAAAATTGTTAACAAAATATACTACCAAAGCTAGGCGAAAATTTTACACGTTAGAAACCATAACATTTCATCAGTAAAATTTTCGGTAAACAAATGTTCCAAACAGAGATAATTGAAATATAAATAATGTCAATGAATTTTTGCAGCATGTTGGTACTAGCATTAAGTGAAATTTTTTCAGATTTTTAGATTCATAACAAAGTATAAAAAAAGAAGAAAAATAAAAAGAAGCATGAAAAAGAAATGTATCTTGTTATTCCTGTTTCTTATTATCCCACTCTATTTTTTTTTTTTTTTACAACACATATTTATTTTCTCACACATATATATTGTACATATATATATATATATAATCGTTCGATGTATTATTTTGTTTTAGTGTATGGAAAATTGCTTGGCATCCAATTACACAAAACCTGGTTACTGTCCTGATAAAGCATCCATGTCACCCTTTGAAGCTGTTTGTTTAATAGCTTGCGTCGATGACTCTCGTTGCCCAGATTTAGCAAAATGTTGCAGGCATGATTGTGGTGTCACATGTATGCATCCCATCGGTTTAGACAATATAACTGGTATGCATTGCATTTTATTTGTCACTTATAATTAAAATTTCCTTACATTTACATGTTGCATATTGTAATTTTAGTTATTTGTATTTATATCATTGACTCTGCATATTTTACATATAGTTAATTAATCAAATTCAATGAGATTCATTTTTCATGGATTTGATAATATTTAATAAAGATAATTTATATGATTTAATTCATTTCTTTATATAATATATTATAATATATTATATATGTTTTTTTATATAATATAATTTAGTTCATTTATATAATATTTACAACGAAAAGATTAAAATACTGATAACAATTTATTACACGATATGATAAAAACTAAATACAATTTAAACATTAGACTTGCAAAAACCGTTCGATTATTATAACACTTGTACATATTAAATCCATTAAAATATATTTGTACGATATAAAATATGAATTTTTACTATACATCAGAATATCCCAAACAATGTTGTACAATTATTTAAGATACACTTTATCAAAATGTATTTATGTATGCATGTGCAACAATAAATGGGACGGCGGGAACGAAATATTGGGATACTTATAGTAATCCTCAATTATCGAAACTCGTTATAGTAAATTAAAATCAAAGTGATTAAATTATCTTCATGGATAATAATATATATTTTTTGTGTCCATTGTTTATTTCGTTTTCAAGCAAAATAAATTACACCATTATTTGCATTATTTTACAATGTTACTAAAGTGACTAAAGTTAGGAAACTTTTTACGATATTTAACAAATTTAATAACGATGATATTGAGAAAAGTTTGGAACAAAAATGTCACGTACATTTATCAACATTGATCCACAAACTGATAAAAGAAGCTTGATGTATTCATTTTCATTACCCTTCAATTTCACTTTTCACTCTCAGAAAAATTAATGATATTAATATAAATACAAATACACAGATATTAGTGAAAGGTTTAAGGCAAAAGCTTAAAATGAACATGCGAGTGAAATTGTACAGATGTTCTGTAGTTTAATGATTCGAAATCACGTAGCTGTTAGATATCGAAAATTTTATTAATAAACACAAAAGAATTTAGAAGTGGCAAGTTTCGGTAGAGTTGCGTTCTCAGTAGCAAATAATCTTGTTATAAATCTCGAAACTTTCATCCTATCATCATGGACATTTAAGCGACATTGAACTAGCCAAAACAGCGAAGAACTTTTTGGAAAAAAAATTCAGAAAATGGACTCGGTTAACATCAATCTTTCGGCAAGCATTGATGCAGACCATAACTCTATAAATAAATACACACTTGTCTTAATTCACTAGCAATACAAATTTTTTTCACTTTCACAGAATGAATAGTTCTTCGAATATTATGGTGCTATATCGATGTTTCTCTATAGACGTGAAGGTTCAATATTTAGCTGCTATATTTATTCCTTTTAAATAAAAATGAATTCCACATTATACGATTATCTAACTGATATATAATTTCTTATTTAATGCGCATTCTGTTGATTTATTGAGTTTATTTGTACTTTTTTTTATAAGTAGAAATAGAAATTTCTTAACGTATATATTAATGTAATAAAATATATATATTAATGTAATAAAAAATAAAAAATTAGTGGTTTTAATAAAGTTACAATTTTTGTATAAAAACGCGTAAAGGTCACTTCCACTTCTTTAAATGGAATAATATATTTTATGATATAAATTGATGCAGCTTATACTGCTACAAAATTCTTTTCTTTTCTCTTCTAACTCTATGTATATCGAAAAATTATTAGTTTGAAAGAGATATTTTAACTTTAATTTTATAAAGTCTATGCGTGAAAGACGCAAGAACATTGTCCCTGCCTTTCTTCGTCTTTCGCACGCTAAATTTTACACAATTAAAATTTAATTTAATTTTTTAAAATTAAATAATATCTTCTAAAGTAATAATTTCTCGATCGACAAAATAGAAATTTCGTTTCGTTATATAAAATTCTTATTAAAACGTACGTGGCTTCTTCGTAGAGTATGATTCTAAGCAAAGTAACAACCATAAAGATTTCGCTGAATCTCTAATAATTTTTCAGAGTTATTTCAATTTTTATAAGCGTTCCAATTCTCATAAACGAACGTATATTTAAGATAGAATAAAATACAAGAAAAAATTTTTTTTAATTTTTTTCAGATTTGCCTGTGATACCCGAAAATATACAAATTAGACAGCAGAAGAATAATTTTGTTCTGTTGACCTGGCATAATTCCAAGGCCCAGCGTGTCAATGAATCTACCACTGGGAACAAAGATATAAGATATTTGGTTGAAGAGCGACATTTGCTTGGACCGAGGTACCTAGAATCCAGATTGAGTCCGTGGACAATTCGTCATATTTCAACGAAATCACACGCGACAATTCGAGAACGATTAAAAACTGGACACTGGTATCAATTTCGCGTAGCAGCCATTAACGCAAATGGCTCCCGAGGATATTCCGAATCTTCCAGACCTTTTAAAACAAAAGGTAAGTTAAGCTCGCATTTATTATTTTCTTTTCTTTTTCAGTACAAATTTTTTTGCGATTTAATTCAGCATTAAGAAAAAAAATTAGGATTAAATTGCGGATTTTTACGCGCTCGTTAGAAATTTAAAAATACAGAAAATATATAAAATAAAATACTCGGTATAATACTTGAGGGATGGAAGTCTCCATTTAGGTTCTGCAAAATTAACTATCAGCTAGTTATTATTTATCAATATAATTGTGTAACACTGTGTGTAAACACTTACAGTAATTAAAAATCAATTTATAAAGTTTGGTTTCAGAAATTTGAATATTTTTAGATAATTCTCTCAACCGACATAATCGTGATAATCGAATTTAATTATGGTATTAATGAAAGATCAAAATGTATTACAGCATCTGTAACATGCGTGCAATATTCATAAAAAAATTTCTGTAAACGTTTGAATACTTTTATGAATACCTGTAGTTTTCGTTTCTGTTATTTAATGTATTAAATGGTTAACAAAAACGAAAAAGGACAGAGAAGTATTAGTAATATTAGTATTAGTATAATCTTGCACTTCAATTTACCATGAATATTTCGTAATTATTACAAGACTTTTTAATTTACTCTTTATTAATTATTTTTTATTATGTGAGATATCGTTCCATTTGTGTTCAACATTGTGTGTTAATACATTGTAATTATTATAACTAAAAACTTTTCGATGCCACATTCAATGATGTCCTGTTTTGCAGTATATATTATATCATACGAATTTTGCTTTATTTTATTTTATCCTCAGAAACAATAAACATACCGAATATGCTTGATTTAGAATCTACAAAAACAATAAAGAGATAACTAACATAAGTTAATTAGATTACATATAAAATGTTCTAAAGTAAATCGATTAAATTATGCTAGTATGGTTTTACGAATAAAAATACTGTAAGAACGAAATGTCATAGTGTTTGACAATTTCGAATCAAAATAGAGTGAAACTAAAAAATAGTAATTCCAGATTAGCATTCATATGACAGATAATATTCTCGTCGACTAACATATGACGATTCTAAACACTATAAATTAATGATTTATACTTAATAGCTTCAAATAGTAATTTCAAATTATTGGAAACTTCCTTTTTGTGTGAACATCCGCTCCGTTATTACGTTAATAAACTCTCTGTTAGCATCTTTTAACATTTATGAACTGCAAATATTTTTTTACATTAAGACGTATAGTTTTCTTTTTATTTAGCGGGTCGACACGCACGCATGCGTTGCGACGCTGAGGAACGTGCGTGGTCATCCGACTCCCGGTTTTTCGTAATTCGACCTTCCATGAAAGGAAATGACTTTGTTAAAAGGTTCTTGAACTTGTCTCACATCGGTATACATAATCACGTTATATTTGAAAAAATACACTAGAAACGAAAAGAAAAATAAAACTCTCCGGCTTATCATAGATAATATATATAATAATAAATATATATATAAATAAATATATAATAATATATAGATAATAAAATAAATAAGTAATTATTTAATATAAGATAATTAAATAAATATATATAATATATAGATAAAATAAATAAGTAATTATTTAATATAAGGTAATTAAATAAATATATATATATAATATATAGATAATATATAAAAAAGATATTTCAATGTGTTCAGATGAAACTGTCTATTACATAAAACAGAAGTACATAAAAAAAAAGAAAATAAGAAAAAATCGTTACGACCAAGTAGAAGCTGAAAAAAAATATTTGCAACACATAATGTCCCCTCCAACTTTCGTTAAAGCTTGTTGAACAAATTCTTTTCATAACGTTGCCTCCGTAAAAGATATTTCAATGTATTCAGATAAAACAGATACTCTGTATAATTTGCATTTCTTAACATTGTTACGTTACTACTTATTACTATACTAACATAGATTATTCAATTTACTTTTGGAGATATTGTACGTAATGGATTTAATTGTCTATTAATTAAAAATTATTATTTCATCAACTCAGTTAGAAAGACTTACCGAGATGAAAGACGGTAATGTTAAATTAATATTTTCAAGATTACATAATTTACACTCTAGCTTGTTGGTCAAAATCATCATGACAATTGAGCGTTGCAGTGGCATGTCGTGGAGATACCAGTTTTTATATATTACATCGTCCGCTACATTTTTACTCTAAGAATTTGAAATAAATTATATTAATAAATTCATATATGTGCTGTAATCACGATATATTACTATAAATATATATTAATCCAATTATGTAAATTATTATTATAAAAATTATATAAATTATTATTATTATTAAAGAATAATTTACTAAAATTTATGAATATATTTAAATTTAATGGCTATATATATTTATCTGCTGTGAAACATTATTACTGATTGTGTAACGAAGATTAATAAACACGAACCAATCAAACAGTTAATTTTTCATTGTACAGATTGATATACTATAGATATACTATATGTTATGTTACGCTATTATTGTTTGAAAAATTTTACCGCTTCGACCAATTCTTGAACAGAGTAGCAGAATAAATAAAATTGTGTCAGCGCACCAAGCGAGTATATTACAATCAAAAATCTCTCAAAATGGTCACTCTGAAAATAACAAGCAGTTTTTCTCTTTATGAAATGAGCAATAACAAAAGAAACATTGGAAAGCAAAATTACGTATTAAGAATTTGAAATTGAAGATATACCATTACGAACATTAAACTTAGAAAGCAGAACCGGAAAACGTTGTCTAGATAAAGAATTACGATATTTGGGGAGAACAATTTCCTCGACATAGCAGCCATCCTACAATTACAAATTTTAACGGCTAGAAATTATTAACTCCACTATTTTCACAATCTCCTGCAACAGCTCGATAATTATAGACACGATTCATTACGTCAAATACTTGTTTATTGTGACTATGAAACATTAGAATTTACATTTTTTAAATAAATTCATTTTCTAGTTTATATTAAATATATTATATTTTATTATATATAATATATAATTAATATATATTATATTATATTATAATAAAATTATTATATATTATATATAAAAAAGTTAATATAAAAAATAGTATATTATATTATATATTAACTATTTTATATTAGCTATATTTTATATTAACGACTCATTGCATTATATCTCTAAAGAAATATATGCAGATTCAATTGCACATAATCGTATATTATAACCATGTTCAATCGCGGAATATAACAATATTTATAGCAGACTTGAGAATTCGAATTTTTGGAGAAAATGTACAATGCGAACACAACGAATATTCCAAGTTACTTTAGGATTACGTTAGGAACATAGTTGTTCCATGCAAAGGGTTAATCATTATTAGAATTAATATGACAATATCGTAAATCACGTCTGATGTTATTATACATTTGCGTTGTTACGTAATCAAATTTTAACTTACGCAACCACGAGTCCGTAATGGCGGATCAACAATCTCATTTCCCGTTTGATCGTTCCAGACGAGACATTCTCTCTAATGTCGTCGTACAGGCCCTTCAGAGTTCCGCATTCCTGTTCAAATATCGTTGCGAATTTCACTCTAAGGTATTTGTACTGAGCGGTCAGTAAAATAATGAAATGCATCGTATAGAGATCAAAACTTATCTTTCTGACAGTTTGGATCCCCCCGGCGACGCTCTGCAGTATAACACCGGTAATGAAAATGTTGATTGAGAAAGGTTCCTTGGATATAACGCCGGGTATTTGATAATCCGAATAGTAGAACTCATTTTTTCGAAGGATCGCGAGAAACGGCAACAACGTCCAAATAGTAGTTGCAATAACATTACCAACTGTGTAAACTCTCAGCGGCTTTTCTATCGGTCTCATTGTGCTACTTGTGATACCTCGAAGAGTTTCATTGCTTTCGATGAGGCGGTTAAATTGTTCGATTAATCTGCGTATTAAATTCTTGCGACAGTGAAAATAAATTCTCAGCGTGAATATTTCCAACGCGTTCACCGCGTTTACCGTGCCGTCCCTTAGTGCCTTTTCTATCGGGACAGAGAAAACACCGAAAATAAAAGCGGTCAAGTATACGAGCTCCGTTAGCCAAGTGAATGCCCAATAGATTTTGTAGACAATCGGTAATTTCCTTTTCTTACTTGTCATCGGTAAGAAGTTCCCCGATATTATATTCATGAGAACGTTTAAACGGCTCAAGTTGCGAAAATCCATTCAGCTCGCTACTTATTCTTTTCAGTGAGAAAAATAAAAAGCGTTCAGTGAATTCGTTTCTTGATTGTATTCACTCACGATGTAAAGGTAATAATTTTATACGTCAATTCATCTTATTATACAGCCGTGATAACAGTTGGAATTGTTAGTTTTTTCTCTGAAATTATTAGAATTTTTCTTTTCTCTATTAAACTTGTCTTCATAAATTTTCTTCTTCACTCGTTTAAAAAAGAGACGTTTTTTTATATTTAAATTTAATGACGATAAAAAACCATGAAAATGTTCAAAATTAATACGGTGTAGGAACGTGTGAAGCTAAGCACGTTTCAATTTTGCACTCTGCGTGAATTGAAAGCGAAATGCGACGAAAATATATAAGTGCTCGAATATCTCATTTCAAATCTTCTTCACTATTAATCCACTTGATGTACAACATTTCCATGACGATTTAGAAATTCATTCTACCGTGTATATACATACATCATTGAAAACTTGCAAATGATGTATCTGAAATATTTGATGCGACTGTAGCTTATCGTTGCATAGCTGATCTTATTCATAGCATTCTCATCAGTAGCGTGTAGGTATATCACGTGCAATGTAAAATTCTTCCAGTTTTATTATCGATCGTTACAACTTCGCAGGTCTCTCTATAATTATGTTAGGTCTCCCTATTGTATGACAAAGAGCAGTATTTAACAAGCATATTTATTCCCTTTTGACGTAGAAATTCACAATGAATTTATGACTAAATGAAATTCAGAATTTGCTAATTGCAAAAAAAAAAAACGTGAAATTAGCGTCGTGCAGTTTGCAGCGAACAGTAAAAGAGAAGGGGGAGGCAAAGTTTTCTTTTCAACTGCCACATTATTAATTGAAAGAGCAATCTATTGTTTTTAGAACCACGGAATCCAAAAGAACCGCAGAACTTAACTTTGTCCGATGCACGACTGGTAGATGGAAAATTACGCATTAGCCTGAGATGGGTTAAGCCAGCTTCAGACGTGCCAATAACATATTACAAAGTATTTTGGAGCCGGCTCGTTCATGGTCCAACCAATGATTCTATTCTCGTTTATCATAGAACAGTTCTGAAAGTAAGTTTCACATATTTATACACGCACAACTTAGCAAAGAGTATATTCTTTTACGTATTTTTGTTAAATAATAAATAAGAATGAAGGAAGCAGGAAAAGTTTTTTTATTCATTTTACGTTAAACTTTCAAATTCTTTTATACGTACACAGAGTGATTTTCCTAATAATTATCCTGTGGTTGATTTTTAATAATGACATGCAATAAATCTTCAATATGATCACACTCGTGGTCTTCGATTGACAAAAATAAAATTTGACAAACAAAAGTTTTATTGTACGTCTGAGAAAAATATATAACTTGACAAATAAAAATTGTAATTTTATATTTGACAAAAATAAAATTTGACAAACAAAAATTTTAATTTTACATTTGACAAAAATAAAATTTAACAAAAAAAAATTTTATTCTACTTACTATTCGCATTAAAGAGAATTTACCAAATATAAAATATTAAAAGAAAAACAGTTCAAACAACAATCGAATTTAATTTAATCACGTCTATCACATTAATTTTCCATGTAAATATAAATTATTTTTGTTAGATTTTTATACTTAATATGACTTCCTTCTGCTTTACGACTTCCCTCTACTTCCTTCCATTTTCGAAATTAAAAAGTATTGCCTCTAAGACAGTTTAACACGTCACAAGGTAAGCGAAACTTGCATAAAAATTTACATTTTCACTTGCCTTGAAGAGCGCCGTTGCAATTCGCGATCTACAATGAAAGTGATTTCCTTCGCAGGATAAAACTTGCTACGAACTGAAAAACTTGGAGCCGAAGTGCCAGTACTTTCTTCAAGTGCAAGCTGTTGCATTGTACGGCGGTCGGCGATTGTTGTCGCGAAAAGCCTCGAAAGTTTTCAATAGCACCGATTACATGGAATACGGTAAGATGAAATTCCAGCCTGCTCTTCTTCCATCTGCTACTGGTACTTTTTGTTGAGCCTAATAATTGGGATAACAAACGAAGAAGTGCCCTTTCATTGAAGCCGATATGGGGAGACGATCTCGCAGATGCGAGCGATACCACGGCGATCTTCATTTGCGGCGAATGACTTGTCACTGCGGCGAGGTCAAGGTACGTTTGGTTTGGCCGATGAACCACGATGTAAAGGCATACAACGTCTCCTGGAGAGAGGCATCCTGCTCAGATTCGCAGGAAAAACTCGTACCCCGTCGAAAGAAAACCTGGTGGAAACTCGTTCAGGTACTGTAATGTATATTTACGTTGTATATTTTTGTCAAGTAATTAATTGGTGCTTAACGCTACATAACTTTTAATCTTTCTTCTTCCATTTTGTCAAAACGATTTCCTTGTTTCTCTTCTCTGATACATCTGTTAAGTCTATGTGTGTAAAGTGTTTGTTCTAACTTCTCATTTCTTTATTTTATTCTGCTGTAAGACTAATAATGTGATTAATACTTTTATACATTACTTGCTTGAAAAGATATTTTCATTCTGTTGAATTATTTACTACATCTCCAGGAAATAATGTTGCTTAAAGCTTATAGTGAAATATATTATAATACAGGAATTTAAATAATGTCACCATTGAAGAATTGCTGTATAGCATCGATCCTGGAACTTTTGTAATAGACTAACGTGAAAGAATGAAAACAATATATTTTTGAAATACAGTTATATCTAGCTTGACAAAAGACATTTATTAACAAACACGTATTATTTTGCTTCATGTTAAATTCTTTTCCAATAATATTCTCCATTATATATTACACATTTATAAATTTAATCTTTAATAATGTTTCATTCATCGCTTTGCAAATAAATAAAATTTTATTTACTAATTATTTATATAATCATTAAATGAATAGCAAGTAATAAAATTTTTGTAAATAAAAAATATGGTTTATCTTAAGACTTAATATCTAAGCTTTAGAATACAATCGAATAATTTATGTCTTTTTATTCGATACATATGATTTTCTTTTCTATTTCTATACAACTTATTAATAATTTATTAATGTGTATACATTGAGAGTATGTATGTATATCCTGAATTTGCAATATAATTCTCTGTATTATAATCAAAATATTAATAAATATGTAATAATCTCCTAATCGGTACCAGGATTTAGGAACTACTTTGTATTGATGTTATTAAACATCAAAATAATTGTAGAATGTAAAGTTTTGTAGAATATGTACAAAGCTGTCTTAAATGATTCTAAATATTACATATAAATTGAATGAAACTTACATCTTGTTCAATTGCTTTCAGACACCACACCTTGATATAAAACATCTTCAAAGTGAATGCACATACAACGTAAACGTACGAAATGTATTCAATAGTATAAATAATAACGAGAATGGTGCCAGACTAGAATTTTTTGCCACTGGTTGTTCGAAACAGTCAAAGGAACAAAAAGATAATAAGCTGTTACATAATAAAATAATCCAATGTAAAACCAAGTCGGCAAAAAGGAAACGACATTATGCTACTTATTTCTAATCAAATGGTTCCTTGCCATAAGTGAATGTATGATCGCTATTTTTAGGAATTAATTGTTCGAATAATCAAATGAACTTAATAAGTTTCTCAAATGTTTGTACCATGTATCATTAAATAACCATAAAGGAAACACCAAACAAAATGTTCAATTCATCATCTTCATATTGAATAAGTATAAAAAGAAGTATATACGTATGTACCATAAAATGATTATGAATATTGTCGTCAATGGTAAGAAATTACTAATGTTCTTGAATGTTACTAGTTGGTTTTTTATTAGACATAAAATCATTTATGATGATATACCTATATATATATATATATATTTTCCTGTAAAAGAATAGTAAGATTAATGTACTTATGTTTTATAAAATTTTTTTACAAAAACAATATATTTAAAAGTGTAAACCTCCTAGCTCACAGTAAGTATGTCATCCGGAAAGTTCCACGGTTTTTCAAATACGCGAGTGCTATTTTGAATTTTACGTTAATACAAAATGAGAAAACTCAAACTTCAGCTTGATAAGAATTCGAATTTTTTATAATACTCAACAAACATTTTCGCGATATTATACTTTTCACTGTCAAGTACGAGGCACAATTGGAGTGTTCTTGTACCGTGAATGAGAATTTGTTGAGTTACAATAGAATTCTAAATGGAAATTATCTCGTTCATTAAAGTTTGGTGTCGTTTTCATATTATACTCTTGTCTCCGTAAAATCCGCGGAACTTTCCAGATGACTCGAATTCTAATTCCTTTTTAATATTTTGAATGCCACGTCTATTTCACTCGATAAGTTTACAAACAAGTGCAAAAATTGTTTCTATTCTAAACAAGATCGTTCCTTCTCTCATTTCTTAAAATCAATATTCAATACTTGATGGATTTATGGACAAATTTATACTACAAAATCTAAGTACCATTCAATCCCAGTCGCTAATCACTTTCATGTCGATGCGACTTTAAACTCACATAAAAAAAGATTGTTTCCCAGAATTAAGAAACGTGGCACTTAAAATATTAATACAGATATCTTAGATAGTACTCTGTTTATATAAACTTGACAGAAAACTAATAGTTCATATTATTAGAGTTCGTCTAAAATTCGTGTGCGTTAGAATATAAAAGACCGTAATTTTATATAATACATATATTAGAAGACTGTATTGTGACATACGATATTAACCTCTTGCACTGGAATGATGTGCCACGCGCGTCGAGAATTCTTTGTCCCAAAATTGCAATAGTTTCACAGTTTTAAATATATTTAAGTATAACCCAGGCAAAACAAATAATAAATTTATTCATACTTCTCAATAATTTCTATCCAGTGATATCGCACCGAGTTCAAAAGAAACAGAAAACGACGAACTATTGTGTACGGTTTGGTCACTCGTTATGGTCCGCAATTAGTTGTCAGCGCAAGTGGTTAACCTCTTGCGCTGGAATGATGTGCCACGCGCGTCGAGAATTCTTTGTCCCAAAACTGCAATAGTTTCACAGTTTTAAGTATACTTAAGTATAACCCAGGCAAAACAAATAATAAATTTATTACTTCTCAATAATTTCTATCCAGTGATATCGCACCGACGAGTTCAAAAGAAAATGAAAACGACGAATTATTATATGCAGTTTGGTCGCTCGTTATGGTCCGCAGTTGCCAGCGCAAGTGGTTAAAATTTCCGAGTTCCTTCAATTTGAATGCGACGTTACTGCCAACATGTTATCGGAGAGTGCTGAGGAGGCGATCTGTATCGATTGAAGGTCAAACAATTCTTTTTCGGTAAGCGAACTGTCTACTTTATTTATTTATTTTATCCCTGAACCGATGAGAAATTGAGAAAGACTCCTTCGTTTCCCTTTCCATCGACTTTGGAGATTTTTGAGCCTCAAAATGGCGACGAATCGTTGTCAACCTCGCGCGAAGTGAGTTTTGTTTAAATATTTTCAGAAACTTCTACTAAGAGGATGCCACATGAACTATGGCACACTGCATGCTATTGAAATATGCTGGACATAACCTTTGGATAATTTGACCCTTCATTTCTAATAAGCCAGCAAGAGCTTAGTCTTCTTGCTCAATTTTCTTTTCAAGGGCACTTAACATTTAACACTCCTAGTATTGTAAGAGTTCACTGATTCTCTCCTTCTTTTCATTCACATCTTATCATATATTTTCAGGTAAGTGGACACAATTGATTTACACGATTAAAATTTTATACTCAATCTTTATATTATTGTGTAATCAAAACTTTGTTCAAATTAAAGAGTAATTATAGAGTATAAAAATTATGGTACAATCGACCATGTAATAACAATTTATTTAACAATTTTTCTATCTGAGAAAGATGAAACCAAATATAATACTATTGAAAAACTTGATTATATTAATTTGTCTTTTGTATCTTTTTTTGCTCGTTTTTATTTTCTATCTAGCCTATTATTACAATTTATCTAATCTATCATTATCGGCAAAATTCAAAAAGTTTGAACAGTCTTGCCAACTATTCCGTGATTTTCAATAATTATCTAATTCTGAATTGAATTAAACTAGTTATTCTCGTACAAGATTGCCTTCTGTACGTTTAGTATTCAAAAAGTGTCTTGACGGAGTTAGCGACAAGATTCTGAATATATGAAGAGTGAGAAGCAATATCGTACGAGGCATATTTTTTAATTAAGGTCAATTTGGAAATTACTGCCAATTAAAATAGGTAAAGAGGACTGCAATTTTGAACCTAAGATTGATTTGGTTCCTTAATTACACTGATATTTTGTACTTGAGAAATGTTTCAACTACTTTGAGAAAATACTTAGGATCGTTGAAATAATCATTCCGTTAACATTCTTCATTGAATAAATGATAGTATATGATTTTACAGGATGTAACAATGCACATAGTTTTCTTCTATTTATATTATTTGTATTTTATTTGTATCAGCGTATCCTCAAACTCGATTAATATAATGATAATAATCGAGTCCCGTTAATGTTTTATATAATAGAAATGTTTCTACAAACGTTTGAATATTTTCATGAACTATAATTTTCGTTTCTGATTAAAAATGAAAAAAATCTATTGGCTTAAATAACTTAAATAACTTAAAATGGGTATCGATTATTTTACAATTTAAATTATTCCAAATATTTCGTGATTTTCGTAATGTAAATTGTTACAAGACCTTTTTTAATTTAGTTTAATGTTTATAATTACATATATCAATTTTTTTATTATGTGATATTTAATTATTTGTGCCCAACGCCTGTTGGTACATTACAACCATTCTAAACATAAAAATTTTACCATATTTAATCATGTCCTACGGGATACATTATAGTATATGATTTTATACCGTTAAATATTAGTCTTTTCGTACTTCCAGAAACAATAAATATACCGAATATGCTCGACTCAGGATCTATAAAACCAGTAAAGAGATAAGTAATTAAGTAGACAGTAATTAGTTAGATTTTGCATAAAATGTGCTAAAGTAAATCGATTATGAATAAGAATACAAAGTATTTGGTAATTAACAGGACAACTTGGAATCGAAATAGAGTAAAACTGTAGTATAGTAATTCTAGATTTTTTTAGATTATATATCGTTTGTGTTGGTTGTAAGTCTGAGTTGTATTACTATTGTAAAAATAGATCACATCTATAAAGAAAATTTAGCAAAATTTAAGATATCTAGTTAATTTTACTTTCAAAGACATTATAATAATATCCAGCAAATGGCATATATTCCCAAATTGAAAAGCACTCTGCACTTTTTTTTAAGTTCAAAAGCAACCTCAAGCAATCAACATTAATAAATATCCTATAATTTAGTAATAAATTAAATATCAATAATTTTACTTACTTACACTTGCGTATACCTATTTCACATATAATTCGTATTTTTTTATTCTTTCTTATTGCTTTATTATTTACTCCTATTATTTTCATACTTGTTATAAAATATACTAACATAGATTATCCGATTTACTTTTCAGAAATATTGTATTGGATTATCTATTAAGAACTTACCGTTATGAAAGATGGTAATGTCAGATCAATATTTTGAAAAATAGATAATTTGCACTCTAATTTGTTAGTCGAAATTATCGTGACAATTGTACGTTGCAATGACACGTCATGGAAATACCAGTTTTTATGTATTACATCGTCCGCTACATTTTTGCTCTAAGAATTTGAAACAAAGTTATATTAGTATATTCACACAATGTTACTCATAACATAATACTATAAATATATTAATCCAATTATATAAATTACATTTATTAAAACGCGTCGATATATTTAAATTTAATGATTATACGTATATTGTTTTTTTATTTATTGTATTTTTGTTACTAAAGTATATTTCTGATTATTTAACGAAAATAAACAATCAGTGAAAATAGTAACGAAAATAAATATAAAGTAATTAAACAGTTAATTCTTCATTGTGCAATTTAGTGTACTATAAATTATTATATTTATATTATTATAAGAATAAGAACCTTACGGCTTCGGTTAATTCTTGAATAGCGTAGCACAATATATAAAACTGTATCAATGCACCAACCGCGTACAATACAATCAAACATTTTTCAGTAAATTGTCCAATACTCTAAAGAAAATAAACTTTCTTTTTATAAAAATCTCTCTTTTTATAAAATAATCAATAGCAAGAGAAAACGTCAGAAAGTAGTTATGTATTAAAAATTGAAAATATACCATTACGAACATTAAACTTATAAAGCAGAACCGGAAAACGTTGTTTATATAAAGAATTGCGATGTTTGGGAAAAGCAATTTCTTCAACATGACAGCCATCCTATAATTACGAACCTTCATTTTAATTAATTCGTTACTTACAAATTAAAATTTTATCATAATACTACAATATCTACGATGTCATCACAACTAGGAAATTTTATAAAATTACACACGCATTATGAATTGATCATACTTTTTAAATTATCTATCTTACACAATATATATGATCTATATGTGTGTAAAAACTATACATATTGAAGCAAGAGAAATTAACAGAGCAAACATTAAGCAAAAGTTTAACCGATAAATAATTCTTTTTTCATGCCATTTAAATTTAGAATTAATGATTTGCAAACTTATGCAATAAAGGATTAAATTCTTTTTCAGAAATTTTCAGATACAGGATAATACAGATACATTTTTCTCATGGCTATTTTCTATTATATCATTATACGCGTTTAAAAAACCAATATTTTTGTTAATAATATAATTTGAAGAATACAGTGAAACTATATTTATATGGAATACTACTATTAAATTGTTTAAACCTGATTGTACACATTGTCCGCCGGCCCTTAACTCTAATATAAGTTGTTCCTTTTTAAATCAATTACTTTTTTTATTCCAAAATTTGGAAATTTTAATTTTTTGCGAACTATATAAAATTAAGAGAATTTAAAAAAAGAACATTTAAATTGTTATTTTTCTAATTAAAAATTAGAATGCAAAAGCAGAGGTTTCACATCAAAAATTGTCAACTCTATGCACTCAGAAACCATTTTCAAAATTTCCTGCGACAATCCGATGATTATAGACACAGTTTATTAAATCTGATTCAAGATTTCATATTTACGTTTCATTGCAAAGAAAGAAATCTTTTGAAGAAATATACGTACATTCAAGTGTATATAAATGCATATCATAAATGTGTACAATCAGAGGACAGAATAATATTTATGTCAGCATAACTGAGAATCCAAATTGGAAAAAAAATGTATAGTGCGTAAACTATACATTTTATATTTTATATGTTATCTTCATTAGAATTAATATAACAACATCACAATTAATATCGAAAGTTACAATCTATCATTGGTAGAATCCATTTTTATTATGTAAAACAGAGTTTTACTTACTCAACTACGGTTTCATAATGGCGAGTTAACAATCTCATTTCCTGTTTGATAATCCTTTCATTTTCAGACCATTTGACAATATTGTTGCACGAACTCTCCGAAGCTTCGGTTTCCTTTTCAAATACCGTTGCGAATTTGATTCTGAGATATTTATATTGAGCCGTCATTAAAAAAATGAAGTGTATCGTGTAGAGGTCCAAGCTAATTTTTCTCACTATTGTATGTATAGCACCGATTATCTGCAGGATAATACCGGCAATAAAAATATTGACTGAAAAGGGTTCCTTGGATATAACATTTGGCATCCGATAATCGGAATAATAGAACTCGTTTTTCCGAAGTATTTCAAGAAATGGTAACGTTGCCCAAATAACAACTGCAGTAATATTACCAATTGTATAAATTGTCAGCGGCTTCTCTATCGGTTTCACTATATTAACTATGATGTCTTGTATGCTTTCATTGCCTTCGATGAGATAATTTAACTTTTCAATTAGCCTACGTAACAGTTTTTTACGACAATGCAGATAAATTGTTAGCACAGTTATTTCTAACAACACCACTACGTTCACTGTGCCGTCCCTCAATACTTTTTCGCCCGAGACATTAAAAGCTCCAAAAATAAAAGCAGTTATGTATATTAGTTTTATTGGCCAAATGAAGATCAAATAGATTTTAGAAAGAATCGATAATTTCCTTTTCCTACTCGTCATTGGCAAAAAATTGCCCGACAATATATTCATCAATATGTTTAAACGGCTCAGGTTACGAAAGTCCATTTAGTTCACTACTTGTTCTTCTCAGTAAGAAAAATCAAAAAAATACTCAGCGAGTTTTTAGTAAATAGGACTTTTTTTTATTACATTCGTCCACATATGTGACACAAAAGTGACAGTTTTATATATCGCTTCATCTTATTGTTACATAACCATAATAACAGCAGAAATTACTACAGTAAATTTTCCCTATTAAATTTGCATGTATAAATCTTTTCCACTCATTTATAAAACAGACATTTCTCCATACTTAAATTTCGTTAAAAGTGGTATAGATCTTTCGCTTGACACACTGCACAAATTGAAATCCAAATGCAACAAAAATATATATAAGTGTTCTAATATCTCGTTTTAAATTTTTTTCATTGTTAATTCACTCGATGATGTCCAATGTATCAATGACGTTTAGAAATTCGTATTACCGTATATATACCTACGTCATTATTGAAAACTTACGAATGATCTATCGGAAATATTTGATACGACTATAATTTGCATTGTTGATCTGTTTATTCATTTACCATTTTTATTAGTGGTACCATACACTTGCGTGTAGGTATATCACATAGTATGCATAGTAAAATTCTTTCAGTTTTATTATCGATCGTTTAAACTTCGCAGGTCTCTCTATAATTATGTTAGGTCTCCCTATTGTATGACAAAGAGCAGTATTTAACAAGCATATTTATTCCCTTTTGACGTAGAAATTCACAATGAATTTATGACTAAATGAAATTCAGAATTTGCTAATTGCAAAAAAAAAAACGTGAAATTAGCGTCGTGCAGTTTGCAGCGAACAGTAAAAGAGAAGGGGGAGGCAAAGTTTTCTTTTCAACTGCCACATTATTAATTGAAAGAGCAATCTATTGTTTTTAGAACCACGGAATCCAAAAGAACCGCAGAACTTAACTTTGTCCGATGCACGACTAGATGGAAAATTACGTATTAGCCTGAGATGTGTTAAGCCAGACGTGCCAATAACATGTTACAAAGTATTTTGGAGTTGGCTCGTTCATGGTCCAACCAATGATTCTATTCTCGTTTATCATAGAACAGTTCTGAAAGTAAGTTTCACATATTTGTACACGCACAACTTAGCAGAGTTAACTTAGTATATTCTTTTACGCAAATTTTATGCATTTTTGTTAAAAATAAAAAAGAATGAAGGAAGCAGGAAAAGTTTTTTTATTCATTCTACATTAAATTTTCAAATTTTTTTTATATTTAACGTGATCCTAATAACGACACGCAATAAGCTTTCTATAAATATATAATTATTTTATTTATGTCTAACACATTTTATCATATTGTAATTATTATAAATTGAAAATCTTACAATGTATATTTAATTATGTCATGTTCTGCGGAAATGAATTATTCTCGTCTTGCTTTTAGAAACAACAAACATATCGAATATGCTTGATTTAAGACCTACAAAAACAATAAAGTTACAACTAAGTAGATAGTGATTAATTAGATTGCATAGAAAGTGTTTCAAAGTAAATTGATTAAATTATGCTAGTATATTTTGTAAACAAGAATACAGTAGAAAGGAAAAGTCATATAAAGTATTTAGCAATTGATAGAAAAAATTTTGAATTAAAATTAAATTGAATTAAAAAATAGTAATTTTATACATATGCCGGATTGTAAATTGCTTATGTTGGGTTTAATTCCAAAAAGTAGAGCACAGAACGTTTGACAATAAAGACGTTTGATAAACAACATACATATCAAGATTAAGATTATCAGAGAAGTCTTGCCCAATATAAATGATTTAATTTTTTCCTATTTCCCATATAATTCATATTTCTTATCATTCCTATATCACTCTCATATTTATAATATACATATACTAACATATAATTATTCTATTTGCCTCTGATAGTATTACATGATTTGATTATTTATTAAGCAAAAGTATTACATTATTGTGTTAGAAAAACTCACCGACATGAAAGATGGTAAAGTTAAGTCAATACTTTGAAGACTAGACAATTTACACTCTAGTTTATTAGTCAAAATCATCATAACAATTGCCCGTTGCAATGATACGTCGTGGAAATACCACTTCTCATGTATTACATCGTCTGTTACAGTTTCACTCTAGGAGTTTGAAATAAACTATATTGACGTAAACTATATTCGCATAATGATGATTATAACACTATAAATGTACCAATCTAATTTTAAAAATTATATCATTAAAGTTCATGGATATATTTAATATTTCTTATCTATTGCTTTCTTGATTATCTAACGAAGATTAATAAATACGAAGTAATTAAACACTTAGTTCTTCGTTAATAGAGATTAATGTACTATAAGTTATTATACTTGTATTACTTACCGCTTCGATTAACTTTTGAATAGAGTAGCATAATATATAAAACTGTATCAGTAGACTAAGCGCATACATTATAAATAAGCATTTTTCGGGAAAGAATCCAACAGTCTGAAAGAATAAACAGCAAAATAAGCAATAACAGATCTTTATAAAATACGCAATAACAGAAAAAAACATCAGATAGCAAAATTATGAATTAAAAAGTTAAGATTGAAAATATACCGTCACAAGCATAAAACTTATAAAGCAGAACCGGAAAACGTATTCTACATAAAGAATTCCAATATTTGGGGAAAGCAATTTCCTCAACATAACAGCCATCCTACAATTACGAATTTTGGTTTTAATTAATTTATAACTTATAAATTACAATTTTTTATTATGATAACATTATCAAACGATATTACAACATCTAGAAAGTCATTGCAATTGGAAAATTTTACAAAAGAATTATACATTATAATATTATATATTAAAATTTATATAATAAATATTTTATTTAATAATAATAAAAAATATATATATTTATATATATAATATAGGAGTTTGAAACGTGAGCACAACTAGCATTCCAAACAATCTAAGCGCAATTGGTATCATCATTAAATTAATATAATATAATAGTAATATAATAGTTAATAATATTATAATAATAATATACTATTACATACTATTATTATAATTACTATCATTATACTATTATACTATTATTATAATAAAATACTATTATATACTATTATTATATTTTATTTATAGTATTATACTATTATTATATTTAATATACTATTAATATTATAATAATTACTAGTATATTATTATATAATATGTTATCAATATTATAATAGTTAATATAATATAACAGTAACGTTGAAAGACATAATTCATCCGATACGTTTTGCCATCGTGTAATCACACTTTTACTTACTCAACCACAGTTTCATAATGGCGGGTTAACAATCTCATTTCATGGCTGATCGTTCTTTCATTCCCAGACGAGATGTTCCTTTTAACAATATTGTTGCACAAAGTTTCGGGTTCCTGTTTGAATATCGTTGCAATTTTGATTCTGAGATACTTGTACTGCGCCGTCATTAAAATAATGAAATGCATCGTGTACAAGTCCAAACCAATTTTTCTGATTATCGTATACGCGGCGCCAAGAATCTGCAGGGCAACACCACCGATGAAAATGCCGGTTGAGAAAGGCTCGTTGGATATAACGGCTGGTACTCCGTAATCGGAATAATAGAACTCGTTTTTCCGAAGAATTTCAAGAAGTGGCAACGCTATCCAAACAACAACTGCAGTGGTATTGGCAATTGTATAAATTGTCAACGACTTCACTATCGGCTTCGCTATGCTAAGCGTGATGTCTCGTAGCATTTCATTATCCTCGATCAGATGGTTCAACTTTCCAATTAATTCATGCAACAAATTCTTACGACTGTGCAAGTAAACTGATAACACTATTATTTCAAGCAAGACAATTAGGTTTACCGTGCCGTCCTTCAACGCTTTCTCCCTTGGGACGCAAAACAGCCCGAAAATACAAGCAGTGAAGTACACTAATTCTATCAACCAAACGATGATCGAATAGATTTTGAAAAGGATCGGTAATTTCGTTTTCTTACTCGTCATCGGCAAAAAATTCCCCGATAACACGTTTACAAAAATGTTCAAACGATTCGAGTTGCGAAAATCCATTTTGTTTGTCATTCGTTCATTTCGACGAGAAAAATAAAAAAATGTTCAATGAATTCGTAACGGATACAATTTTTTTGTTGCATTCGTACACACGTGCGATGTAAAAATAATAGTTTTATCTATCATTTCAAAATTTCTTTTTTTTTTTCTTTTTTTACTGAACTTGTTCTTACAAATCTCTTTTTCCACTCATTCAGAAACGAAAAGTTTCTTTATATTTAAATTTCAGGACGTACAACGATAAAAACATGAAATTATTCAAATTATATTAATGTGATACAGCTAAGTACTTGGCACTCTTGAATTGAAAGCAAATGTAACGAAAATATCTCGTTTCAAATGTTTTTTTACAATTAAATCCACTTGATAGTATCCAATATTTCAATGACATTTAGAAATTCGTACTACCGTGTATATACCTACATCATTATTGAAAACTTACGAATGATCTGTCAGAAATATTTGATACGACTGTAGCTTGTTTATTCATTTACCATTTTTGTCAGTAATACCATACACCTGCGTACACATCACGTGCAATATAAACTCCTTTCAGTGTTATCGATCGTTGCAACTTTGTAGGTCTCCCTTTAATTATGTTTGTTTGACAGTAGACACCCGTATACAGCGTATAATAAGAAGTATATTTATTTCTTTTTGATGTAGAAATTCACGATCAATTTCTAACAAAATTAATTTTTCCACAAACTGCTAATTACGAAAACGTGAAATTAGCTTCGTACAATTTACGACAGAAAGTAAAAGAGAAGGAAGAAGCAAAGTTTTCTTCTCAACTGCATTATAAATTGAAAGAGTAATTTATTACTTTTAGAGCTATGGAATCCAAAAGATCTACAGAATTTAATGACTCACAACTGATAGATGGAAAATAGCGTATAACAGTAAGATGGATTGACTAGTTCTTAGAAGTGTCAATAACATATTACAAAGTGTTTTGGAGTAAACTTGTTTACGATCCAACCAATGATATATGAATTTTCGTTTATCACAAAACAATACTGAAAGTAAGTTTTAGATATTTATTTATACACAAAAATATCTTTAACACTTTTTTCTTGACAGGAAACATACATTTTTTACATATGCATTTTTTGTTAAAGATAATACTAAAATGATAAAAAAGTAAAAATGAGAAAGAAGCAATAAACATTTTTCATTCATTTTACACTAAATTTTTAAATTCTTTCATATACGTGTAGGATGAATTATTTAATGTGATCATATTAAATTATTCTGTTGCTGATTTTTAATAATAATATGCAATATGATTTTTATATACACTCAAGATCACCTTTAATTTCTTGTAAACAAATCTATTATGCTCGTCATTTATCTAACATTAAAATGAGTTCACCAAGTGTTATAAAGATTCTTTTTTTCATTTGAACATTGGCTAAAGAAGCCACTAAAAAAAATGAAGTGTAATTATGTTGAAGAACTCGAATAATAATTTGATCGAATCGAATAATTTAATGTGATCACGTATACGAATAATTTAAGTGATCGAATATCTGTAATCCGAAGATCTTTTGCCTTTTTCTCTGATTTGACTTATCAAGTTTCGACTGTATATTAAAAAATAAAAAATAGTACATTATAAGATTAAATTATTTGCTTACAGCGATATAGTAAAACTTTTACTACAAAATACTAAATAATAATTATTTCTCTACTCTTTACGAAATATCACATTTTACAGCTTTTATGTTTTTCGTATGTATACATTACATACTTTTGTTTCAAATTTCTTCACATACACACCAAATTATAAAATACAATTATGCTTTTAATATATCTGTAATCACAGTACCTCATAAAACTATTCATATTTTTAAGTTAATGCTTTCTGTTTACTAAACAAGTGCTAAAACATGTGTCAAGATGAAAAGACAAATACTGAGCATGTTCTACATTTAAAATAACATATTCTGCAAACAAAATAATACATTTCAAGAAAATTATTTCTTTTACAATTATGATTCTCGGATCGACAATAGTACTTTAATTAAAAATATTATGCAATTTGATATTGTTTCTGTCATATTTATAAAAATGATTTTTTTATAGATTATTCTTGCAATATTCTTCTTCTAATTGTTATCAAAAATGAAATATGATTTAATTTTGTTACAGTATAATACATATGTTATTATATATAATAATGTTACATATTATATATGATATATTAATTATTATATATATAATTATGCACGATTTTTATATAATACTATATATCCATTAAACGATAAATTCTTTAAAATGTTATCTTGTTTTCATGTTCAGTAAATGTGCACAAATGATTTTTCAATACATAGTTACAACTTAAAATGTTGTCATCACATACATACGTACAATATACACAATATATCGATGCTAAAAATTATATTGATATTAATGCACCAATTCAATAAAAAGAAAGAGTACAACCAATAGCAGATAAGATGCATTATTGAACAAAATTTTAAATTTGTTATTTCAGAAACATCTGTACACAATCTATACACGACCTAATTTCTTATTACATATATTATACAATTTCAACTTATTTATTATGTACATATGTTATTTACATTACACATCGAATTATCTACAACCCAGTTGTATCATTCATTCTAAACTACCTTATTTCATTATCATTATATATAAATATAATGAACTGCTTCATTTACACATATATATTTGACTTAGTGTTAAGTGTCACTGAATTTTATCCATATACACATTATTTATGCCACTTCTAGCAAAAAGTTTTCGATCAAACAATCAAGTAGGTACTTGAACGTATTTAAAAACATTGAAATGTTTTTTGTATTGTTGTATTTGTTCGAAATGTATAAAAAATTAGAATCAACGATTTCAATTGAATTCTCTTGTACAAAAGATTTCAGTGTTTTTAAATACTTCCGAATACTCGTGTTTGATCGAAAACTTTTCGCCAAGGATACTATTCATATTATTATCTACTGTCATCTGTTATCTATTATTATGCATAGCACGAATGACATGAGAAATTTCTCGAATTATTAAATATTTGTTATCATATTAATCACGCTCTATTAAATTAGATAATTCTAAATTCAAAGGTAAAAGTAATTTCAATTTACCTATTTAAAATATAGTAATTTGCTTAATAAGAGACTAAAACACACGTTGACCAGGTTGCTCAAATGAATCGTCGCGGCAGAATAGCCATCCAGTTGATGATAAATTGTTCTTTCTCCAACAGTCTGCGTCGGTCTGTGATTAAAACTCAGTGTCCCGTTATTTGTTCCAACACTTTTAAAGATGCTTAACTGCAAAAAAAAGAAGAAAATATGTAAGTAAATAAAATAATACAATAAAATAGACAATAAGAAATAAATTTACCTGCTGTTCTGATATGGAAAGTTTCTCAGTAAGGATATACCACATCACAGTTTCTTGGCATCCAGGAGTAGTTAATGATCCGTCATAATGGTAATACGTTGTATGATCTTTTGGTAAAAGAAGATAAGGGATAATCTTCGTTTCCATTAATGCTGTAGTTTCCCCGACTGCGTTAGATACTAATTCTGTTGCTTTCAGAATTGACATTATTTCCAAATTGTCCTCGCTATTTACCTGAGAAAGTATTTCACACACTTTGTTAATACACACATAATTGTGTTTGTAATAGTATCATCAAAAACTAGTTATAATAAATTATTGTATCTAAAATATACTCGTAATTTTTTATATCTAAAACATATGTACAATTGTTTTGTTTTAGATAGTAATTATAATAGCTAAATATCGTTATTATATTGCTATACACACAGATTACGTTACTATAAGATTAAATTATAATTACTATTTGAAATATATATATATAATTATTATATATATTTTATTATATAAATATATATATATAATTATTATTATATATTATATATATAATTTTAAAAAAATTCATAAAATATAAAAATGATAATTAAGAAGTTAAAGATTCCAGAGAAATACATTAGTTTGATCCACTTTTTGTATATCTCCCAAATTTAAAATTAAATATCTTTATAATTATATTTATCATCTTCTCCACAAGAGATAGAAGATAAAATCTTTTTATTCTAAGAAAATTTTATTTCAGAAGACTTTATTTCAAAAATTTTTTCTCTTATACCAATAAATCATAGTTATACAGTAAAAATATTCCATTCTCTATAATCTATGTCTGTCTGTAGTGATAATCTGTAATCAAGAGGAATCAGTAGAAGAAAACAAATACACGTGATTGGGACAGAGGCGCTTTCTATTACAATCTAAATACATACTTCTTCGCTATTATAATGCCTCATTCACACTACTGTTGGCGAACAGTCTACTTTGGCGAACCGCGATCAGGTTACAACGAGCTCGCTTACAATAGCGAACAGTACTCGCTTGGTACATCAAAGAATCTATTCGCCAACTCGAAACGTATATGGATGCGTTGAAGATCGCAAAATACTAGACGAACAAGCCTGAAACTGCTAGCGAATTGCTCACGAGCTGCTCGGCAATAGCAGTCTGAATGTGATGGCAGTTTCTGTTAGCGAGCAGTTTGCAAACTGCTCGCGAGCAGTTTTGCCCAGTGTAAAGCTAACATAACACTTTTTGTGTTAAATTCTCAAAATTCATTGATTTCAATATCGTTCGTTAATCAATAGTTAGAGTCCTTTGTATTAATACATACTGATACATACTAATTTTATTAATCTATAGATTAATAGAATTAATTGCATACAATTGTTTCTCTGACATTGTATCGTCGACATCTTTTTTAGCTGTAAAACTTATTCAGATGTAGATTACATTTTATAGATTTGCTTCAACATCAAATAACAAATGATAAGAAAAGAAGAAAAAAGCTCTGATATACAATACAATTTTTAAGAGAATCAAATTACAAAGCTATGCATCTTTGTAAGATATAAAATTATAATTATAAAATTAAATTAATTACAAAAATTTTTCGTAAAAATTCGTTTTCTCCAGCGTATCGAAACATTTTCACCTAATTGTTCAGTTCGTTTAACATAACGTATATCTATGTAAAATCCTAATTTTTAATATTTACGAAGTATTCAAGGCATACATGATATTTCTTTGTACACTAAATAAGAACACAATGCAACTAAAATCTTATATATCTATATAAAAATTTTTTTGTTATCACTTTTTTGTTAAACTTTTTCGTATTTAATCCAGATCGTGTTGATCAGAGTTTCTAATATAAAGTACAGAGTGTAATATATACTTTAAGTTATGTAAAAACAACGATAAGAAGATTTATATTATAACCAATTAAATTCACACTCTTTCTCTTCCCCATAGTGTATTTCTAATGAAAGTGGCTATCACTATTTTTTTGTAAAAATGTAAAGTTCAGAAACTGCTCGTAGATCAGAAATATTTTGTATTCTGACGACAAAAAATAACACTAGATATTCAATTGATTAAATTAAACAAATCTGCCTAATCCATTATCAGCTATTATGATGGCTTTGTTATAACGAAGAATCCATACTATAATAAGAGTTTAAAAAAAAAAACGTGAAAAACGTCTTACAGTTAGAAGAATTCTACGTTGACAGTGCAATTTATTTTACTAGTTACTACCTTGTTAGTTGTAGAATCAAGGATAATTTGCTGATTTGTGTAATAGACCTCGATATACCGGACGCTTTGACCTGAGCAATGTTATGCCATGATGGCATTCGCCACAGACTTCATCTTTATTTCTTTCAAATCTTCACTTAAATTGTAATTCGTCTGGTTAATGATTAAACATCTATTTTAAATCTTACAAGATTTTGGCAACATTGATTTCTAAATATTCGAAACAAAAAAGAAAGCACCACATCGTCTTGTTCTTTAGTTTTGGAACATTCAGCAATGTTACAGCGTTATTATTTTAAATTATACTTCTTACTTCTCCCATGTGTAACGAAAAAATCGCTACTATAGAAATGGTACAAATTCAGTTTTTTATATTTCAATTGTAAAATTTGTTATCTGAGATAATACATGTAAATTAAACAATGTATTTATTTTTCGTTTCTCTTCTGACTCTGATTTTAATTATGATTCTTCTGATATTTTCACAATGTCAATCTTAAGTAACATTACTTATCATAATGCCATGAGGCAAAAGAAGATGCCAATCTTTCAGTTTCAATTCATTATCATGCTCTTCTATAACAGTCTTAGCTATGTTATTCCATGCATTAGCTGTATTGTCTCATGCTTCATACACTTATTTACATAGCATAGTTAACTGACATGGCAACAACTTCCCTTCTAACGAGGGGCTATACATGACATGTCAATCATAATTTATTTTGTATATTGTTCAAATTTATCTAAGAAAAATGAAACCAAACATGATATTATTGGAAAATTTGATTACATTAATTTAGCTTACGTATCTTTTCTTACTCGTTTTGATTTTCTGTATCTAAACTATTGGTAAAATTAAAAGAACTTGAGCAATCTGTTTGCTAACTGTTTCACAGTTATTATAAATTTGAATAGTTATCCGAATCCTGAATTGGATTAAACTAGTTATTCTCCAAGACAGTCTTCTATGCGTTTAGTATTCAGAAAGTACCTTGATAACATAGGTAGTTTCAATGTTCGATTAATAATAAAAGAAACTATGGAAACCAGTGACACACGCAACTTTCTATCAACTTGTTAATAATAAGCATTCAAGAAGCTTACGTCTAAATTCATACATCACAAAGAGAAAATTGAGCTTGTACAGTAAGAAATCTACTTGTAATCATTCAGTTCGTGATCAATGGGCAACCAAATAATCCATCTGGTAAATGTTAACATGTGCAAATTGCTTGTTTTGACAGAACAGAGCACATTATTGCCGCATATGCATCATTAAGATTGCATGAAACATTGACCAGAAAGTTTCATTGATGCATTGACGATATGACTGTTATTTTAAGCACGCGAAAATAGTTTCAAAATATACCAATGAAATTTAATAATATCCATCAAATCAATATAATATAATACATTTGCGTTTTCTTCTTATTTTCAATTGTAGATTATGTTCTTATAATTTTGCCGGAAATGAATTAATGTATATTTATAAACAAGTTATTTTACCACTTCTGTCAAATAAAATATGTAATATCATAGAAGAATATTTAAATGCTCAAAATAATAATAATAATAATAAAACACTTTTATCCATTTTAAAATCAACATACCTCGAATAAAGTAGCAACGACGGCAATGCCATTTTCATGTTGTGATGCCATACTCGCATTACTATATTGTTCATTATAATGAACAAAATGTAACTCTAATGCGTCGCGAATGTTATCTATGGTGTGTTCGGCAGGCCAATGGAAATGTATTTGCTCCAAAATATATGTGGATGGAAGATTTGCTCCTTCAAGATGAATTGGCACACAGCATAATTGAACTTGTACTATAACAAAAATTAAATGAAAGATGAAATATTTTTAAAGGGATTAACAAATAAATATCGTAAATGCTATACATGGACATGATTAATAGAGAATGGAAGAACTGATGATCTTTAAACTTTTTAAAAAGATTAACAAAGTATAATAAATGCTGTATGAACATGATTGATAGAGAATAAGAAAAATTCCTTTTCCAAACAATCTTATAAGCTTTCAATTCAAAAGCTTATTACCATAAATTCAAAATTGATCTTGTGCAAAGCCGATATAGTTCACCAGTATGCTAATAAAACGTTGGACTATATACCAATGTATGCGCCAGTGCCATTTGAGAAACATTATTGTCGTTAAGTATGCCAACAGAGATTTAGTCTCATTATTTCGTTGCTGAGTTGTACTGTGTATTGGCGCTTCAATCAGTTCTTTTTTATTGCTTCTAACTGAAAAAGGAATTCTCAAACCATTAAGAATCAATGTTAACAACATTTTCATTAGCAGCATTTCAGTTCTTTCTGATCAATTTCATATTATCAAATTCTACTTTTTACTATTGAAACAAAAATCCAAGGAATCACTTAATATGTTTTCATCGTCATGTGTATCTTTTATTATTTAATTTTTTAAGAAATTAAAATATTTATAATGTCACTTTCATGCTTAGCTTAGTCAATCGATTCAAAATCTCTCGTACTGATCAGTAAACGTTCAATATAAATATAAAAAAGGTTCGCCTTTTTTTCTTTACTTACCAGAATGACCATTGTTCGTAATTTTTCCTTGAAATGCGAAATCATATCTTATGAATTTAAGTTTACCAAGATCGATTTTAATGGTATCTTCAGTGGCAATATTTATTGGTGATTGCTTCTTTCCACTCATACACAGACCTGGCCAATGTTCCGGACCTAAGCAAAGAAAAATATAAAACCATGTGGTACTTATCACATTATAACACTAGTCATATTTTTAAAATATATCTGTACGATTTTGAAAACAGGAAAGATTCTAACTAAATATTGATCAATATATTATTTTAATATGTGTAGATTTCAAGAAGATGGCAATTTATTTGCAAATACAGGAGATCAAATAAAAATTTCTCATCTACTTATATTTATATTTTATTTATTCAACAAAAATGTCCACTTCTATTCTTACATCTAATCTACAATGATATCTTTATGGTAAAGTTGTTATAAATACAATTGTATTTGGTGTGATTAGATTAAATTGGATTATTGAAAATTAAAAATAATTACCATTATCACCTAAGTATGACCAATCATCAGACGCAGTTATTTCAAATAAACCTGAAACAATTGAAATTTTTTAATTGAAAATTTAAATCCAACGTTGACATTTATATTGAAATTCATGGTTTTGCGAAAAAATAAAATTTAAATAAAAATTCATTTTTCATTGTAACTAATAATATACTAAGTTAAATATGATAATAGTAAAATAGTAAAATAATAACTAATAGTAAAATAAACTAATAGTATAGTAAGTTTTCTATATATAGTGTGTCTTGTGTCTGCTCTGTGCATTTACAATTTCTAACGCTTTCAAATTTTCTACAGGGTATAATAATCATAATTTAGTAATCTTTTTTGTTTGAATACATTCTACAAAATATCCTCGTTATAATTCAAAATTAATAAAAATTGATTGAAATATTATATTAATTTTTAAATGAGTAAAAATTTTACTGCTAACTTCAGTTTGGATCATGTTATAATATTGTAATATTGATATTGTACATGGCTGTTCAAATCGTTGAAATTGCAGAAATACAACATCCGTATGTTGTATAATGATATTAAGAAACGATCTTAAATGAAACATTGATTTTTATGAACAAACATTCTATACAAACCGCACGTGTGATTGCAATTTTAGAATTTCATCGATATATAGATGAAAGTCCGGAAACCAATGATTGAGTACATGAAGCGAATTATTAACGTGCCACATCCTACTGTACATCGAACAACTGTATGAAGTACAGGGTAGCAAGAGTATTACAACTATCATGTGAGAATGTTCCACTGGTACAAAAACCAAAACTTATCTTTCATAAAAAAAAATATAAGACAACAAATCCCTTTGATTAAAAGATGTATAACACCTTAATATATAAAAATATATGTTACTATTAAATAAATACAAATATATCAAATTTCTTAAACAAAGCGCGTGATTTTAAAAAGTAATTTTAATATCAAATTAAAAAAATAGAAATCAATTTTCGTCATGTAGGAAATTATTAATCGTATGAGATAAAAAAAGAATTTTAAAAACAATTGTTTACTATAAGAGATTTATCAAAGCACAGATCTAACGGAAAATCACAGAAATGGCGATTAATTAATAATAAGCTGCATCCGTATTATCTTAAAATAAATGGTCACAAAAAGATAATAACTTTGCAAATAGTAAATAAGTAAATTATATCAATGCAACTGTAAATGATATTCTATAGTCAAAATGAAAATGAAGTTGCACATTTAAATGATTATAAAGGTGGAGCATTCATGATAAAGATACTTAATTTTACATACAAGATACGTATAGCAAATATGCAGAGATTATAAATCTGCAATATAATTGCAAATTTTACTTATCGTTACCATTGATTAATCGAAATATATAGATACATAAAATATAATAAAAATTTTCAAGATTAGAAACACAGTATTTTATTTTTTGAAATATATATGTGCATAAGTAGACATCTCTTTTAAAATATGCACACGTGTATATTTATTTGCATTAGTAAAGTAATATTTTTAATAGGAAACAAAATTCACTTCATCAACCATTACCATAACGTTGCAGAAATATGTTTCTATTAATGAGATCTTATGGCAGAAAGTAGCACCGAAATTCTGAGAAAACTTAAATCATGGTTTCGTACGTTCTAAATTGACACTCAATCGACCCTCAAAGGAATGTCGCTAGTTTTAAATTGGCGCTTTTACATTCGGTTAATGAAGAATTCAAATGAATTTTAATGAGCATAACGTAAGCTTCCGGTTATTAAAGAAGGGACTTTTCGTTGGACTGTATTTATCAATTTTTCGTCGATTGCTGGTAAGTTTTCTTTTTTATAAATTTCAAATATATGACAGTATTAAAAGCAATGAAAATTTATACGATGGCAGTTTTGTTTGTTCGTGAGGCATAAAAATCTCGTGAGAAGATAATTTCCCTTTAGCTATTTTGCTCTACAATTCTTGATAATGTGAATTTGATATTATCATGTAAGGAATTTTTTTTATTTGAATCGAATGACAGATTTATTTGAATAGAAATGAAGTGGATGAATCATTTCATAAAAGATTCATACATATTAATTGTTTTTCATTCTTTTGTATCTTGTTCTAATGAATGATATATTTTTGTTCCTATGTGTGATATATTTGCAATTTAAATCATAATCAGATTTTACATTGTAACGTAAAATATAATATAAAATGTATCGAAACATTATGCTAATTATGCATGAATGTGTAAAACGTAATAAAAGATTCAAATATAAAAACATTGCATGACTTTTCAATGCAAGATAATTTCATTTTAAATTAATTGTCTCCTTACCTATGATAATTGTGAAAATTACATACAAATTCTTCATGGCAAAAATGCTATTTGGAACTGTCAGAAGTTACGATTACTCGATGAAACGAACGTGACAGCGATGAGCCTACAACTGGTGTACACGACGTTAATCTAGCTAGATAGCCCCGAGATTACACGAGGCCCTACTACCTATATAACATTTACATTGTGCATTGTATTAAGCATTGTGATTGCCGCATCTGTATGCGTTAATTAACTCTTATTTACATAAAGAATAAATTACAATCAACATAATTTTCTTGTTACTTCTTGTGAATTGTACACAATTAAATTAGATTGTTAATTATTAGATATTTATGTTTATATCTATTTTACTAAAACAATAAATTAGGCTTGAAAAAAATTAACATAAAATTTACTTAAATTCATATTACCCTATTTAAATAAAGACAGTGACATTGATTTTTATTGCAGGAAAGAATCTCTCTCTCTCTCTCTTATTAATAAAATTATATTATGTCTAGCGTGTAATCTCATACAAATATCATGTAATGCAAGAAAAAACAATATTTAAAACTTAACAATATTTAAAACTTTTTTACATACAGTTTATCTTCTGTGGATAGCTCGATTTTTATTTTAATAATCGTCAATCAAAACAGTTGATCAATTATACATTTGTATTAACTAACTATTACTTAACTATTTTTTGGCAAAACAAAATTACTTTACAAATAATTTTCAAATATACTTTATTAATATAATTTGTTGAAGATAATATCAACTTACCTGTATGATGGAAAAATATCAATAAGAAGGTAAAATATTTGAAATCCATTTTGAACGTACGAATGCACAACTCAATTGTCGTTTTTGTTCATTGAAACAACAATTTGAAACTGCACGACAATTTGTGCACAACTGACCTTCCTCTCAAATTTCTCAGTAACTTTGGCATATTCAACCACAGAGATTACACGAGCGACTGTTGAATTAATAGACTATGCTTTTATTGTGCATCCGTTGGTGCAGATATAAATACAGAATATGTATATATATGCGTTTTATTATATTCTACAGCAACGATGTTTTAATATATTTATTTTGTTCATTAACTTGTATATAATATAATAATGTATGTGTAACTACATGTTATCATTTCGATAAATAATTAATTTTTTTTATATTTGATCGACTCAGTAATAAAAGAATATTCTTTTTATATTTTATAATTGTTATTGTTATGTTTTCTTTTTATTAAAATAGCTTTCAATTGCTTTTTTGATGTTTTATCTACAAATTATCAGAGCAATAAAAATAGTCACTACACAAAAAATTGAAACTCACAATCACTTGCAAAAATAGAATTAATTTCCTCAGAATTATTCATCACCCATTTCTTCGTAGTATTAATAGTACATGTATATGATTTTTGTCGTTATTTAATTGAATATTTTTTTAATAATGCAACGTTCGTGTTTAAAAACTTTATGAATATAAATAATTGTGTTTCTTCATAAATACGCTAATATAATAAAATTGTTAAAATTATTATAAGTAATAATAGGAAATAGAAAAGCTGTGTTACATGAAAAGATTTTATTATAAAACAACTTAAAGCACATAAGTGATATTATTATAAAATTTAAATTATATAAAAAGTTAAATTCAAATTATTACATATACTAATATAATCAAAATTTTATCTAACTGTCCCAAAATCAAAAAATTAATTATGTAATTATTCGATCATTTTCTTCTCTCAGGACTTCGTGATATTTTTAGGCATCTAAAAACAGAAGATGTTACGGTTACGTACTATGTGAATATATATATAATAAACCAGATACCAATGAAAGTAGAACTAGAGTCCGAATAATTAGAGTTCATAAAATTTATCTGTGTTATTAAATCTATTACAACGTAATGTTAGTTAGAAATGTATGCACATATACACTTTGCACATTATCTTCGGTACAAATGACAAAAAAAATTAAAAACTGGCGAAAGGCAGTAATCGAACTTGATAATTGGTAATTTAAAAATTTTAAATTAGAGAGAATGAAATTACGGTAACAGAGATATTATCGACAAATAATTGTTTCAACAAATACTAAAAGTATAGAAAAATATTTATCAATTTTAATATATTTTCGTAGACGATGAATGAATGGTTTTATTCACAAAAGTTAACTATTAATTAGCTATAAAATCAAACGAAAACAAATTAATTTCTGCTAAATCGATTTTAATGCTTGAAAATATAAATACTCAGACATTTCAATACGTGAAAAATCTAAATATATAGACAATATATGTGTATGATGTTATAAGATTTGAGATGTATTTTGTTTCTTACATCATAAAAATTTCTTGTATAATTTATACAATTATAAATTATAAATTAAATAAATAATAAATACAATGTAGATATGTGTAACATATTTTATACATGTATATTATTTATGATTATAATACTATATATGTAAAGTATTTTTATACATTACAAATTATTTTACAAATTATAAAATTGTAATACCAAAAGATTTTCATATATCACACGAATTGAAATGAATTTCCCATTATTCTATTATATTATATTATATAGTACATATCTTGTAATATATTTTAAAATCATATTATTTATTAAACTGTTAAAATATTTGTGCAATTTTATATTTTCACGAAGATAGAATCTAGAATGATGAAAGGAAAATGGTATCTAGATATTAATTTATCTATTAAATATGATGAGAAGTATTATATTTTAAATATTTTCTATACTTTTCCTTATAACTTGCATTGTCTTTAAATTTTCCATAAATGCATAAAAATCCATAGTCTATTAATTACGAATTTTGTGAATTAGATTTTCTGCAATAAATCAATTTACTTGATTTATATTTACATTTCTTTTTCATGCTTTTTTAGTTTGTGTAACATCTAAGAGCTTACTTATTTTGTTGAAAAATGTTGGAAATATCTTCGAACGCACGCAAGCGTGTGTGTATATGTAACATTGTAAATAAAAGGAATAAAGCACACTAAGAAGAGAGTGAAACGCCAGTAGAAGAAGAGGACAGAGTGTAAGATGAACCGGCATGGTCGGACAGAAATAGAAAAGCGGCACGAAAATCATTTAGTGTTGGCCAACGTGTAATTCCCTCAGTTCAGCAAGTTATTATTGCTTGATTTTACAATTTTGTCTACAGATAAAATGACGCGTGTCCCGATAAGATCTTCCTTGAAAAGTCGAGATTCCAATTCGACATCGACCGATCCGGATCTCAGGAAACGCATGAAAGACTATTGCCGAAAATTGGTGGCCTTCATGTGCACTCAGGTTGGCGTTGGTGGACTCGTGGTTGGTTACGCTATAATAGGTGCTTTTGGCTTTATGATGATCGAGACTCAAAGCCAAATTCCATCGGCGGTTTGCATTCGGGAATTAATTAGAAAACAATACGCCGAAGAATTGTGGCTGAGCACTGCCAGCAATCGAACGATAAATATCTTCGATAAAACAACATTTCGCATGGTGTCTAATCAAATTCTGCGCCGCTATCAAGACAATTTCACTGGTGACTATAGAAACGAAAATTGTAGTGGCTTAACAGCGACTGATCTATGGTCCTTCCCGGCAGCATTGATGTTCTGCCTTTCTGTATTCACGATGATCGGCTATGGAACGCTAGTGCCTCAAACTCCCTGGGGAAAGGCCGTCACCGTTATTTACGCCGTGTTGGGCATTCCTCTTTACGTTTTGTATTTCCTTAACATGGGAAAAGTATTAGCGCAAACGTTTCGTTCGCTCTACACATGGCTGCACGAGTGTACTGGCAAGCGAAAAGCTGGTCAGAGAATCACAGTACCGTCGACAGCATGTCTTTGGGTGATCTTCGGATACGTCTTGAGTGGTTCAATAATGTTCGCCGCGTGGGAAGGATGGAATTATTTGGACAGTGCTTATTTTTGTGTGACATCGCTGTGCAAAATTGGAATGGGCGATCTCGTTCCTGGTTGGACACACGGTGATCTAACTGCTGAGAGCCAAACCAAACTGATAATAAATTTTGTCTACTTGTTACTTGGTATGGGGCTTATCGCTATGTGTTATGACTTAATGAAAGAAGATGTTTACGTGAAAGCTAGAGAAATGAAAGAACAGATTTTAGAGATAGTCGACGCCACTCATTACCAGCTTGAAATGTGTTGCAAATCAGAAATATTGAAATAATTTTAATGCACTTCTATCGGTAAATAATTAAATGGATAAAAATTTTCCAGAAAGAAATTTATATTTATATAAAATGTGTAAAAAATATATGAAAAGACAAAAAAAAAGTTATATGATTGTAACAAAATATAATATGCAGTATAATTCTACATCTATATATTAAATGTACAACTTGGAATTGATATCTCTAATATAAAATTTCCAATTAAAAAATTAATTTTTATTTTTTTTTTTTATTAGATTATTGTTCTTTACAAAATAAAGTAATATAAAAAAAAACAATAAAGTTATTTTATTTTTATTTTTATTTTACGAAGTACAACTGATTTTTTTGATCTTCGCAATTAAGATATAAAAATTATATCTATAATATTTAAATTTAATTTAAAATTTATTTAACAATCTTATGTTGAGCGTCATTTTTATTTTAATTACAATGTAATTAATTAACATTAACAACTTAACTTTTATAAGTAAACACATTGTTGGAAAATTTTTATTTGTCATCAATGGCTTATAATAGTTTATATACATAGTATATGAATTATGGTTTAAGTATATTGCATTTAAGCATTTATATATCTTTGTACTTCCTTTGTTAAATGTTCAATCACAATTATACAAATATTAATAAACTATATGTTCTTGTATTCTACAATTAATAAATCTTTATACATCATACAGTAATGAAATAAAGTGAACAGTTATGTTGAAAATGTTAAAAACTAGTTTATAATAATCAAACAGTTAAACAATGTATAATACATTGTCTTAGAGATTTAATTTCTCTAATGATGTATAAAACTTAAGTCATGCCACGACAATTAGCGGATTTATTAATCATACATACGCCTGGAAATTTTTCTTTCCTTATAGATCTTCTTGGCAACAGTTATATTTCACGGTAGAGCAGAATTATAAATTCCACTGTCTCAAGAACAAATTGAGAACATTGAGAACAAGCAATTCATATAAAAAATGATTTGTGTTTCCTATAAAGAATTGTCTGTTTCACATTCGCGAACTGTTTGCCAACAGTAAAGATAAACTATTCATTGATTACTTGTACAAACGCATTTTCGACGATATCAATATTTAAAATAATCTAAAGCTATTATGACATAAGATGATAACAAAAGATTTTTGTTAAAAACAACTTAAATATAACAGTACTCACGACATTATTTAATATAACTAATATTCAATGTAAATTGTTACTCATACAATTTTTCCTAACATAACAATCTGACTTATTATTCAGAGGAAGCACTACTTAATAGATAAAATCACTATTTAGAAAATAAATATTGTCAATTAATTCAAATATTACACAGATTTTTGTAAAAACGTATTGAAGTCTATGCCCAGCGAAAGATAGATAGTAATTTAAAATAAAAATTTCGAATAAATCGATATTTCAATCCAAAAGAATATAATATAAAATAAAGATTGTTGATTTTTTTTAAAAATTTCCTGGAATTTACAATTATAAATAAATAAAATTATGAAAATAAATAATTTATTGTTTGAAATTCGATACTAATTAAATATTGAATAATGGAACTGAAAAAAAAATAATGAAATTGAGAATTTACAAAAAAATGGAGTTGTGATAAAATCAATTTTCGATAACTGTTCGTAATAATAGTTTTAAGAAAAAACTTTAAGATCATCTATTCAATCATTACATATTCAATCTAATACAATCTAATACACAATGTTACTAAATAGAGAACAATAGACATATAGTAATAAAATACTTATCGCTATACATATTTATGTATATACATATAATATAATGATTAAAACATGTAAGTAACAACTAATCATGTAAGTAAATCATACATGCGTATCAATTCTAATAAATACAAGGAATCATACTATACATTTTCCCATAAATGTACCTAATTTATAATATTAGAACTAGTTTAATTAGATCGAGCATCCAATTATTAATAATTATTTCTAAGACTGTTTCAATTCTTAATATCGTAAAGCTTAAAAAATTGATTTGATATGCATAAAAAGTTTATTTAAAGATTTCAATCATTTGGGTACTGAAATTAATGCAATATTTTTAATAAATCATTTCACTGTTAAAAGTGAAATAACAAAAGTCTAAATAACAAAATATATTAATTATAAAATGTCTTCGAAAAATGTAATACTATGTTTAAAAATTTTTTAAAAATGATTTATTTAAATATGTAAAAAATAAAAATTTATTTGTAATAATAAAGATAGATATGTATATACAATAATAAAAAGATTAAAATATAAAGCTCAAACGTTTATAAAAAACGTTTTAAAAAAGGATGAAAATGCGTCAAATTAAGCCAGAGAGAAAATTTACGACAGTTATAATAAAAATAAATTATTAAAATCTCAAAAGAACTTATGAAAGCAATTTTCGTCCCAGTAGAAATTTGAAAATAACAAATGATGATCAATTAGATCTATACAATAAATATTATAAAAACGAATTTATATTAATACATCAGGTTCTTGATTTAAAATCATAAATATAAAGTTAAATGATAATAGAAATTTTGAAACATCTAGTGATCATTAAATACACATTCTTTTACATATTTTTGTTCTTTCTCAATTCGGATAATCGACGTTCTATCTGTAAATAATACACACATGGTCCAAAGCGTAGATTCAATCATGGTTAAGAATTATGAAAATAAATCGTACATTACATTACAATTAATGGTTAAAAATGAAATCAAAAAATACTAATAATAATAGTAAGTATGATTAGGCCACTCATATAAGCAAAAAATTATTAAATTTCATTTGACTGAATCAGTACTATATTGTAGATAATTGAATTGAAAAATCTTTTAATTCTTTCTATAAACGGATATTTCTTTTTAAGTGTAAATGTAATTTTTCGAAAAACCACTTATATATATTAAAGTAAATGTAATGTAATACAAGTTTCTCTTTGTCGTAACTTTTGAAACACAATTGTCCTATTCCTTGAACCAAGAGCATATTACTCGAAACCCTTCTTTCTATGATATATCTGAAATTAAGCAAAATTAGAATTGGGACTTACTTTTCCAGATAACTTTAAATTTATTTGATTACATTTATAATCATATATATTTTGTGTAACTTTTATTTTATTTTCTTTCAAATTTTTGTTTTTCTAATTGTAAATGTAAGTAAAATAATCTTAGAAATGAAAACAGAAACGAAACACGAAATAATAAAATTAAAAATTCTATTGTATTTATAAACAATATATTAATAACAGTTTAAAATGAATCTTATTCTTGGGATTATCTAGTATTTAAAAAAAAATAAGACTAACGAAAATTCTAACAATCAACATGAGATGTCACTAATATAGCAACTACACTGTTCTTTCGTATTATGTATTACATCAACCATAACCAATGACAAAGTGTTGCTTTGAAATATAGTATTGAAAGTTATTGTAATATAATTAAAAGCGTTGTGAAATTGTATAATGACAGAATGTCAAATCACAAAATAATTATCAGATAAAAATTGTTGAATAGTGAATACTAGTAGTTATAGAAGTGAATACTAATAGTTATAAATAACATTCTGCAAATGGCATTTGTTCGATGTATTCAACGACTGAATCATGTATTCTTATTAACGTTTTCAAATTCAATCTCTCATTCTGTGAAGTATATACATTCAAGTTCAACTACATCAATTATAAAACAAGAGACAATAAATAAAATAGAACAATTATCTTTAGTTAATATTGATGGTGCTGATAGTTTTTCTGTTCTAAAAGCTGCAATTGTTTTTACAGAACATTTACGCAATACAAAAATAGATAAAGAAATTGAACCTATGTATAGCCCATTTGAAAAAGAATTCATTCTTCTACGAGATGATAATATAGAAAATAACACATCTAGAAAAGAAATCTTAATGAATGCTGCAGTTACAGAAGAAGAATACTTTGTAGCACCATTACAAACTATTACAAAAGCATCATGAATATAACAAATATTCTAAAAGAATTAAGTGGACATTTTATCAGTCTTACAGAATACGGACTTAAATATGGACCTCAAGGTAAAATGCTATTAAAAAACCTTGAAGAACAGTGGTTTTTACACTGTATTACGATGTCACGCTATAATATATTTCTATCAGATGAATTTAATAATACTTTAAATTTTGTTATTAAAACTGAAATGAGTGATATACCATTTGGATTAGCTAAAATAGAAAATTCCAAAAATTATTGGACTTCAAATTTATTACCTATGAAAAAAACAAATATTCACAGAATTGCTGAAACAACTATTTTTCAAAGTGATACAGAAACAAAAGATTTGTTTCATAATATACAAAAAGAACGTAAAATTTGGTGGCGAAAACTGGCACAATTTCCTTCAAGATTTAAGCTTACAGAAGAGAAAAAAATAAAAAATTGTAATGTAGTAGATATTGAAGCACAATTTTCATTTGGTAATGTTATTGTGGAAAAAATAGCGTACCATACAGATGTTCGAAAATTATTCTCTCAAGTATCTTGCATTTTTTTTTTTATATACTTAAATTTGCAAAAGTCCAAAAATAACAGTTATTTTTATGGATTATTTTATTTCCAGGTTGATAGTAAAAAAGACTTTACCAATGTACAAATGGTCGAACATAAAGCATCTTTAGATTGGGGCTGTTTAGCACTACTTTGTGACGCATATGACATGAATAAATCTAACAAAATGCATCTTCATTCCAAATTAGCACCACATAAAGTTGCATTTCATATAAAAAGAACAAATAATGAAGAGAATACTCAAAATGATGATTTAAATCGCTTTGTACTTTACTTAAATAACATGTTAAGAACAAAGGGCCTAAATACAATATTAACCACTTCAGAAAAAATTATAAATACATGCTTGATTCCTTTCATAATTTCTGTTGATGCGACTAGTCTTGAAAATGGCATTATATATATAAGGGATAGATCAACAACTCTCAGTGAAGCAATACATGTAACCGATTTAGTAAAATATATAATTCTGCGTTGTTAATTAATTAATGTGATTTAATTTCATTTAAATAAAATTAATATATCAAAAGTTTAAAATACACATTATCAATACAATTAATTTCTAATTTCTAAAAAATAGAATAAATTTTGAAATCACAATTTTATAATTTTCATTTTCAATTATTTTGTATTTTATGTATTATATTTTAATTAAATAATATAATTATCATAATCATATTTGTTATGTATTATTTAATGATGTAATATGCTGAAAAACATCAATGAAGATAACATTCTAAAATACAAATATTGCCACATGGGATAAAGATGAAAAATTATACATGGATGTTTGTGATGTTGAAAATACGAGAAAATGGAATGCTTTACAATTAATAAAATGTATACTTTGTACACGAGCATTCCTCGATTTTTAGATATTGCCAAAATTTATATAAATTCAATTGATAATAATATTGCTCCTTTGAGCAATATATAATTTTCCAAATGATAATGCTTCTATGCAGCTAAGCAGGTAGTTGTAATTTCTTGCCTTTCAATACTTTGGTAATATAGAGGTAGAAAAAGTCACAATAAAGAATTGTTTGTACTAAACCAGCAACTATAGCAATTAGATCAGCATGACTTTCTGCATAGTAACGATACACCCAATTTAACAAATACAGGCCTCTATAAGATCCCAAAGCAAAAAGATAATGACTGGTGATACTTTCTGCTTCTCCTGTTTTTGATACCAAAAATAATTGTGGCAATATTGCTACAGACTCCAAATAAATACTAAATGTCCATAGAACTTCTATAACTGTAAACTCATTGTTGATTAATAATGCCAACACCGATGCAGGTAGAATTAAAAATTCAATTCTGAAAAAAATAACGCGTTATTATATAAAATTATTAGTTATTATATAAAACTTATAAATATTATTTATAAATCACTTATACATATGTAGATTTATATATAGTAAATTATTATTATGCATCATTCAATGTATATATTCTAAAATTGACATACCTAAATGTATCATGATTATGATCATATGTAGCTTTAAATTTTACATACATTAAAAAAACTGTAACATAAGAAGTTACAATAAAAATGATTTTCATAAATGTATTGTATGCTGAAATGTATGTTGTTACCAAATCTAGGTAACGTGTTGTATATACAATCGCAAATAAAATTTGCGATTTGCCACTTATACCTGTAAAACACACCAAATATTATTAGAATGAATATTTTCAATCTGAATAAAATCACTTAGTTATAATAAACATGAAAATCATATCAATGATGTATACCGGCACAGCTTCGTGTTTTCCATATTTTTAGAAGAAGAATGATAATTGCAAGAAGATGTGATAAGTCACCTAAGAGTCTAAATATGTTCATGTTTTCGTTTACTGAAAAGTAATTTTTTATAAGAGAATCGAGAAATACTTCACACACCTAAGTCACAAAGCATACAAAATATGACGTGGCTTTGGCTGCAACATCAGCAGATGGCCGACCGATCAACATTTAAGTTCCATCTTTCATGTTTCCAATAAATACACGCAAAGTATAATGTATAGATGAAATATTTTACTAATAGAAATATTTTACTTTTAGATTTCCACATATATATATTTTATTGATTAAACACATTTAAGATATAAATATCAATTATAACAAAGTTGTAAAATGAAATAGAACATTCAATATAATATTTCTAATACATTTTTATTAATGGATGTTTTGATTTTTTCTATATATTTATTTATTGTAATAACGACATTTATTATATATAATTCATCGTTTGCAATTATTTGTTATTTTAAAACTATATTAATATAAATTTTATACAAAATTACTATATTTCCTCCTAAATTTGAATTTTGTTACTAGATTAAATTTAAGATTGATATTACACTCAATAATAAATTCTGTACAGAGTCAATTTCAAAAATAAAAAACTTTTATTTTAAAAATCTTAATGTGAAAAAATTAGTTTATGAAAAAATAACTAAATAAATTAAATATCTTGTTGTCGAACTCGTATCATTTAATTAAATATTTATCAATAACATTATATTTTTGAGTTTTATTTTTAGTATATAAATATAAAATAAGTATAACTTTTTTATAGTATTGTATAATAAGTATGAACTTTTTTAATTATGTTAAATTATAACGTCCAAGTTACAAATTGTTTAACATTTATAGAAAAATTGATCACCAAGTATACATATGATACTTTAGTTAAATATAGTCTGTGTATCTGATCTATGTGTTATAACATATCCTATTTTACTCTAAACTTGGTGTGTAATTTTATTTTAATTTATAGTTGATTAAAAAAGTATAATATGGAAGTATAGTATAAGCCGAAGTAGTATTTTAAAACAATCGTCTATTAAATATATTTAAATATTTATAGGAATTTTTAATGAATATATTATGTTTGTTGTATATTATTATTTTAAAACATATAAACAAATTTTTTACTAAAATATTTAAAAATATATGTAATTACTGTACAATTAATGATAAATTTGTATAAATACAATATAGGGAGGTTAAAAATATTTCTTATGTTGGTATTACTATCCTAGGTAATTTTTTTGACAGACACATATATTTTCTGCTAATTTTTTTTGACAAAGCTTGAAATTTGGATTCATGTAACACATTAAAGAATTCATTATTTCTTTCAAGACGTATGTGTATGTTTTATTTTTGCAAATAACCTTTAATATAAAATCTAGTTGTTTTGTATAGTGAGTTTGAAATATTGTGGTGGTTTTCTTTTCATTATTGTTATTGTTATTAGGCTAACCTCAGTTATCAAGATGACGTCGCCCGTAATTTCAAAGGTATTTAAATGTGAAATTTTTATATAGATTATAGTAACAAAAAATGAAATGAATGTGTAAGTTTTATATACATAGAAAAGAATTATCACTGAAAAAATGAAATGCTTTATAAACTATAAAATTAGTTTATTGTACGAATTGAACAATAATAAAAATGGAGATACTCAACATTAAATATATTTTCGATTTTTACACTTAAAATATTTGGTTTATTTATTTATAACAACAACAATTGAATTTTTAAATCTATATAAATACATGATATTACATGATTATATATGATATTATTTTTCAAACTATATTTTCCAAAAATATTTTAGATGAAGAATTTGTTTAAATTTAACCTTGTGTAAAACAATATAAAAAAATTTACTATTTCTATTGATACAAAACAATGAAGTTTATTTTGGACTACATGCAAAATATATTTTTTTTTATTTTGACTACAAATTTTTTGAGCAATAATTGACTATTGTAGTAAACAACAAAAAGATTGAACCTCATAATAAAAAAATGAAGAAGACAATATAAATAGCAATATGTTGGAATCATAGTAAAATTGCTTATATTAGCATTAACACATTAGCACAATGATTTACATAGAAAAATTGAAGATATTAATAAATTTTATATCATGTAGTATTATGTAAATTTAAATTATAATTCCTATTTATCTTTTATATTATAGGTTAGGTTTTAAACTTTTATATTATTTAATATCATAATGGCAAAATTAATCAGACAATACAAAATTTTTTTTTTATGAAAAGCAAAGAGATAAGTGAACTCAAAGATCCTGCTAACAATATGATAAATTGAAAATATTGAAAATAAGACAAAAAAAAAATGACGAAGTCAAAGATTAAGTAAGAATATTGTTTATTAATTTTTTATTTTTTGAGTATATATATAATAAAAGTTGTTTGAGTATTTAATACTTTACAACCTTAATAATTATTTATTTTTATTCTTATAGCATGTTTATTCTATCAGACCAAAATCTTTCTTCATCACTGCCAATTTGGATATAAAAATTTGTTCACAAATAAGAAAGTCTGAAAAGTAGTATACATTTGCGCATACTTTACATATGTTAGTCTAAGTTATGAAAAGATAATACTCAGAACAATTGAAATTGCAGAATAGTTTTGATATCAATAAACGAAGAATATGAAAGTATGAAAGAATATGAGAAAATAATAATATTACTCAAGAAGAAACTTTAAACTTCTTGAAACTAAGTTCTAAAATTATTAGTAAAAGGATTGTCAGATTATTTAATCTATTTATGTTTAATCTATTTATTTTCAAATTTTTAGTCAATAATTCGTATTATTATATTGAAAAATTTATCACAATTAGATAATTTTTGTTAATATATAAAATGAAAACTTGTACTTAAATATTATAGAAATTAATTATTAATTAAATTATTAAATAAAATTAGAAATTTTATTGTACTGATATAGATTACAATAAAACTACTCTAACGACTATATTTATTGAGTGAACAAACTAAGAAACGATAGCTATAGTGTTTTCGCTAAACGGAGATGTAGGAACATGTGCATGTACATGTGTATTATATTATACATATATATCATACGCTTGCGAAGAAAGTGACTAATCTTAAAAGACGGGATTATTACTACAAAAATATTGCAGAAATAGTCTTTGATTAATTATAAAAATCTTATTTATTGATGTTTTTTGAGGCATTAGAAAAAAAACTATGTTACTTTTCTTAATTCATGTGACACCGTGTTGTATTCTATAAATACCTCTTATTATGAATTTTGTCTTGATTATTATTGTGGATAAATATTGTTAAGGTAAGTGTATTATTCTCTCTCTCTTTCTCTTAGATAACAGAAATGTATTACTTTGAACTGTGTTGTTTCTTTAATTAATAAAATAATATCTAATTTTATTTAAAGAAATTTTTCTACTGAAAAACATTTATTTCACTTTTTTCGCAAGGGTGCGATATAATGAGAATTTTATGGAAGATGCGTGACTTGAGCGCAACTCGCGATTACAAGTATAATGTCGCATATTTTTTGTCTGAGAGAGGATTTCAAGATTTTTAAACATATGATGTGCGATGATTTTGATTCTCTTGAAATTGATTAAATGACGATTAGATAATTATTTGCGATTGCCATCCGCCGTTGAATCTCATAGAGGTCGATGAATTTTCGAAAATCGATGCGACGATGTAAGCATTGACAACGCATAGAATGCTACAACATCGTATTTGTTAGTCGCATTGTTAATAATTCAAGCCAGTTTTAGTTGCACGACATTTATAACAGAAATGAATAATTTCGCAGAATTATTAATTTGTGAAATAGAAAAACAATTTGTTTTGTAAAATGAATGAAGCGACTTTGTCAAGAACATCTTAGAAATTCATCGTTATGGATAGTTACATGTTGAGTAATTCGATGTTGATCAAGATCAATTAAAAATCAGAATGCAGGATGTGAAGATTACTTACATAAGTATGAAATTCTATAGAAAAACATACATTAGAAAAAATTGTATATAACATGGAGTATCAATTGTGATGGCTGATTAATATTCATGGTTGTTCAATTATTATTAAATTAACACAAACATGTGTTCGAATACTTTTGCGATTCGAGGTATGTTAATTGTAATGTATTACATTATTAGATTTTTGTGTTCTCATTTTTAAGACTTCTATCTTCAATTTGTTGCAGTATTATTTTGTAAATGTGAATCATTTATTTACAGTTTGGTACAACATTCTCTGCATATATTGTAACTCCGAATTCTTCATTGAGCTTGTGTGTGGCAACTACCTTCCCTTACAATCAAACGTAACGATCAGCAAGAATTTTTGGCTTGGAATTAATTCTATTCTTCTATCAGTATCTTGAAAAAATGTCTCATATATATTGTATAATCTTCGTTAGCATTAAAAGGTTTGCTATTTCATGCATTGAGTTTTTCTTTTTGCAATGATACGATACATATCTACTATCATACTTTCAACGACGTATTCGCAATCTTCCTAGTGTTCTTAATGTTCTTGAAAAAGAATTCAACATTATCTTTATATATATATTACTTTTTCAACTACTTAAGATTAGGATTGATATAAAATATATATATTTTTTCAATTACTTAAGATTCGAATTAAATCGATATAAAAAATTTCTCAATATCTATAACAAATTTCCTATTTCTTCAGTATTTCTTGTAATATTATATAATCATACGTTTTTTTTTTTATCTTTGAAATATACGAGCTGTATGTAATATGACGTACTACTTTTTGATTGCATACTTATTTAAAATGCAAAGCTTAGAAGTCAAAATTATACTAGTGTTGGAATATTGTGACCCACTATTATATTACAGATTATCATGAAATAGAAAAATTGTTTTTTAATACAATTAAACGTTATTTCAATTATTAATCAAATTTGTGATCAAAAAACAAAACAATTTAAAATAATACACTTTTCACTTTATCAACACAATCATAGCGACAGTCAAGATGCAATTTATACATAATAAGTATAGTGTTACATGAATCAGGAAGAATGATATAACTGCTCTTTATTAGGAAAATTTGAACATAAACGAATATTTTTATATTGATAATTCGAAATCGTTTTTGAATTATCTTTTCATATAATTTCATATACACTTCGTTTCGATATATACATATGTTTAACGATTGATATTATAAATAAGCACTCAGACGATCGGTTTTTTTTTCGACTGTTCGATTTCTTCTTATCATAGATTTTATTTTATATTATGTAGAGATATTAAATTATAATCTTTGACTATACTTTTGAATAGTATTGATGACCAATTGACCGGAAATTTGGTAGACATCATAGGATAGAGTAGTAAAAGCTGAAGCAAACATATTGAGATGCCAAAAAAATAGGTGACCAAACTGTATTCTATTAACTAAGAGAAAGAGAGGTCATAAAAAAACAGTTTCGAAAATTTTTCATTCTAAGATATCCTGCTTCCCTTCCTTTGAATTTTTAATTTTTTTTATAATACTATTAATAAATTAAAAATACTTAAAACTTCAAGTATACACCAGAAATTTTTAAACGTCTTTGAAACATCGATTGCTGAAGGAGGAAACTATTTTTAACATTAACTATTTTCTTTAAGTTTTAAACATTTTTTCAATATTCCATCATAATCGATGTCTATATCTCAAAAAGAAAGAGTTATCGAACTTATAACATCTTATATAATCTTTTTTATATTTATATGATCTTTTTTCTTTTTTAGAAATAATAGAATACGGTAATAAATTTTGGCCACTTCCCCTTCATGCCTTCACTACTATTATTACTCGACACTTTTATTACTGTTAGATACTCCATTCGACATTTTGATATGGTATATGTTTTTTAATGTTTCCGATATATATTTTTAAATTCGAAGATCAATAAAATCGTTTTAATCGATATTGATTTAAGTTAGATAACTCCTTACTGTTTTCTAGCCAGTCAGTAATGTTTCATCTGTTTTTGTCTTCTGATGCTATTTGAAAAAACATCTCTGTATCTTCTGAATGTATAACTTTCCGAAACTGAGATTTTATATTTTAAATCTACTATCTCAACCAATGATATTCTGAAAATTTTGTTCCGATTATACCATTCCGATATTGAACCATTGATGCTATTTGGAATCTTTATGTAAAGAATAACTTTGTTTTTATTATATCAAATATAAATATATTCTTGGATACATTCTATGTATTTAATATTATATAGTTATATTATAATATTATATAGTGGAAGTTAAGAAACAATATTATTACAACAACAATATATTAACACACACAATACAATATATTAATACAGTCATAATTTTTAGATTTCAGTTGCACCTTCCATACAAGAGTTTAGCATCAGAGTACCAAAGTACGTAACGAAATAATTTTACAATTACGAATTACAAAATTATTAAATGAAATATTGTTTTGTTTTAGAAACAACAAGAAAAAGCACAATGTGATGCGTTTTAATGCAACATTAAATGTTGATTTTTCAAAATGGACCCAGGTAAAAATGGAACGTGAAAATAATATGAAGGAATATAAAGGAATAGAAGAAGAAATGCCAAAATTTGGAGCTGGTTCCGAATTTGGTCGAGATGCGAGAGAAGAGGCAAGGAGAAAAAAATTTGGCATTACAAGTAGAAAATATAAGCCAGAAGATCAACCTTGGATTTTGAAATCTGGAGGAAAAACTGGTAAAAAGTTTAAAGGCATAAGAGAAGGTGGTGTGAGTGAAAATGCGGCATATTATGTTTTTACACATGCTCCCGATGGAGCCATAGAAGCTTTTCCATTACATGAATGGTAATTAGTCAAATTTGAGAATTGAATTGCATTTTATTAAAATTTTAATGCTTATCATTTTTATATTCAGGTATAATTTTCAACCAATTCAGAGATATAAAGCGTTAAGTGCAGAAGAAGCAGAACAGGAATTCAGTCGTAGAAATAAAGTAATGAATTATTTTTCATTGATGTTGCGTAAAAGACTTAGAAATGATGAGGATGGTGCAGATGACGAAGAAATGATAGAAGGTGGAAAGAGTAAAAAACCGAATAAAAAAGAGAAAGATTTAAAAATATCTGAAATGGATGAGTGGATGGATAGCGATGATGATGATTCGGTTAGTGATGATGAAGGTAGTAAAAAGAATTCTGATGAAGAAGATGATAAAAAGAAAAAGAAAAACAAAGGTAAGTGTTACTTCTGATAATCTTAAGAAATGCATATTTAGTAATTATACTTATTAAACAGTAATGCCCACTTAAGCATCCGTTCTTTTGCTCGCTATCTTATTATGCGGCCGCGTGAAACATAACACTCGCACAACACAAAATAAGTGATATATGATACCGATATTTTGTCACATTATAATTGTTTTGGACACATCGATCAAAGTTAGGCAAATTTTATTTTCATAAGTATTACAAATAGTTGAATATTTCCTTAACACATGCATTAATAATTATATTAAATTACATTAAATAATAAGAATAATAGTAAAAATAGAAAAAAAATAATAATGAAAAGAGTAAATAAAAATTATTTTGAATTATAATGATCTACTGTATGATTTGCAATTTCTGGTTCCGTAATTTTTTGTAGATAATGTAACAATCTGTCAATTTCTTCTGCTTTTACTGGATTCACTAGAAGTTGCGAATGAGACGATTTTCTTGTAGCATCTGTCTTTTCCGTAGCATCTTCTTTAATTCTTTCTGCTTCTCCACATTCATTGATCCCAATTTTGGAAACCTACTCTCATACTTTCTGATCTAACACATTCCTCATTCTACAACCCCTCCTTTAGAAAGAACAATCCAAATTATTAACAGCCGACATATTCATATGTTCTATTTTACATGACTCACATCCTCGGTACAATTGTATAATTGTATTGTGAATTAGTTTTATCATAATAAATAATTTTTTCTATATATTTATTATACGCCAAAATATGAATTAAAATATTTGTGTTAGTTGATGCCACGAAAAAGAAAAAGAAAAATGCATCTGATGATGAAGCATTTGAAGAAAGTGATGATGGTGATGAAGAAGGTAGAGAATGTGATTACATTTCTGACTCGTCAGATTCTGAGTCAGAATTGGAACAGCAAAAGGATAGTAAATCAGTTGCAGAAGAAGACGCATTGAGAAAATTACTTGCTTCTGATGAAGATGATGATGATGAAGAACAAACAGATAAAAAAGATGGGGATGAAGAAAAAGATGAAGATGATGAAACTAAAGATAAAGATGATAAAGTAAATTCACAAAATATTATAAATGATAAAAATACTTATAATAATAGAAATATTTATTTTATTCATTAATTTTTAGGATAAAGATAAGATCAGTAAAGATGCAGATAAGAAGAAAGATAAAAAGAAAAAGAAGAAACAATTTAAAAAAAAAGATTCAAAGAAACTTACATCAGGAAAAGATTCTTCTAGTGACTTTTCTAGTGACTCAGATTCAGAATCTGATACAGTGAAAGAAAAAGATAATAAAAAATCTAATAGTGCACATAGTTCAAGATCTGCAACACCTACAGCTGGAATATCAGACTCTATAAAAAGAAAACAATCTGGATCTCCAGATTTATCACAAGCGAAGAAATTGAAATTGGATAATTTTAATTTAGTACCAGTAACTTCCTACATCCCAGGAATCAGGTATGTTGTTTATTATTATTAACATTTAAAATTATTCTTTGTATAATTTTGTAAATTTTACGAACTACGAATTTTATTTTTTTATATATAGATTTAATTTCTTATTTAATTAAAGTTAATTAAAGTTAATTAATATAAAATATCATTTTTATTATATTATAAATTTTAAATGAAAATGATATTATTTTTCTAATTGTTAAAATCATTTGATTTATCAATATTTGATTCATTTTTTAAATCATTATTGACATATAATCATTATTATCCATACATATATTTCATGTATGTGAATGAATATATTTTAATATGTAATGTCTAATTATACTAATTTTAAATGTATAATTGGCAGCAATAAAACCATATATTTCCATTTAACAAAAGCACAATATTAAAATCTTATTATAATGATTGAGGAAAACTTCAAATGTTCTACTAATTATTCATTATATCAAAAATTACTTTTATATAAAAAGTGTTTTCACATTTTTAATAATTATTTAAACAGTGATTTATAGCTACTTTTATATTTTTCTGCAAAGAGATAGCATATGTGTGCCATTATTAAATTTCGTAGTTTTAATGAATATATAGTAATATAGCAAATATTTAAAGTTAAAAAAGTAAAATTTATCAACTACAAAAATTGTGAAATCCATGAAGAAAAGACGAAGTTATAATTTATTAATATTAAAAAAACGTTATTACATTATATTTATAATTGTAAAAATTATTTCTTTATCTTGTATCTATAAAAATTATTTGCGTATGGATTTTGCTCTTCATTGCTTATTGAATAAAAAATTTGCTCAAGGATTGAAGCTTTATTCATTAATTAAATGGGATTCTAATTCTTGTATTGCTATAAGTTACTTCTGATATTAATTTGAACTATACAGGATGGTCCATTTAAGTGAGGCCACCTAAATATCTTTTCTAATTGTGATGATGTTTTTTTTTTCATATAAAGAGGAGACTTCAATCTTTAAATCCAATTTTAAAACAAATTGTTTAATATTTTTATATATTATGACAATTTATAACATTTTTCGAAAAGAAAAATGTCTTCACTTTCTCATCTGCTATGTGATGTAGAAATATCTTATTGTTAGTTTAAATAGTTAGTATTTGAATATTTAAGTGTCTTGATATTAGTGTGATTATAATTTAACTGTAATTTGATCCAATTTGAGAACCATTAGGTGGGTCAATTTAAGAAACTCAATTATAATTTTAATAATAAACAAAAGCAAATGCACGTATTAGATCAACGTTATGATAAGTCTAAAGATATAATCTTTCATAAAAAATTACATCTATATTAAATTTAGAAAACTTATTTATCAATCGAAAGTTACAGCTTATATAAATTGGAAGCAAAATTACATCAGCCGACATAAAAAAAAAAATATTAATCACACTATAATTATTTACATTTTCTACAGTTTTTTTCCATGCTGTTATTAAGCAATATATGAACTATGATCTCATGCTAAGAGATATTGCATAAGTTAATTTATATGTTAATAAAGACTGTAATCTAATTTAGAATTCAGATTAGGAATCTTTTCTTTATTGTATTAAATCGTATTATACAAATATTGTATAAAATTTCCATGTTAATTTAAGAGTTAATAAAAATTTAAAATTATTTTTCAAGAGCACGATTGAGTTACAACCTACATTCGTATCACACATTTGTCGAAAGTGATACAATGTAGAAAAGCAGAGTGAAAAAACTTAGATATTTAAAGATATAATAAAGTTAGATATAATTAGATATTCAAAGAAATGACACAATTCAAAATAATATATTTTTCATTTTATCTATATATACTTATTTATGATGATACTCAAGACAAAAACTCATGGATGCATTAAAAAATAAGTCGATGACCTTTAGATATTCTTCACGCCTTCATTTGCACTAAACTAGTAATACTAACTCACATGTCTTTTGATATCATCCAACTTTCTTATATAGTAAGCAATTTTCGAGTCTTTGTCCAATTTTAGTCTCGTATTTTAATTTATTAGTGCTCTATTTTATTTAGAGTATTTCGTATCAGATATGTTGTTAAAAAACTATTTCCTATTTTATCGTTAACAACATGCTATTTATTCTAATTGTGAAATGAAAACATGTTAACAAGGCTATACAAGAAACTGAAACTTTCTGCAACTTTTGCTAAACCAATAATACCGAAGTACATAAAAACAGTTTATCTATATATATATATATATATGAAATCGATGCCTCAATGTTAAATACTGAAAGTCTTTTTTTCTGAAGTCATTTGTCAAACCTATTTGAATTAACACGGTATATTCGTATGTAGTATGTTTTGTTATATTCACATACTACAATATTCTCAACACTGCATCGTAGCATAAATACATAAAAAAAAAATTAACGCACGTTGCAACATTAAACATAACGCTGGCTTCTAGAAATTTTTAAGTTCATCACGATGCCCTTTTATTAACGCTCGTGTGGACCTGAATAGAATCAATGTCCTAAAGTAGATGTTCTAGATGTATTGAACAAGCCTATAAAGTTTTGAAGATGCCATCTGTCTATTATCAAGCTTCAATGTATTTATAAATTGTCTGATGGTTTTTGAATTCTAATGGTTTAAACTTGAGCCTATACTACTTTTCGTTTCTCTTTTCTTTTAACTGATAACAACATGCTGCTGCTACAAAAGATAAGTCTTTTTTAGTCATCGTTAGCAGTTCGAAACAAACTAACATATGGATAACAAATATTGTTTTAAAATCAAAACCAACGATAGCATTGCTTTAATATAAACAATATAAAATATTTCTCTAAATACTTGATAATGTTTTGAAACAGGCAGTGATAAAAAGTTTTTCGATGTTGTCTCAACATGTTTTGCATCATATATATTGTATATATTTATCAAAAATACAACATAAATATTTTTTGTTCAGAATGATTTGTTGAAAACGCGAATGAAGTTTATTGGATATCACACTGGACATAGCATATGTATAAAGGAATTATTGCTATTATGTTTAACTAACAAATATATTTACGTAATTAATAGCTAATTATAATAATTATTCTTATGTTGTAGTGAATCCGGAATCACGGAGGATGCAGTGAGACGTTATCTTATGCGTAAACCAATGACAACAACGGAGCTTTTACAGAAATTTAAATCGAAAAAGACTGGTCTTACTTCAGAACAGTTAGTTAACGTAATGACTCAAATACTTAAAAAGATCAATCCAACTAAGCAGACAATAAAGAATAAAATGTATTTGTCTATTAAGACACAATCTAATTAATATTTTTGTATATTTTAATCCAATTGATATTTATGGAATATGTAAAAATAATAATTTGTATAATAATAATAAATCAATGTATAAAATTTAATTTAAGAATTAAATTTTATAATTAGATCTATCATTAGGAATAGATTAGTACAATTAATACAATTCTCAAGAATATTAAGATTTACTAAAAATTTCGGGAATTCAAATCTTTTTAAAGCGTTTTATCTACTTTTTATGTCTATGTATTCTTCATGTTATAAACTTATGAAAAATAGAATCAATGTACTAAATATGCATGTATATGATCTGAATTTTTAAGAAAAAGAAGTCAAAACTCAAAAATTCGAGACAATGATTATATTTAATGTTTCCTAATAATAGGAAATATTATTATAAAACACTTTTAGGAATCTTGATATTTTCGAAATCCAGTTTTCTTAAATCGCGAATTGTATCTCTAATAATGATATATTCTATTTTCTGATGGATGTAATTAATAAAAATAATTATAATAATTAAAAATTTCAATTTATTATTATGTTCTGTTAAAATGTTTTTTTGTCAATCTGAATTAATTGTAATAAAAATCACATAGTTGAAGAAAGTCATTTTGATAAGCACGCGTCTTCGGGTTTATCAGTGATGTAGTAACATATTCTAAATTTTACATTGACCTCACTGACTCGTGCAGTATCAGAAGTGTAATACAATTTTATTATATTTTAGAATAAGAGACATCTTGCATTATAGTATACACTTTTCTCTTGTCACTTTATTATTGTAAACTGAATGAAATTGGTGAACGCACGATGCTATTTATAGAAAGTCGTTTTATATTTTTTGTGTGATTATATGGTGAAATATCAAGAATATTCAATTATATAAATGTGAATTTATTACGTATCATTATGTCCTCAACTCGTTCTATAAAAGTAAGTAAGAATATGAAGAAAATTTTGAGAAAATATGAATAGATGAATGAATTTTTTATACACATCATAATTAATGTTAGTAAATATAAAATATTGTAATAAAAAGTATTATATTTTTTATAGAACTTAAAAGGCAAAATAATAGCAATTAGAAGAGAAGATCAATCAGTATGGGAAAGAAGAGCTCCTTTAGCACCTACGAATGTTCGTCGATTAATTAGGGCAGGAGTAAAAGTAATTGTGCAACCTAGTAATAGAAGAGCGTACCCTGCACATGCCTATCAAGCTGCAGGTGCTACATTGCAAGAGGATATTAGTTCTGCCTCTATTATTTTTGGTGTGAAGCAAGTACCTGTGGATCAACTTATATCCAATAAAACTTACTGTCTTTTCTCTCATACTATCAAGGCACAAGAAAGTAATATGCCTCTCCTAGATGCCATTCTAGAAAAGAATATACGTTTATTAGATTATGAAAAACTAACAGATGATAATGGACAAAGAGTGGTTGCATTCGGGAAATATGCTGGCGTAGCTGGCATGATAAACATATTACATGGACTTGGATTAAGATTACTTGCACTGGGACATCATACACCATTCATGGTAAAATTTTTTAATAATAGCAAAAGTTTAATAATAATAATAACGATAACTATATTGGAAAATATTTTATGTAATTAAATTTGCAATCTACTAGCTCAATTATACTCTTCAATGTATTTATCTGTTATTATATCTATAGATATATTTATTTATTAATTATGTATACAAAATAACAATTATTGTTTACTAGCATATTGGCCCCGCGCATAATTATAGAGATTCCGCTATGGCACGACAAGCCATACGAGGTGCAGGATATGAGATAGCATTAGGTGCTATGCCAAAGTCAATTGGACCACTAACTTTTATTTTCACTGGTAGTGGTAATGTAAGTCAGGGCGGTCAAGAAGTTTTTCAAGAACTTCCTCACGAATATGTACCACCGGAAATGCTGAGAAAAGTTGCCGAACATGGCGGTGAGCATTACATATGTACATATATATTTCATTTATTACATTTTATACAAAATTTGTTTTCTTCCGATGTAGTGGTTTATAACAAAATGAATTCATATTGTATTAAACAAAATAATATTTTTTATTTTATAATTATCGATTAAGAAAGAAAATAGATTTTGAGAATTAATATATGTATCAGTTATTATTAACTGAATATTCTAATAGTCTAGAAACATTGGATTTGAAGTTTGATTATTCCTTACAGTAGAATTTCATTTGTATAAATGTTAATGAATTAGATTTTATATATACAATTAAAATTAATATAAAGAGCATTTTCTTTGCAATCTATGATGTGATTTTTGGTTTATGTAATAAAAGTTTGCGTTTAAATAAATCTATTTCATCAAGTTTAAGTTACGTTAGGAACAATTTTCGTACTGTCGGAGAAGATATTCGGGTGGTCTGATTTTCGTGAAACATTTCTTGTATATATTGAGAGAAATATTTATTTCTCTTAGCATACATATATTTATAATTAAAATGCTATATATATAGGTATATTTTGTGAATATGTACAGGTACATTTTAGATGATTTATATATGATTTCTAAATATAATTGCATTTAAAATAACAAGCAAAATTTTTAGATACAACGAAGATATATGGATGCGAGGTAAGACGAAGGCATCATCTTGAAAGAAAAGATGGAGGTGGTTTTGATTCTGATGAATGTGACAAGCATCCTGAGAGATATATTTCCACTTTCAGCAAAAAGATTGCACCATACGCATCAGTGATAATAAATGGAATATATTGGGCTGTTGGTTCGCCTAAATTAATAACTATACCAGATGCGAAATATTTGCTAAGACCAGCATATACTCCTTGGTTACCATCAAGTATTGGTGCCCCTACTTTACCTCACCGAATATTAGCTATCTGTGATATATCTGCAGATCCTGGAGGCAGTATTGAGTAAGTTTAAGATTATTTAATATTATGTTATTTATTTAACTAATTTTGTTGTAATATAATAGATGCGCATTACCGTATATAAACAATTGAGCATTTATTGCAATTTCATTAGAAATTTGGTATTTTTGTTACGTTTTGATAATTACGATATTGACGAACGTTTCTCTTCTCTTAACTTTCTGCATTTTAAGTTTCTGATATTTTCTATTGTAGTTGATATTCTTAGCTGATATTTTTTATTATAGTTAGAAACATATTTCAATCGTTCTAAAATTTCAACAATGATCAGAAGTTTTCAATCACTTAATTATTATAATATTATTAATATTATAATATAATATTCTTTTTATCAATATCTATTACATGTATATGTAAAATTAAATTAAAGTTATTTGAATCGTATTTTATATTACAATAATTTAGAAATATCTTATGTGTACTTGCTAATGTATTTTTTTGGGACTATGACATATTTCTCATCAGCCGCCGTAATTCCGCAATTCCGATTCGTGTAAGATTTTCAAAAAAATTAGATGATTAAAGAGTATTAATTTTCAAGTGTTCTAATATTGACTAATTGTAAACATTTTATTTGGGAGTAATCATTATAAATAATTGAAATTTGTTGGTTGCTAATAACCATTGGTCATTATGATTTTTAATAAAAATAGTTTTCAGATAATTAATTAATGAATAGTTCAACGCAGAAAAATTCATTTTATCAAGGATATTAAAAAAATTATATATTATATAATTTAATTTATAGTTTAGAATAATTATGAATAATGTTAATAAATAATGATGATAAGAAGTAATTTAAAAAAATTTCGTTATTGATAAAAGTTATTGGTAATTAAAAATATTTTGATCATTATTATTGCAATTATTATTCGATCAACATTATTCAATAATTCGTGTGTTGTAACTTTTTAAATTTGGATTATAATTGTTATGATTTCTGATCATCTATGTACTATTCCTTCAAGGACAACGCCTAATGTTGATGGATTAGACTTTTTGATCATTTTTATAAGTTTAAATTCTATTACTAATAATAATTAAGTTTAATGATTTTTATAGCTTTAAATAGTAGCAGTAAATGGTCACATGTTAGTTTATAAAATTTAGTACTATTAAAATAACTTTTGATTGTATAAGAATTCAACATGGTGCACAAATGTCCCTGAAGAATCAATTATAATATCATATATTTTAATAAATGCAAATATTTATTCTTTTATATCTTTTTTTATAAATCTTCATAGATTCATGAATGAATGTACAACAATTGACACACCATTTTGTTTATACGATGCTGATCGTAACAAGGATACGAAATCTTTTAAAGGACCTGGGGTATTAGTCTGTTCAATTGATAATATGCCAACTCAGCTACCAAAAGAATCTACAGATTTCTTCGGAAATCTTTTATATCCTTATGCATTGGATATTATTCAGTCGGATGCAAAAGTACCTCTTGAAGAACATAATTTCAGTCCAGCAGTGTATGATGCAATAATAGCATCCAACGGAAAATTAACACCCAATTTTGAATACATTCAAGAATTAAGATTACTAAATCACCGTTGTAAACATACAGCAGATAGTGGTGAAATACGAAGTAAAAAGGTGCAGAAAAATTATATTTTGATACATAAAATAGTTTAGATTAACATAAATTACTTTATTTATTTTCATAGTAATTATTTTATGTCATATATAATTTAATTCTATGAAATAGAATTTTCACAAAATAATGTTATGTAATTTTAATAAAACACTGACTAATATAATTATTTATAATTAGTTATTAAATAATATATTAGTATGCATTGTTTCGTAAATAGGTGGTTGTCCTTGGTGCTGGCCATGTTTCCGCCCCATTGGTTGAATATTTACACAGAAATAGTAATATACACATAACTGTTGCATCTCAACTGAAAGAAGAAGCAGATATATTAGCAAACAATTTTGCCGGTGTGGAATCGGTTCTATTAGATGTAATTGAACGTCCTGACACTTTAAACGATATTGTCAAATCGGCGGATGTAGTAGTTTCATTGTTACCATATTCATTACATCATGTCATCGCAAATGTATGCATACATAATAAAACTCACTTAGTAACAGCAAGTTATACAAATGAAGATGTTAAAGCTTTACATGAAAAGTAAGTGACAATTCAGATAAAAAGTTTACATGACAAGTGACAATTTTAATAAATATCAATAAATATTAACAAAAAATTATTGCAATGTATTTAAAATATCTCATTATATTACTAATAACGATAGTTATAAAAACAATAACATAAATATCAATATTTATATATATTGTGAGTATTAAAATAAATTATATTAATATGTTAACTATTCTTAGGGCTCTTGCAGCGGACGTAACTATACTTAATGAAATAGGATTAGATCCTGGTATTGATCACTTGTTGGCTTTAGAATGTTTTGATAACGTTAAGCAAGCTGGTGGAAAAATTGAATCTTTTATATCGTGGTGTGGCGGCTTACCTGCTCCAGAATGTTCGTCTAATCCTTTACGATATAAATTTAGTTGGTCACCACGAGGAGTGTTATTAAATACCTTAGCATCGGCTAAATTTTATTCTAACAGACAAGTAAGTTCAAATTTCTTTCGTACATTATTACGTATGTACTTAACTTTGTATCTATTTGTGATATAACAAAAAGATTTAATATATAAAATTTGAAAATTGACCGTAATTTACTGAAGTCCGTTGTAGTATATACATCTACAAGTACACATATGAATCTCGATTATCCAAATATAAACCGAGTCTATCTTAGATAATAGAGGAATCTATTTAAATTATATAAATCATGGAATAAAATCATAAAAACATTTTGATCATATAAAATTTTATAAACAACTGTTCCTAAATTTTCTTAATACAAAAAGATTATCTCTTTTCATTTCATACCGTCTTTCTCTGAAATCCACGACACTACGCGATAAAAAATAAAATGGCAGTATATTTTAAAAAATCAAAGCAGCCGTAACGCGATATCGTGATCGACTGGATGATACATATTTTACATATATAAACTTTATCGGACAATACGGAGTCTTAATTAAATTCAGAGGTTCTATTATATCTACAATAAAGAAGATCGCTAGACTTAGCTTATGTCCTAATTGCTTAGGATGTCCTAGCACCTTAGGACTTATGTCTTAATTGTCTTAATCAATTTTATTTTCATTTTACAGATTGTAGAAATACAGCCAGGAGATCTTATGTCTGCCGTTCAAGATTTAGACTTTTTACCCGGTTTTGCATTGGAAGGTTTCCCTAATCGAGACAGTACAATTTATAAAGATTTATACGGACTCAGTAATGTTAATACAGTACTGCGAGGTACATTGAGATTTAAAGGTTTTTGCAACACAATACAAGCTTTACAATTTCTTGGATTAACGGATCCTAATCCACATCCATCCTTGCATCCAAATGGTCCAGATATTACATGGGTATGTAAACATGATATTTATATATAAATTAAATAGAAAAAACTATATTGAGATTTAAATTTAAAAAACAGATAAATTTCAATCAGAATTGCTTTCCGAAATATTTTAGATTGTAATACAGTAAATTGAACAAACGGCTTCAATTTTTAGAAACATAATTCGAAATCAGATTTCGTCCTATATTTCATCATAAATATTTCATTATCACTTATGATGTGATTATAATAATTAATTAATCGATAAACTGAAAATTTCATTATGAGAATGTTAAATTTAATCTGAGGAACATGCATCAATATATCAAATATATTAAAAAGATATATAGTTGCATCTATAATTCTAGGAATAAGTTTTATAATAGTTCATTATTTATTACTTCTTAATCACTAATTAATATCTAAGAATACTTTGAAACATATCAGTAATATACACATACATATGTATTATATGTATGACTTTATTTATTATATTTCTTAAAAATTTACAAGAATTTGATACGAGATTTGACAGACAAAATTTTTTAAACTACATGTATTATCTTTCGCGGTAGTAATTCGATAAATTTTGCAATTTGTTTTTTTTGTGCCTATTTTGATGTCGGACCAATCTTAAATAAATTACCTAAATTTACCTTTTTATTGTTTCAGAGAGTATTAATTTGCAATTTACTTGGTTTGGCGAACGATAATATCTTTTATGAAAATTTGAAAAGAAAGTTGGCAGAAATGCTAAATTCAGAAGAAAGCGTAAAAACAATTGAAGATTTGGGACTTCTTGAAGAAGATTTAGTACTGAAATTAAATACTCCTCTTGATACTCTGACACATTTTTTGTCGAAAAAGCTGTGTTATGATAAAAATGAACGAGATCTGGTAATTTTAAGACACAATATTGGAATACTTTGGCCAGATAACAGAAGAGAAAACAGAGGAATTAATTTAGTGCTGTATGGTGAACCACGAGGCTACTCTGCCATGGCGCGCACTGTTGGGTATCCAACGGCAATTGCAGTTAAAATGATTCTTGATGGTATGGTTCTTGCAAAAATATTCAATCATTTTTGTGAAAATACTATTACTCTCATCACGTAATATTATAATATAATACTACAACATAAATGACGCATGAGCTTACATAAATTCGCATATTCCTGACGAATATGGCCGAATTGTTCATCGGACAAATCTGATGAACTCGTAGTAGGAAATCTGTAAATGTCTGACAAAAAATTAATCTATCATAACATTTCATGTCGGGTACATTGCTTCGCGAACAATTTGCCGGAAGTTTCGCTTGAATTATGTTCGCCGAAAATATGAATATTTCTGCGATCAGCAAGCAGCAAGCTGACTTGCGAATAACGAACTCGAATAAATAGTATTCCTATTTATATTCTGCTCAATCATATGTAGAATACTTTCACGAATATCTCATTCGTTTAAGCGCTTACGATTTTCTGTCACGATATTGGTATATATATATTTTTGTCAATTTAGTCGCATGCTTTCCAGAAAGTACTATAGATTATCATATATTTTTGAATAAATTTTTTTTGATATGTAATGAACGATGAGTCCATACACAACTTTTCACAATACTACTTAAGGTAATGACCTTGACAACATTATCGAAATCAGTGTTGGACTTTTGTTTGGAAATAACTTCGAATTGAGTGAAATAATTATTTTGGAGATTAAATATATTTGGGATTTATAAAATAGCTCGAAAAGATGTTCACACCAAACTAATAGTATTATAATTGTTAAATTTTTAAAGCTATATCCACATATATTTCTTATATTTTCATACTACTCTTTTAAATAAATTTTATAAGGTAATTTAATCCTTTCAAGTTACATTATAATTTTTTTTTTTTTTTGTTAATAGATGAAATTCAACAACGAGGTGTGGTTCTTCCATTTACTCCTGATATTTATCGACCTATACTTAATCGAATAAAAGCTGAAGGAATAGAATTCTTTGAGACATCCACATGGGTTTGACATATTTGTAATATTAACAATATTGTTAACAATAATATTAATAATATAATATTATTAATAATTTTAAATATGATATATTTAAAACAGAAAACTTTTTATTATCGCACTTGTAAGTCAACAATATTATTAATATAAAAAGACAACAATATGATTGTTATATATCATTTGAACAAACTATATTTTGTCATAGTGTTAGTACTATGAGAATAAGATTATATTATTTTATATTATTATCATCTACTATATGTATATTATCCCTTTTTAATTTAATTATTAAGCACTTAAATGATTGTGACAAATGTATATAATGAACTTGTATATAAAACAAAGTAATGTTATTTATATTATTTTGAAAATATAAAATTATTGTTATTATAGATACATACTCTATACTATTGGTCCAACCTGTGGTACGCGACGGACCGGTTGGGGGTATGCAAAAATAATATTGGTGATCAAAAAAAATGAGTTAAAATAAAAACACAAAGGCAAAGTTATAGAATTTCAATTTGAAATGTCAATTAGGTTAATTTAAGTCGTTTAATTATTTAGCTAACATAAATAATCAAACGACTAAAGAAAATTTAAAAAAAATTTTTTTTGAGAGATAGGTAGGAACAGAAGAGACTACTCATAAATGAAAAGCCTAATCAAGGGATATGGGAGAGAAAAAAGATTGGGTGCTCTATACCAATTGAATATGTTAAATAAAAAAACCAAAAAGATAATTTTCTTTATTATTTTGAAAATTAAATAATACAAAATCAAAATAGCTATAAGTTTACTATAAGGACATTTATGTTTATATTTATATTTGTAACTGATTTATGCATTTTTTCTGCTTATTAAGGAAAATGTACGAATAAAATCTCATAAGAAATTTTCTAAGTCATAAAATAAAAAATTATTTTAGATTTTTGAAAAATATATTACACAATATGACTAATTCAAGAAAAATATAATTTGTAATTATGAAATTTTAGAAATAGACATATATATATATATATATATATATATATTCTATGTTTGTGTTATTTATTTATTTTTAATTCTCTCTCAGAATCCTTTTTTATAAAAATAGTTGTTTCTTTCAAAAATTTGTAACTATATATGTAATATACTAGTACAGCCCATAGTTACAATACCTCGTCTATGCCATACCCTTTCAACTACTTATCTGCGACCTACCTAATATAGTTAAAGTATAAAAATTTCAATTAAAAACAATTATTTCTAATATAGCCATACTATTCTCTCTATTTTTTTTTCTTTTTGACATATTTATATGTACATGTATTATTAATAAAATAAGAAATGTAGAATCATAAAAGATCTATCCCGATCTTCTAAATTAAAAATGCGGCTTAATACTTAAAGGTGATATCTTTAAAATCTTATTCCGTAGAGTAAAAATTGTTATGATTACAAGTGAGTGAAGTAATGTGAGTGCAGTTTATGTATATATTTGTATTATATAAGTTATAAAGTGAGAAAATATGTAAAATAAATTTTAAAAAACAAAAAATAAAAATTTGTGGTTTAAAGATACAGAATTTATAAATGACATTTATTAGAAAATGTAATATTGTATAACATAACCTTATTAATATTTCTTGGAAAATAGTCAATTAAATGTTATGATATTATTAATATATTTTATTTAAATTCTTGACATAGTTTATTTTTACTTTTCTTTCAAAGAATCTTTTTTTTTTCTATTACGAAAATGTCAAATGAAATAAAACTAGCTCTCAAAGAAGCTCGAGAGACATTTAAAGAAAACAATTATATAGATGTAATTAAGAAATGTAAAAAAATATTAAAAAAAGATCAAAATAATTATGCCGCACTTATGTTATTGGCGGCTGCAATGAAAGAAATTGATGAATATAAATCACAAGTTCCATTAGTTCTCCAAAGAGGTATACAAATTCAAGCAGACAATCCATTAGCTTGGCATGGTTTAGTAGCCTATTATGAAAAAAATTTGGACAATAATGATTGTTATAATCAACTATTATTAGCTTACTGTAAACTTTTACAGATAGAAAGGTACCTAATTATCATATTTATCATAAATGTTACATATTTGTTAAAGCTTATTCAATAATTTATTTTCAGCGATTCTAAATTTACATATATTTCAAATAAACTCTTAGAATTTTCCTTTCAACTGAAAGATATTGAAACCATAAATCAGTGTATTGAACATTTAAGTGAATTACGAAAAAATTTGGATGATAACAGAGTTAAAATGATTGATAAAGCTCTTGGATGTCTATTATTAGATAATTTTTATAATCTTGATAAATATCAAAATTTATTAAAATGTATCTTCAAATCTGTAATCAATGATCTTGATGCAACTAAACAACGAAATTTTTATAAGAAATATTTAAAAATATTATACGACAAAGATGAATTAAATAATTTAATAAACGAAGCTGTGAACATGCATCAGCAGTTTCCAGAAGACGTGTTACCCTTAGGTAAGTATTAAAAATTATATATTAATTATTTTAATATCTAATTTATAAAAATAATATAGCAGTCTTATAATATATATTATTATATTAATTTTTATAAGATTTTATTAAGAAAAAAAAGAATTGAAAGATTTATGGATATTAATATTTTAAACGATATTTAACATTACAATTTTAAAAAATATTTATTACAACAAACATTTTTTAATTATTATAAAATACATTAATTAGTGAAGTATGGACATTCTATGTAGCTGTTACTTTCTGTGGAGATTCAAATTTTCTCCATTAGATTTTTTTTTCTTTTAGTTTAACTATAAAGTTTGTATTAGCATATATTTATATTCTATTAAAGTTATTAAGTTATCAAGATATTATATTTATACATATAATATGTTATTATATATACTGTTAGATGTATTATTACATAAATTGTTAAAAATTGTGAATTAAATAATTATAGAAATAATTTATATTAGAAATATAATATCTGTTATTATTCTATGTTAGCGATTCTTAATTTTATATTTTTAACATATATTTTTAAGATGTTGGGTTTTTTGAGAGTTTGTCGATTTTTGATATATTTCCAATAGTTTAATAATAAAATAATTCAAATGAAAAATTATCAGTGTTTGAATGTCAATAAATGTCAGAAATAAAAATTGCGAAATTGTTTACTTACTTTTTTAGTAAAAAATCGATCATTTTTATTTGTTTAGTTTTGCACCATGCATGTGCATCTGTTTGGTTTTTTGCAGACGATAAATAATCAAGTTTGTTTGATTAAATATTTCAAAATTAATTTGATTAAATATTTCAAAAAACCGGTGGTTATTGTGTAAAAAAAATTAGAGAGCTGTAAAAAGAGTGATTCATTTAGTATAGGGTCCTTGAAGTGGACATGTTTTGGACGATAAAAGAATATAAGCATTAACGTTAAAATAGAATAAAATGTAAACATTAAAGTTAAAACAGAACAAAGACGGGCGATAGGGAAAGTTACGAATATTATAGCAGTGAAATCTTTAATAATATCAAGAAGCCAAAATTAAATGACTGATGATATCAGAAGCGTTTCGGTACAATGTCTAGATGAAGTTCCACACATGCATTTTTAGCAAGTGTTATCCAACAAAACATTACAATTTCTACCAGTATTCTTAACAGCAAATGAAGAACACTAATATTTCAATTATCATCAAAAAAATCATAAGTAGAATTTTAGTAATGTGATAACAGCCCCGAAGGAGAAGGTCTTACATGTTCGTGTAGAGCGTTGAGCAGAGTACAAAAATGTAAAAATTTGTTTCAGGAAATTATTCGTTAATAAATAATTAAAACTCTTATTTTATGTTATTTTTCATGGAAAATATGAAAGTTAAGAATATTTTTTTAATTAACATTATTTAATATGTTGAAAAGAGCATTGAAGATTTTAAGAGTTTCATTCCATTCCTGTTCACCATTACAGTACATTATAATACAGTTTCTAATTTTCTATTTATTTCATTTACAGAATATATATGTCGTGTTTACTGTGAGCAGAATATCTTGAATAAAGATTTTACTGACGTTGATATAACAAAATTTTATGAATGTCTTTTAAAATTGAACGAAGAATCTGAAACTGCTAAAATTGTTAAAGCATTACATTTAATAAAATCAAATAATTTGACTACAGCCCGAGAAATATTAAAAGATATACTTACATTGAAACCGTCCTCGATATATGGTTGGATGGCATTAAGTGAAATAAGTAGGAGACTCCATTGCTGGGAAGATGCAGAAGTTGCTGCCAAACGAGTATTAGATATAAATGAATGTAAAATAAAAGATAAATTATTATACAAAATGGAATTAACGTTAGTTGAAGCAATGAGTAGAACTAATGATAAAAATAAATGGGAAACTGCTTTTCAGATGTGTAAAGACGTAAGAATCTTTATATAATATTTTTATGTATTATATATTATATACTATGTATTATATTTATATAGCTTTTTTGATTTAAAAAATTATTGATAATAACAAAAATCTTACTTAAAATCCTTCTTTAAACCTGGAGAAATTTTGTAATCTCTTTAAACGGATTACTTTTTATCTTTTACCTCTCAAATAACGCATGTAAATAACGTTTACATGACATTAATTTATTTTAAATATTGTGCCTATTATATAATTTATGCAATAATTTTATACATTTTACATATCTTATATTATCTTTTATCGTCATTTTAAATTATATGTTTAAAAAACTCGATAAATAGTCTTTTCGTATGGCAACGGTACATTGTTGGGACCGAATGGTGGATTATGGTGACTTATAGCAACGAAGGATTTTATTATTATTATTTTTCAGCATTATTTTATTATTTTTTAATGCTTACTTAGCAATAAAAAATATGATAAAATAATAACAATAAAAACTATAGCAGAAAGCGAGCTACGGACTTAACATTCAAAATGACCCAACATTTGATATCTTAAAGTTAATTATATAAAGTTAATTTTAACTTTAAATGAGACAATCATCTCAAATATTTAAATTCTAAGATTTCTGCTTGTATAATAGATAGAAGGGCACATAGGTCATTTTTCATTAGTGTCATAATATAGAGTATGTATATGCATGTCTTCTGCATCATAGAAATATATTGACAATATTTAGTTGGAAAAATTAGAATAACTTGTACAATAAAGTCTTTTTAAACTTTCATCTGTCATTCGTTTTATGTATATAGCTATTTATTTATCTATCTACTTAACTTATTTAATTTAATTTAATTAAAGATACGCCCTTCAACGCAATTGGATCTGATTCGCGCACGTCTGAATATATTGTTAAATCAGTCAGATGTACATATTCTTTTGGACAATTTAGAATTAAATCTCGAAATTAAAACACATGCTAGTATTCTTCGAGCATTGTATTTAAAACAAAACAAACAATACGAGGAAGCTGTGAATATACTGGATTCAGTCTTGGAGGCTCAGTCTTCTGAAGCGTGGTTACTTCTCGGTATAATCTATTGGGAAATGGCAGAATATAATTACAGCTTAATGGCTTTTTTAAATGGAATAAAAGCCGATCGTTTTAATTGGAAGTGTCTAATTTACTTGGGACATTATTACCGTGAACATGGTAACGATATGGAACGTTCTAGAAAATGTTATCAAACTGCATTACAAATCAACCCAAATTCCGAAGAAGCTGGCATTGGTTTAAGTACAGCATATAGGCTTCTTAAAAATCAAGTAAGATAATTTTCTATGAAGTGTATTTATTATTTGTGTATTTAAGTGTATCTATTACTTTTCAATTAATTATGTTAACAAGGTATTATTTATAGGATGCAAATATAAAATTGTTACAAATGCTAACAGTACAAGGCAGCGGTCCTAGATGGGCATGGCTACAACTCGGATTACAATATCTTGATCAAGGAAATGCGGAGCAAGCTATTAAAGCATTCCAACATGTTATTAGAGCTGATTCTAGTGACAGGTAATAATGGTATATATAATACGGAGTTTACGATTATTGGAGTTTATACATGAGAAATAATCTTTTTTTTTTACTTTCACTAAAATATTCATAATGTGAATGCATAAAGAAATGACATTAATTAGTAGCTCGTACTATCTGGAAATCTTTTTATAGATCATTTAGAATTGCAATACCAAAGTTAATTTTGCAACTTTTCATTGTAGAATTAGTTTTCCAATCGGAAAATTAAACACTCAATTAAAAAAATATTATTAATCACATATATTTGATTATGCTAGCATTCGTATAAATTCGAACTGTTCATTCATATTTCAGTATCGGTTCTTTGTGAATTGTAAATCTCATTGGCCAAAGTTTTACGGTTACAATAAAAATGTATGTTCTTTATCGTTGTTTCTTATATTTTTAAATTACTTTAAACAATTTTGTACGTATTTTTTGGAGTTTCATTAAATTTCTCTATTGTCCATTGTGTTTTATTATTCAATTGAATGCACGATGACTTACTTTTAGAGCGATTTAGCAACATTTATTTTACTGTAATGTACAGAAACCTTTTTCTACAGTTATGTTAATAATTGTTATAAATATTTTCAATATTTCATTATAAATGCTTTCAGTGTTATTTTCTTGATTAAAAATTTCCTAAAATATTAATAATACTTTGTTTTTGAATAATACTTTATATTTGAATAAGGAGCAATTTCGTGTTAAAGGAATGTGATGTTCGTAAGTTATTTTAATGGGAAAACGACCATTATTACAAAAGTCATTAGTCTATATTTTTTTGTAGGTGTTTTTTATAAATTTACTTATCCTTAAATGAGTTGAATTTTGAATCAATTGAAGAAGTTGTTAGATTTGCGTCCTCTAATAATTTTCCAATTGTTTCCAACAGCGCTCTGGTATTTTAAAAAATTTTTTAATGTTTTTACATTTGCATTAGAAGTGAAGGTTTTTTAATTTTTACACATTCACAGAAGAACATTTCTAACAAAGTAAAATATAATAAATAATGGTTAATTATTTACTTGACTATGAAATATATTGTCATTGTTTTAAACAACTTTTCTCTATATTCGGCCATAGTTTCTTGAGATATTTACAAAATTATAATTTATAATTATTTTTAAAAAGAAAATTTCGTCTTTTTAAATTTACTTTCAAAAACTTTCGGATTTCTAACGAGATATTCGAGATCGTACACTTAATTCTTTAGAATTTGAAATGTGTTGTCAGGGTTTCTTTTTTTGGATTATACAGATAGATTATTCATTAAGAATCATTTATTTTTGTTATTTATTTTTATCTCAAAATCGATATATAGTCTTTTTGGATTTATCTATTTCTAATACCGATATCCTTTTTTAAAAAGAATGTAAACATATTGAACATTTTATTATAATATCGAATATTTTTATTATGAAATTTTGTAAAATTGATCTTTTTTTACAGCCACTGTTGGGAATCATTAGCGGATGCATATTTTATACGAGGTGCATATACATCAGCATTAAAATCTTATCAACGAGCATTAGAATTATGTCCAAAATCATTATATCCAATGATACAATTAGCAAATATAAAATTGGTTAGTATCATTTTTCTGATTTGACTAAATGTTACAAAATTTTTAACATGTATTTTAAAAATGATGTGATATTAACAAAATGCATAAATTACCGAGAAGCTAAAGCATAAAATTAATATTGTACTTATTATACTTATAAAATAATTTACATACTTATAGAATTAACAAATAATAAATTCTAATTTATTTAAAAATTGAAACTTAAAATTTATACTCACAGTAAAATTCAATATGTAATTCATTAATGTATCTACAAGTCTTTATTAAAATTTTTTAAATACTGCTGTTAAAATACAACTGTTAAATATAGTCAAAATGTTTTGTTTTATATTTTATTGAAATATGCATTTAATTTTTACACATATTATATCTATTAATCTTTTTTAAATTAGTATTATATATAATGTTATATAAAATACTATACAGAATAAAATACAGAATGTAATTGTTTATGATTCTGCATTTTATTATTTTATAGATTATTGGACAGTATAAAGAAGCAAAGAAAGATTTTGAATGTATATTAATAAATGAATCATGCTATATCCCTGCTTTAAAAGGATTGGCTGAAGCTTGTTTAGCACTAGCAAAAAATTGTACTGCCAAACAACTATTGGGTCGTGCTAATGACTATTTGCAACAAGCAATGGATAATTTAACTATAGCCATTAAAGAATGTAAAGATACATCTTGTCTTTGGAAGTTACTTGGTGATGTGTGTTACAGAGTTGCAACACTACCAGAAAAGTACAGTCATTTAAAAATATCATCTATTTTATTTAAACATGAGAGTGTTGAAAATATTATATTGCTTAAACGATTAGACATATTCACATTATCAATAAGGTAAATATATATAATAGATATAATATTATATTGTAATAAATTTTTTATATATTGTTATTACATTATATTGTACAATTATATATAGTATCTGCTTAATCTACTACATTTCTCATCAATATTTGTGGCTATAAAATCTCGGTTTGGAACAGTGGCTATTAGAATATTAAATAAACTTTCTTCGTATTTCTTACTTTCATTTAATGCTTTTCCAGAATCATTTGAAATGAGTAAATCATAAAAAGAAAGACAATGGGTAAAAATCGTACAAATAGAAATACTAATACTAATAATTTTTATTATATTATATTTTATATATTATATAATATTTTTAACGTAATATTAAACACATATTATAAAGATACATTTTAATTATTGCATTAATTTTTGCTGTTTTTCTTCACTCTTTAAGCACCATCCATAGTCAAACAGCGGAAATTAATACAACCACCTAATACTATTATTTATTTGTATCAATAAAGTATTAAAATATTATTTATTAATTATCATATATTGCCAACGTGTTGCTAGATAAAGTCAATAGTATTACTGTGTCTGATTTACACGATAAGTCAATGCAATATATTGTGTCATATATTGTATCTAACTTTATTTTATAATTGTGATCTTGTATTTATAATTTTTTTATTAACAAAATATTAGCCATTTTAACAATTATATAGCATATTAAAAGATATATTATAAGTTTAATTATAAGCAGTAGAATATTAAATTTCGTTACAACATATAAGAAATATATAAGAAATACTTTATAGGTGTTACTGCTGTGCAATATCTCTTTCTCCAAAATCAGCTTCATTATGGCATGATTTGGTTTTATGTTATTTAATGCAACTACAGCATGATCCATCAGTGAATCATAAAAATCTTGCTAGTAAATGTCTAGCTGCTGCAAAATATGCTGTTAAATTATGTCCTTCAACATGGATACATTGGAATCTTTTGGGTGTTATTTGTATGTCGCCATACATAAGGAATTATGCATTAGCACAACATGCTTACATCATGGCAATTGATAAGGAATTAAATAATGCTATAGTATGGTGTAATTTGGGAACATTGTATTTATATATAGGTATTTAAAAATTATAATATGTGCAATAATAACATACATTATATTATATTGCTTTATACAAATTTACAGGAAATTTTTATAAAGCAAATGAGGCTTATTCTCGAGCACAGCGTGCAGATCCAGCCTATATAAATAGTTGGATAGGACAAGCCTCAATTGCCGAAATGATGCAACGAAAAGAAACAATGGATTTATTTAGACATGCAATACAATTAGGATATCATAATCAAGCTGCCGTAGGGTATGCCCATTGGATACTTGATGCGATTTTAAATTCTAGTACCAGAAAGAATACTTTATATTTCGAAAGTGTTTCTATCACATATTCTGCTACTAATGTTATGACGTTGTATGTAGGTAAGTCTATATCATTTCTCACGTATATCTCAATATATTATAAAATGTTAATACATAATCATGCTATTGTAAATCTACAGTCAGTAGAACTACTACTCTACAATCAGTACACAAATATTTTTTTTTAAATGTCTTTATTTCATTATTATTAATTTTATTAACTAATTTTTAATATAATTGTTGTATATTGTATCAATATTTTTTATTTCAGAGAATCGTCCAAATGATTGTTACGCTCGAAATGCATATGGATTATTGTTAGAAAGACAGAAACTTTATAAATCAGCTGCTGAACAATTTGCCGTCGCCGTATGTAATAGTACTAAAAACGAAAAAGATTTAGTTTCTATAAATTTAGCACGTGTACTGATACGACTCAAAAAATATAACGAAGCAATAAAATTATGTCGGACGGTTACAAATGTCAATTATAATTCTCAATGCCATTTAGCGTTAGCTTTATTCAAAGGTAATCACATTTTATATTAATATATTAATATTAATATTAATACTATTAAGGCTATTCGGGTCTTAAAATAAACTTAAACTAAAAGATATTTATTCACTTTGCTTAAAATATATTTCAGACAAAAATTTATTTCATTTTTAGCTGCGCAGTATGAAGAAGCATACGTTACATATGAAACAACTCTGCATTCTTTTGCGGATACTGAAATAGAAAAATCGTATACATTGTGTGCAATGGCGGCAATAGCATATACTTTTCAAAGGGTAGATGATGCAAAAACTTTGCTTTTCCAATGCATGCAATTACAACGTCCAGTTATAACAAGTCTTTTGGCAGCTGCATCGTTAGGAATATTACATGGAGATATTAATTTAACTACATTGGTATTAAACGAATTAAAGTTATATGAAACTCATCCTAAATATGGTCATCACATTCTAAATCTATTTGTATACTTTTATTTAATTGGAAATGATATTAAAAAGGCCATTACTATACTCTCTAAAGCAATTTTTAAGTACCCTGGTAAGTACTATGCATTTTAATATATTATAAGTAAGGGTATATGTTAATGATATAATTGAGCACAAAAGACAGCACGCAATTGTTTTCATTGTATGTATACATAATGTTATGTATGTATATACAGGATTCAGAACATGTGGAAACTATGGCAAATGATAGCTCATTATATATAATACCCGATATGATTTTGTTTTCGATACTTATTATGCGTTGCAACAATTTTTCGGGACTGAATGTTAGTTTACTGTTTTTCTACATGGTTTTAGTGTCATAAGTATTATGAACGAAACAATTAGTATACAAGTTATGTTCAGTAAACTAAAATTACTCTGAATTTTTGACATTTTTTTGGCTAGTTGAATCCTCTTGATCTTATTATTTAAAGTTTATTTTCCATATGTTCTGAATCACCTTAACAAAATCACCCTATATAAAATTGTTATGAAGTTAGATTTGGGTTAGTATTAATTTTATCGTAAGATAATTGACAATAAATATTTCTTTTAATATTAAGAATATTATTATAATACATATAATATAATATAACATCTTAATACTGAAAATTAATAATTTAATAAAATATTATATAATATTTTGACATAAGACATTTTATAATAAATATACACAACTTAAAAATATTTTCTGGTTTGATGTCCAGAGATTAAAATATATTTTAAATGTATTATTCCACTTTGATGTATGCTGTATTGTTTCTATTTTTACTTTTAGGTAATGTGAAATACTGGACACAATTACTTAGAATATTATTGGAAACTGATTTACAGCTATTTAGCAGATGTGCTCAAAAAGTACTGTTCCTCAATAGGAATATTATTACTGAAAATCACGCACATGTTGCATGTGCTTTGTCTTTCAGTTGTTTCATACAAAATACAGGACCAACAAGTATTAGATCTATGCAAAAACTTTTATTCACTTATCCTGCTAACATTGAAAGCTGGGCAATGTTCATTGCAGCATTTTTGTCAAGGTTTGTAAATCTTTTTTTTTATTTTCTTTTTAGATCATTTTTTATATGAAACAATTTTCGATATAACATACCTTCTATAACTTACATATTATACAATTATTATTATTATTATTAATCAATAATAATAATGATATTAATAATAATAATAATAATAATGGTATACTATAATATACTATCCTAATAATAGTATATCGTATACACTAATAATAATACCGAATAACATAATAATAGCATACCGTAAACAATAGTAATAATAATAATAAAAGATCAAGTATTCATCGTAATATTATAAATACTTTAAGTTTTTTAAATTTCATAAAATACTTTATATATTGTGAATAAATAATGTATAATAAATGCAGGAAATAATAAGATGAAGAAACATCAAAACAGAAAATGAATTAAAGAAAACTTAAATAAAAGTTAATTATAAGTTAATATACAGTTAAAGAAGGTGGTACAAATTACTTATTTTACATTGAAAATTTCTAAAGTTTCTGTTTATGACAATTTTATTTATCCTTTTCTAAAATCACACATAGACTAAATATCTATTTTTATATAAATCTTTTTAAAATTAAATAATGCCTCATCAACTATTAATTTTTATGTCGATTATATACTGACGAAAAATAGATTGCTTGTTTCATATTGCATCGCAATTGTGAAAGGAAAACTATCATAATTCTCTCGTATTTTTGATAATATGATATAAATAAAGAAAACATAGTGTTAACATTTAAACTGGACAAATTAAAAATGCTACTTTCTTAATGCTAATTTTAGTTTCTGAATGAATATCTATTAAAATTGTTCACAGATCTACTATTAAAAATTGTAAAGTTGACATCGAGTGGCTTTCAGCATTTATAACTATTGTACAACAAAATTATCAGTCTACAAGTTTGATGACAAAATGGTTGAAGGACAGTAAAATAAAATTAAGACAGTTAAATTAAGTGAAAATTAAATGATATTAAATAAATTAAGTGATTATTTACAGACTAATAAAATATGTAATGTATATATAAATTAATTTATAGACTATTTTATTGTACCATATTTTTAAAAATTGTTTGATTAGAATAATTGCTTGTACATTTTATAATTAACAATTATTGAAATAGCATAACAATATGTTAAATATAATGAAACTAAATTAGTTGCGATGATTTTTGTTTGATTTAATTTTGACTCCACATTTTTGAAATCATAATTTTCACATATCTAGTATTGATATCTCTGATAACGAATTACGTACTATTTTATATTACTATTTTATGTACTATTTATAATACATATATATTATATTTTTTATTATATATCTTTTTTGATATATAATATTATATACTTATTTTATTATTTTTACTGTTAAAATTATACCGCTATAATATAGTCCTTCTTTATCGAATTTTTTTTCTATGAATCTTTTGTTCCCTCGTATTTCGTAGTGAAAAGAACTTTCTAACTGCGAACACATATTTGATGCACTATTTTTTTGCAGAAAATGTTGAATGTTGAAGAAAAATTGAGCACTAACTTTTTCTTTTTCTTTAATCATACATTTATAACTTCTTGGAGTTGCAACTTCAGCTTATGTGTATTCTATGTTTAACATGAATACTTTATAGACATATGACGAGTGCGCAAGAAGAAATATCATACATATCTAGTTGCAAACATTTTCAGAATATAGTATTCAGTGGTCTATGCATGGATACTTTAGCGTGAAATATTTCTAACGGTATCATGCAGAAATAAGTAAGACTGAATAACAGAACGTATAATTTTTTAAATCGAATCAGTCGTTTCATTTAAAATGATGTCTAATAGAAGTATTAATCGCCTAATAGTAATTGGCCTAAGATTAACTGGAATTTGGCCAGATTCATCTTACGAAATTGTTATCCGATGCATTTGGATTGTTATTATGATGTTTGGACAAATACTTCAATATCGATATATAATAAAACAAATTAGTTGTGGTGGAAAGTTGACAAATGTAGTAGATGGCTTGAGCACTGCTTTACCTTATAGTTTATTGTTTTTTAAATTAATTAGCTTTTGGATAAACCGTAGGTAAGTTACATCATTTGATTTTTTATAAAATGACAATTTATTATTTGCAATTGATGTCTATTTTTGCATGATAGTATATATTCAAAGACCCCATAAAACGTTTTAAGTTTTTAAACTCTAAATATTATTAAATATTAATTCCTTTCTACATTCCTTTTTGCAGTTTACGATAGAAAACATAACATTGAACATAATCAAGCTAAATCTTTCTTAAAGAAATTAAATGAAAAAATTATTTTTAAAATTCTTTGTTATTAATTTATATATTTACTATATGCTATATACCAATATTTTGTAGATTATTTAAAAACATGTTAATGGAAATGTCTCAAGATTGGATTAATTTTTCTAAATTCAACATTGATGCCATGATAAACAAAACTAAACTTGCATACCATTATTCAAAGTTAATTATGAGCGTATATGCTATTGCCGTTTTCACATATGCCGGCGTGTTTTTAGAAATTAGTCGTCAGAATCAAGATGATGAATTTAATATAACATCTCGACAATTATTGATAAAAATGGACCTCCCATTTGCATATTATGAAAGTCCATTATATGAATATGTATTTGTTTTACAATTTTTTCAATTATTAAGTAACGCATCTGCTATTGCCATGTTTGATGCTTTGATAATTACATTGGTAAGTCGATTTTGATGTAATACAACAGCACATTTGCTTTATAATTTGTCAACAATCTCTTGCATAAATACAATCATTTATAGTTTATTTATTTAATACATTGTTATTTGAATATTTTAAATACTTTTTATGCAAGTGTTATGTACTATGTTTTTTAGGAAAATTTTAAGTTCAAATGACACAATATATTTATTTAATATCATGTACCATGTCACCATATACTTATTTAATATATTTTGTGTTATCATATACTTATTTAATATATTGTGCGCTTAATAATTCCTATTTTAAACTTATCACATTGATGATAAATGTAATGAAAAATAGAAAATGACAGTCTAAAAATATTCGGTATCGAAAAATTAAGTTATTTTGGTCATTTAGAAGCTATATATTCGAGATTTATGATACGTATTACGATAATATATACTGGACAAATTTTTAAAACTATCAAAATTTCTTAAAAATTAAGCTTTAAACAAGAAAATCTTACACTTTTCAAAAATTTTTAAATTTACTTTTTTGATAAATTTTATTAAAAATTTATTATTTTTAAAAATAATAGATATATATAGCATTTGTAAATATTTAATATATTTTCATTAATAGATTTTGAAGAACAATTGATAAATCATAAAAGACGTTCAAACGAAAAGTTATACGATTATAAAAATAAATTCTCATTCAAAACAATTAAATGTAAAAAGTCTTCACGAAATATATATTTTTAATTTATATACCTTCGAATAAGAGAAAAATTATTAAATTTTTTAATGCAGTGTAATTTTTTTGTAATATTCTATAGTATTATATTAATAGTGAGTATTATTTTTAACAAATCTCACTTAGATATTTCATGTTGGTGGACAAATAGAAATGTTACACGAAGCTCTGGAAAATATTTCTGTCAAAAATCATAAATCTTTGCGAAATGTTGTAAAACCTTTAATTGATCTACATTATCAAATTATTCTTGGTTCAGAAAATATCGAAAATTTATTCTCATATATTGCGTTGATGCAATTATTATGTAATACACTCATCATATGTTGTATAGGATTCTTAATAATAGTTGTAAGTAATATTTACAGATATTATTTTCACATCATTATATATTTCAATTCGAATTATTTTTATATTTCATACTGTTTTCTTTATATTTAATTTTATGATTATAATTTTTATAGTTTATAAATCTTGACACTATTCTAGGCGCTTAATTTACATATGAATATAAAAGAACTTATAAATATTTTATTGTTTTATATTGCTATTACATTGGAAGCATTTGTTTTTTCCTATGCTGGGGAATATCTTAATAATAAAGTTAGTACGTAATTAAAATTTACATGCACATGAGTGAACTATCAATTGAATGTATAGAGTAATTATACGAACGTTCAAGTATTTCACGTGATATAAAATATTTTTATTCTAGAGTTTGTCAATTAGCACTTCAGCTTACGGTTCCTCTTGGTACTTGTTAGATCCTAGAGATAGACGTGTTATGATACTTCTTATGATAAGATCACAAAGACAATTAACAATTACCGCTGGAAAATTTATGGATTTATCTATGGAAACCTTTGCAAAAGTAAGCTTGATATTTGTTACAAATAAATGTGCTTTTAAAGGTATATAAAATAGTATTAATAGTAAATATTGATATCATACATGTGATATCAATATATATGATATACACGCTATTGGCATACACAAGTTTCCAATAATGTAATTAAAAAATATTTCAGACAAAAGTTAGTCAGTTTTGCATCAGCTACAAATTGCAATAGTAAAGATTTTCCTTTCGATAAGTCACGGTCACTTCGATTTCCTTCAATGGTATTATGTATTTTTTATTTGATATAATTGATGTTAAGTAATGGTTAATACTGTGATTTTCAAATAACCGTGAGGGCAAAAATTTGAATTTAATTTAGAAACATTCATATAAGAAATTAAATTTATTACATTATAATGAAACATATAATGAGGAATAGATATTTTTATATACATATGTAAAATATGTTAATGTCAATATTAGTTATTTATGGCAATATAGCTATTTATGCAGTTATAGATTATTTATCGAAATGAAAGAGAATAAAAGCCTTTGATTCTACAATTTGATATTATCATATAACTTTAAAAATACATTAAAAATACAAATATTTTAGTATTTGGTATTTATTTTATTATTTTTATCGTTTTTAGGTTATAAGAACTTCTGCATCATATGTATCGATATTGTATGCAATGTACTGATTAAAAGGAACCCTATCACAAAGAATAAAATGAGTATATATATATATATACAAAATATATGCATATAACAATACAAGAATATATATGAGAATACATATATTAATAATATAAATGGGAACTAGAATGTACACATTTAAAGACGTATTATTTAAATGCACATTATATTATGTAATAAAATTCAAATATTGCAAAATAAAACTTTATAAAATAAATAATTAGTGTCTCTCTATATGAAGAATTACTTATTGCTATTGTAGAATTCCACGAGTACTTCCATTTTCTTTTGAATGTTTATTAAAATTATCAAAGTTTAAAAACTTAATACCAAATGAAGAACATATATCAAAGAGCAGTCATCTTTAAATACTTATATATTTTTCAATATATTGTAATATGTTATATTTCTTGAATCTCTAATAATTATTTTAAGTATCTTAAATTTATCTGTACGGTATCTCAACATGAATTAAACACTCAGAGTTAAATACATATTGTATCAAAGTATTATCTATATACGGATATATTAAATTGTCTTATCCACAATTTATGAGTATTAAGTGGTACTTTTCAACACGTCTTTGTCGCACGCTGTTGCTTTCCTTGTCTACCGCGGCTATATCTCTGTCCTTGTCGCACGCTGTTGCTCTCCTTGTCTAATGACGCTAGACAAGGAAAGCAACAGTATGGGAGGAGGACAACCTCCGATCTATTGAAAAAAAAATTCAACTTTTTGCACACACGTTTTTCCAGGACAAAACGTACATAGAATGAAAGTGGAGAGCCTAATTTTAAGGAGGCATATAAAAAAGTTCGCAAATTATTCCTCTTAATTAGGTTTTTTCCGTAATTAATGCGAACTATCACAAAATGGACATGGTGGTACCATCTAGCGGTAAGTCAGTGGTATTAATTATTTATAAAAATACTTATTTCTGCATTTTACGAGTCAAATGGGTATGAAAAGAAAGCTAAAGGTCTAATTAGGGTAATACAATTCATTTCGCTAAATTAGGTTTTTTCGCAAATGAAAATTTCTCTGTTTTACGGGGTTGTAGCGACCTCTACTTCGAAGAATTTAGATCAACGACATCTATGTTCATTAAATCGTT